AAGATCTCGTGAAATACGACTCCCTTGCTCTCCAAGTTGACTTTGCATTCTGGAGATTAGCCGTTATTGAGATGTGGTCGTCGTCGTCCTTATCCATCCCGTGGCTTTATCTCTCTCTCTCTCTCTCACTCTCTCTCTCTCTCTCTCTCTCTCGCTCTCTTGCTCTCTTGCTCTATCACAATATTTAGCTTTCTTCCTATCTTTCACTCTCTCTCTTCTATCTCACCCCATCACATTTTCTCTTTGTCTCAGTTTATTATTCGTATTCTCTCTCTCTCTCACTCACCCACTTATTTACTGTCTTTCTACTTTTTACGCTCTCACTCTCTCTCTCTCTCGCTGTAACATACTCTTCACTTCTGTATGTTTTCTTGAATATATTTCTGTTTGTTTGTTTCTCATTCACTCCCTTCATCTCGTCCCTCACTCTCATTCTCTCCTTCTCTATCTATCTATTTCTCTCTCTCTCTCTCTCTCTCTCTCTCTCTCTCTCTCTAAATATATATATTTATCTATTTATCTATCTATCTATTTATCTATTTAAAAAATATTTTAAAAAGTGTTCATCATTATTTATGAATACGGAACATCGTGGATTACTTTTCTCATTTTTGTAATAATAAAATCTATAATAATAATAATAATCTATACAAACCATGAGACCCATAAGTAATGGAGAATTGTAATACTCGAGTTGCTCCATGCATCCCACTCATCCCTAAAATAGATGTATAATCGATACCGCGGATATTATTTGAAAATATCAACTGTTCAAACATGTATGAAAATAAATTTGTTTTTCAAGAGAAACAGTTATAATTTAGGCGCCCCATGGGCGGGCATGTCGGGTACACTGTCATCATCTCTTATAATGTCGGAAAGAAAATCATTTTCAAATGCTCTCGAGGGGAAAAAATATACGATTAAGGGAAAATATTTATCAAAAGTTCATCATTGTTTCGTTTTGGAATATTTTTCAATATGACTATCATTATTTTTAGATGAGTGGTGTGGTGCATTTGTTGTGCGGCGACCACACCCTCAACGACCCGGAACCCTCTGACCTAAGTGCCAGCGGGCCTCCCTGAAATTCTCACGACGCACGCCCAACGACGTTGGCACTCGATATTTCTTCGGCGCCGATTTACAAAATACACCCTTTCAAAAATGTAAACAGATCTGGGGTAAAACAAACCTGACTAGTGGCTAGACCAACTTAGTTTTTCGTTAATTCGTACATTCCAACTTTCAGAAAATATTCGAACAAGTACATTCAGTGGTGGGTCCTTTAGTCCTTTACTGCTTTCCCGTACATAATTTGATAAATAGATTTGTCAGTTCGTGGGTATCTTTTTTTCTATAATATTTCTGTGATGTCATTTGGAAAACCTTTAAACTGGAGTTTTACCATTTCCAGCCCATTTCCATTCCGTTATATTGCCGTTATCAGTTTAAAAAAGAAGCCTTGGTACTTAGGGGAAAACCTTTAGGATCCGCTTATCTCTGGCAGAGCAATTACTGCATGGCAATCCGATTTATTGAAAGACCTCTCAACATTAAAAAACGTACTGCTGATCACAATTGAATTGGTGACGGGATTTATGGGTCGATGGTTCTGCGATTTCTTCTCGAGAGTTTTATTTTACGTAAAATGTATTTTTATTAACAAATTTAAAAAATGCACTATAAAGAAAACAATTGGCTTGGACAAAATAGAAGCATTTCTTCAACATTGGACATAATTTCATATTTAAAAACTTTAAAATTATTCACAGCTTTATAAAATAAAATTTAAAAAATATGTTGTTTTTTTGTACGGTTTTGGTTGAAATGAAAAAGTTAGTGCCTAGTCCCTCCCTCACTCTTTCTCCCTCTTACTCTTGCTCTTTCTCACATAATTCTTTCTATCTCTATCTTTCCCCTTCACTCACTTTCTCTCTCTCTCCCCATCTCTCTCTTTCTTTCTTTCTTTCTCTCTCTCTTTATCTAGCTATCTATCTCTCTTTCTCTTTCTCTTACTCTTTCTCACTCACTTCTTTCTATCTATTTATCTATCTATCTTTCTATGCATCCATCTCTCTCTCTCTCTCTCTCTCTCTCTCTCTCTCTCTCTCCCTCTCTCTCTCACTCTCACTCTTTCTCTCTCTCTCACTCTTTCTCCCTCTTACTTTGTCTCACTCACTTCTTTCTATCTCTATCTTTCCCCTTCTCTCCAATTTTTCTACATTGGGCATAATTTCACATTTAAAAATTTAAAATTATTCACAGCTTTATAAAATGAAATTTTAAAAAAAATTTGTAAGGTTTGGGTTAAAATGAAAACGTGTCACGAGCGGGATTCGAACCCACGACCTTCGGCTAAATACGCCGCTGCTCTATCACTTGAGCTATCGTGACATCGGCAAAAAGTAGGGAAAATTCGAAATGTCGGTTGAGATGGGGAGTTGGTGTCCGAGTGGATCGAAGTCACGATTTCATTTCAACCAAAGCCTTACAAAAAAAAAGTAGTTAATTGAACGAAGTAATTTGGACTAAATATAATGGATTTAAAAATATGGTAAACCTGCCAAACTTTAAGAACCGCATGTTTGCACAACTTAAGTAAGACTGTCTTTAACCCATCATGAGAGATCCAAAATGAAACTTTCTTTCTTCTTAACCTCCGTGTTGAACGAGAGACTGATATGAATCAATGATCACTGGAAAAAGTCCAATTTCCTCCTCCCTAGAAGTCCGTGAAATCTCAATGCGCGGAGTAGAACTATACTCAATTGGAACTGGGGTTTACCAAGCCCCATGAGGATCCCACTGGCAGTCTGAACAGACTGTTGCTTGAGAATATATTGTGCGCCTCGCTTTGCTTCGCACGAGTTTAATGCATCTCATTACACAGGATAATCTATTTCTCCCTCGGTTCGTCATAATCCACAAGATGTATTTGTAATATTAATGTTCCACAATCCTGTACCATGACAATCTTATATTTCTGCCCCTACTCTGTATATGTTTTTTTTTTTAAATGTTATTTTAAGACCGAAAATATTCTTTAAAATAAAGCGAGAAAAACACTTTTACAGACACTTCATTTTTCTTCTTCGAAGATGTAAATTAGTCGTTATCCGTCCCGGAGGACCAAATACGATATTATATGTTCATTCTTTAGTGTCAAGACACTCAACGAGGCCAGAATAATTATTCTTGTACAATGTGTTTAATGGGACTCAACTAAAAACTGAGACTCAAAAGGACATAGCTAATATTACAATTATTTATCAAATTTACCCTAAATTTTAATTCCTAATAATTTTAGACTTTCTAGCCCTACTCTGAATGTTTTTTTTTCTCGTTCAAGTTAAATTTTAACACCGAGAAGATTCTTCAAAATACAAAGAGAAAAACACTTTTACAGTCGTTTCAGCCTTTTTCTTCCTTTGCATCTTCATGCGAATTAATCAATCAAGAAATAAAGGTTCTAGGCACAGGAACCCAAAACAGTCGTGGAAATTAATTCCTCATAATTTATAAATTAATTCTCTCACAAGTAATTGTTCGTGTATGATGTTTTTCTCGAACAAATATAATATATGTAAATCATAAATTTTTAAAACGTGTATGGCTGTGATAACAAACCAAGTCCAAAAAAGAAATTGTCCTAACTAAACTTATCAAGTAAAATAATATTTAATTGTAACCATATAAATAACTTTTTTAAACAATTTCAAAAATGCCTAGACCTTATGACGAACTATGTCGTATTACTGAGAAATCCAATAAACTAAGACCTAAATCTTGTGGATCTTTCCCCGTCCGAGGAATAATGGCAAAGGAATTTTTAAAAAATTATTTGATTACAATTGTGTATTAAAAAAAGGACTTTAATTAAAATGTAAAAAAAGAGAACAACAACAAAAGAATAGCGGCTCTGCCGTGTTTCAGCACATTCTTTTTAAATAAGAAATAAATCACCAAACGTATTCATTAATAAAAAATACAAAAAAAAAGGCTCACTGGCGTTGAATAAAAGATATGATGCGAAGTCGACAAACTGTAGACTGAGAAGGCGATGAATTCAGTCAATGGCTCAATTCTTCCAATCAAGAATCTTCCGACTTCAGGAAACATCTGAGTGAGACTGCCCGTGGTTCTCTCAATTCACGACGTGTTCGGCGCTTCAACCAATCAGTTCAATGCATTATAACCTAAAATATAAATACGTTTTTTCTATGATGGACGCAGTGGTAAAATCAATTTCCTTTCCGCAAATCTCTGGTATATTCTTCTGTATGTTTAGTACATTGAGATATCGTATGGCATAAATCTTCGTATGTCCAATATCTGTATCAGTTAGGTGATGTGTTTCTTTCAATTTTATAGGGATATGCATTTGGGTGCTGTCTGGCCTCACGAAACCAAGTTGGTCAAGCTACCGACGTTTGGTTTTATATTTCATTCCTTTGTTATTTTCGTAATATTTATACTGCCAATCGATTTGCTGTTGCTTATTGTGTAGTGCATACAGCTCCTTCATTGGCGCAAGATTATTTCGTTCACGTTATGTTGATGAAGAAGCTCCTGTTAGCAGCGACTTTAACGCCTCGTTTGATTGTGAGGTGGCATCAAATGGTGAGTTGTTGTTTTTGGCAGTTTCTCTCTCATACTTTGCTAAATTGGTAAAAGCTTCCACCAGTGGCGGACTCTTCTTTCTTACCCAGTACCTACATGTCAGAAATTTGCATGCAAGCTGACCACTTTTTTCTGTACAATAAGTGATACGTCGATCCAATCCTTTACGTTTCACAGTGGAAGATTTTCATACTTCATGCTAAATGAAAAATTGATTGATTGATTGATGCAAGAACAGGACTGCACTCTATTTCTTCTTCTTTACAAGACAAATCCCCTCATGTTATAATTTACCAAACTTTCAAGCATGATTATTTGTTTGCATTGTAACACGGAGGCTTGTTGCGTTGTAACAATTTTATTTGTTTGTGTTTCAGTTCCTTTGAGTGATGAGTTAAAGGAAGTGGGTGCATGGGACAACGTCGTGAGCGGAGCTGCAATGAGTACTTCCAACGTCAACAACAACAACAATAACAACAATGTGAACAAACCGACACCGAAGAGGCCTGTGAGAAGAGGCGGAAAACCCCCGCCGGATAGACCACAGAGGGCCCTCTTCTGTCTTACCCTAAAGAACCCCCTCCGAAAACTGTGTATAGACATTGTCGAATGGAAGTATCCTTTTTCCGCCTGCTATGCAATGTAAATGATTTAATTAATGAAAACATCTCCTTATAGAAATCCACAAAGGCAGAAAATCAAATTTAAAAAAAAATACGAAATAACATGTTTTCAAGGCTCCTAAGGCCAAATTTTCAGTTACAGGATTTTTGTTTCAACCAATTTTATTCCTTTCCTTTAATAAATACGGGTAATTAAGGCTAATTAAACACAGCTCATCGAAATATTTCTAAGGAAGTTGTTTAAAAAAAATGGATCATCCAATGTATATATACATTTTTGTATATATACATATTTGGTTATATATGATCCTAGAACCCTGTGGACACACCTTAGAAGTGTCTTTTTTTTTAATATATTTTACATATTTATTCTTGTTCCTGTTTTATTACCATATTATTTGCTTATGCAAATATATATAATCAGTTATAAAATGATTGATTACTTGGCTCAAAATCTCAAATGTGAATGTGAGATTTGCTTAAACACAATTCAGTTGGATTATTATCGCATGCTTAATCGTTCTTGTAATTTTTGCTCTTGATGTCACGACTTTGATTACTTTTTTAAATAATTGCGATTTGTCAAAAATCTGCTACTAATTTTTACTATCGTTTCACATTTAAATTTTCCCGCTTTTTAATATACAGGGTGACTGGCGATAAGTGTCGAAAATTTCAGGTGTTTCTACTCACCATATGCAACGGAAAACTTCCTTTGTCGAAAAACCTTTGTCCAAATTTCAACGGTAAAAAAGTAATTTCAGGTTTTGGGTTTTTTTTTTCATTTTTCAACTTAGGTCCACTATATTGCTTATAAACTTCAGAATTACTGACTGTTGAAAAATCTGGTTGAGGCCACCTGAAAGAACGTTAAATTGGCTGTAAGGAAACCTATTTACATTGCGGAATTGATGAAAAAATTCTGCACGAAAAATTCAGAAATAAAATTATGAAATTTGGATTTTTTAAAATATTGGATTGGTAACTGTTAATAACTACAAACTCCAGGAGCTTTGCAAATTCCCACAAAAGTTCTCCATCCAATTAGCTTCCAGCGGTAAACCCACCTTTTTGGTTTGCGCTTTGGAAGGCTCAAAAATTTTGCATTTTGTTGAGAAAAAAAATTGGTGTCGAAGAAGGGGGCACGTTCAATTTTTCCAGGAAATCCGTCTGGCTCTTGAGTTTCGTGTCAGTTCTTTAATGTTCAATTCAATCAGTTTGCTTTATGTTATCAGCTGACACGAAACTCAAGAGCAGACGGATTTCTGGAAAAAATGAACGTGCCCCCTTCGTCGACGCCAGTTTTTTTCAACAAAAAGCAAAATTTTTGGGCCTCCCAGAAGCGCAATCCAAAAAGGTGGGTATACAGCTGGATGCTAATTGAATAGAGAACTTTTGAGGGAATTTGTAAAGCTCCAGGAGCTTGTAGTTATTAACAATTACCATTCCACCATTTTAAAAAAATTCCACATTGCAACATTTTTGTTTTTTCTGAATTTTTCGTGCAGAATTTTTTCATCTATTCTGCAATTTAAATAGGTTTCCTTACAGTAAATGTAACGTTCTTTGAGGTGGCACAAACCAGATTTTTCTAGTCAGTAATTCTGAAGTTTATAAGCAATTTAGCGTACCTTAATCGAAAAATTTAAAAAAACAAAAAATCTGAAATTACTTCTTTACCGTTGTGATTTGGACAGGGGTTTATAGGAAGTTTTTTGTTGCATATGGTGATTAGAAACACCTGAAATTTTCGATACTTATCGCCAGTCACCCCGTTTTCAGATTGCTCGGCTGAGAAATCTTGTACCAATGACGCTATAAAAAAATACGTTTAATATTTTTTTAATCTAGTTTCAAAGTTTTACCTTTTTTTGGAGAAAAATTATAAACGGTATCTCAGGCCCAGTTCAATTTCAAAATTTACATATACCTCTTGACATATCGTTCTAAACGAGGTTTTACGCTATAAACAATGGTGCGATCGGATTTTAAATTGGTCAAAAAATGACAAAGTTACGGCAAAAAGAAGCCGGCGGTTTTAGGTTTTTCAAAAAATAAAATTAGAGATGTACTCCGGACTTACAGTTTTAAACGCGATACGCTCAATGGCATATATAGGCAAGTATTTATAAAGTGATTATTGATTATCACATTCATTTGAATAATCATAACATTTATTACACCAATTAATTAATAATCCTAATGAGCGATCTCTTTAATTATATAAAAAGGCCCTACTTTGTTGGTTTAATGTAAGCGCCTGATTTGTAAATAATAAAATCATATTTTATTTTTATTTCTTTAATGGACACGCTTATAATTTTTTGCAGTTTAACCCTTCATTCCACTATAATTCGATCAAATGCTGGTTGTCAATTTTTTAGGAAAAGCCGGCCAATTTTTTTTTTCTTTTAAATTCTGCTAACAGAAATGTTTCTGGAAGTGTGTAAAACCCACTTCGGCACTATTTACATGTTTGCTTATAAATTTGACAAGGGTCATTTAGACCTACCGCCGCCCCTGGAAGGGCAGCCTTTTTCACCAATATCAATTACGCGGAGTGGTCTGGAGCTCAATTTGCAAATAAACTCGAATACGAAATGCACATAGAGAATTTCATTTGTTACACTTTGTACGTGTTTATAATTAAAACCTTAATTTTTGTTCATTTTCTGCTTCCTTTAACTTATTTTCTACTACTTCGTTACTGAAACCTTTCGTGGTTTCCGTCGAAAATATGTTCATTGTTCTAGACTATTCCTTATTGACTATTTTATTTGTTATGTTTATTTCTAAAAGATAACAGTTTAATAAAGCTAGTGTATGATCTCAAGTATACTTCTTTTTTATGTAGACATCGTACATCCCTACTCATCTATTGAAACACCGGGATAATTCGGTCAATTTAGTTCATTGATGTTGAAGACTCCTTCGTGAATATATTACTGGTTTTTATGGTTTTTGTATGAAATTAAACTTTAATTAAACTAATTTATAGTTTTTAATCGTTTTTCATGTAGACATCGTACATATTCATCTATCTGAAACACCGGTGTAACTCTAAGTCAAATTAGTTCATTATTGTTGACGAAGTGAATATATTATTGTTTTATTGCTCTTCTAAGAGATATCAGCTTAGTTAAACTAGTGTATGGTCTCAAATCTTGTTTTTGATATAGATAACATATATGGATACTCTCCGATTTCAAACATCGAATACCTCCAAATTAGTTCAATGTGGTAGAAAAGGCCTTAGTGACTATTTTAGTTGTTTTTATAGTTTGTCTAAGAAATATTAATTTAATAAAACTATTGAATCAACTTAAAACACCGTTGAAATCGATATAGTTCATTGTTGCAGAGAAGTCCTTATTGCTTATTTTATTTTTTTTTTTTTTGTGTGTTTTAAAGTTCGGTTATTCTATCTAAAACCAAAACAAGAAAAAACTTGGTTTAATTAAAGCAACATGTGAAAACATAACACTCGAATTAATAATTTGTTTCCTATATTGGGGGCGTCGGTGGTTTAGGTGTTGACACGGCGCTCATCACTGTAAAGTAAAGGTCCCGGGTTCGAATCCAGCGGCTCTGCATTCCTACCCGACATACTTAAAAATGAGCTTTTTTTTCAAAAACACCGCCTAAAGGTCATATAACCTTGTAGTTAAAATACCCTCGTAAAAGAGTTTCCTTTATTTTTAGTTTACGAGTGATATCAAAATCGTGATTCGATTGTATCCTTTATAACTAATCCTAGAATATTCACACTTACCGATCAAATATTTACAAATCGCTGAAAAATAAGACCGGCCTAAAATTTGGTATAATTTGTTTTCCAAATTTTGACATTATTTTTCCCCCGTTGATTCCATGAACAGATGGGTTCACAATTTCGATTCCATCCTCTAATATACCTACAATTCTCGTCAACGTGGAAATCAGATAGGTTTGTCAGATCGGCCCTATTCGGACCGCTTGCTGATAACAACTTGTAGCCTGTTAACTTTTCCCAGCTTCCTTTCAAAGCATCTCCATTCAATTAATAAATAGTTTCTGTCTGGGTGGCATTAAATTATTTATTACAAATATACGTTACTTTTTGATTGATGGTGGAATATTTAATTTTAAAGAACGGGAAGAAAACTTAGATGTAAGGATTAATACTAAATCAGGTCACGTGATCAATTGCACGAAATTTCTTTCGCTGATTTCCTATATTTCCCTGTTACTGTTTAATCATTGAATTAATTTTAAAAATTCCACCTTACTTTTGTTTTAATTTCCTACTGTAGTCTGCGGGATGAGGAACCGTAATTTAATGTAATTTGATCCTTGTCGATCATCTTGGTCTGCCTATCCTAACTGTTTTTATGTGTGGGTTTTGTTTATTAATCTGTTTATCACTTATGTGTAGTATCCGTTATTTGCGCAATGATGTTTACTGTCGTTAGTTCGTTTTTTTTAATTTCTTTTTTGTAAATGGCACTGCTTTTAGTCTGTCATGTATTTTAGTGCTGCCATTTTGTTTTGGAGGGGTTGACTTGTCTGCTTCTACAGTGTCCGCCCTTGTTGTTTTTCTGTTTATGTCGAATTGTGTTTGTTGTCAGTTTTAGTGATAGTTAGGTCTAAGAAATTCATACAGTCATTGTTTTCTATTTCTGTCTTGAATTGTATGTTTTTCTACTTTTTTATGAGTTCAGGTCTGTCAGTATGTAGTTTATGTTGTTGACGTCTACTATGGCATGTTTTATGCTACAGTTTTCCAGTCTGAAATCGTAGCGATTGAACAATGCGCCAGAGAAATAAAAAGGTTAGGAAAATCCCGGACGATAGCCATTTTCTCTGACAGCCAGGCAGCATTTAAGGCCCTAGCCTCATGTGAAGCTAAGGCAAAGAGTGTTTGGAAATGCATGGAGGCCCTGACGGAAGTCGGTGACACTAATAACCTGAACCTGGCATGGATCCCTGGACATTCGGGGCATAGAGGCAACGAAAAAGTTGACATGTTGGCTGAAAAGGAGGCCAACATGGACTCTTTGGGCCCAGAACCCTAAGGCGGCCTAGCAGCCTGCCACAAATGATGATACATCTTAAAATGGATCCTTAATGGGTCCAAAACCTGGTAGAACAATACCACAGGTATGAGGCACGCGAAGAGATTCATAGAAGGACCATCTGCAAAACTTACAAAAGAATTACTGGAAGGCAACTGCAACCGAACAAGAAAAACCACAAGCAGATCCTACACCAAGGAGCCACTGGGAAAGCTGGCCTGTGAGTTATAAATAACAAGGGAGCACAGTAGATCTATTCAGGTCGAGGTGCAGTAGGCCTTGTAGCCGACTCTTTTATCCCTATCTCCTATCCCCTATTGCATATTGCATATTTTGTGTTTGGAAGTATTTCTCTTCAAAGTTTTTTTTTTTTTTTTAATTTAAGCTATGACTCCTAATTGTTCAGCTAATGAAATAGTCGATGCTGTAATAATAGTTGGTCAGTGCAAAGGAAATTATCATGCTGCCAGGTCCTATCAGGAATGTTACCCATGCACTGACATCCTTGTCATTAGATACTTTCGGCTGGTCGCTAAACCTAGGGAGAAAAATTCGACTGGAAAACGTAGGCAATAGATGGATTCATTTGAAATTCCAGGTCGACTGGTACATTCTTTCAAGTCTGTGCACCAAACATACCGATAATCAATACTTTATTTGGGTTGTTCTTTTTTATCTTGTCTGTATAAAGAGATATTGCGTTTTAAACAGGACACCCTGTATTTATGTGTATATTTTTAACCACATGATTTGGTACAATGCTGCCAATCTGTCTGAATCAACTTGCATAAGTTACATTATTTGTTTCCTGTGTAATTATTTGTATACGTTGACTTTCTTTATCAAAGGGGGGCTATGTATGGGGAAGTTTATTTTCACCTGCATTTTGAGAAAAGATGATGTACAAAATTCCAAATCGATAATTTTGGTGATATTGAGTTAGAAGTGCATTTTTTTAACAATTATTTTCTATCCAATTGTATCATTTTCTTTACCAAACCGATATAGACCATTTGAGTACCTGATTCTTCTTACAATTTTTGCGAATTGTGTGGCTCTAGCTGTATACACGCCTTACCCCAATGCTGATTCAAACAGCACAAATGCCTACTTGGTTAGTAATTAATTATACACTAATTTATTAAATTATAAGTATCAAATAATTTGAGTTCTAATTCTTTCTGTTTTAGGAAAAAATAGAATACATATTTTTAGTTATTTTTACCGTAGAATGTATTATGAAAATCATTGCCTATGGTTTTGTGGCGCATTCAGGAGCTTATTTACGAAACGGATGGAATTTATTAGATTTTACAATTGTAGTTATAGGGTAAGTACAATAGAATTAAATATTTTAAATGCGTACTGAAATTTTTTAAATTATTTTGCCATTTTAAACCTATTTGAGCGTTTAATGTTATAAATAAATTTACATAATTCTAATATATAATTTAAATATCAAATTAAAATTTATTTTTGTTTGGAATATTTTTTTTACAGTATGATAAGTACAGCTTTATCCAATTTAATGAAAGAAGGGTTCGATGTAAAGGCGTTACGAGCCTTTCGTGTTTTAAGGCCGCTAAGGCTGGTATCTGGGGTGCCAAGTAAGTATGCACAATGCAACAATTTATGCTGAAAATATTTCTAAAGTATACATCAAATGTCTGTAATTTTTTGATTTTTAGGTTTACAAGTTGTTTTGAATTCAATTCTTCGTGCCATGGTGCCTTTATTGCATATTGCACTGCTAGTACTTTTTGTAATTATAATATATGCGATCATAGGTTTGGAACTTTTTTCTGGAACATTGCATAAAACCTGTTTTAAAAATGGAACAGGTAAGTTTAATCAGTATTATTTTAGCCAAATTGTTTAATAGTATTGTATAGATGACAAATATTGTTCAATATATCTCGTTTCTTCTAAGAAGTTGATTGTTTTTCCTGGCTTGCTAGTCATTACAAGCTCCTTATATTTTTTCCATCCTGTGTTTTTTCCTCGTATCGAGTATCTGCTTAATAGAAAAATATGAAACATGCACATATTTACATACTCTCAGAAAGGCAGGCACTAAATTCGTATACTTTCAAATCCGAGCTTGTCTGGGACTTTTGAAAACCTGCTTGTTTTCATGCCATGAGTGAAGGATACACTTTTTTTTCTGGTTGGTCAACCTGTTTATTTCCTTCTATACCCTCATGTCCGGAACCCACTTTAAGGTAATCTTATGTGTTTTCTTAGAGACATTAGGCAATTCAGGCATCTCAGAGGACATCTTCATGGCCTTTTGTTAATTAGGAGATGCCTGTGCTTTAGTCTGTTGTGGCCTGTACATAGTCGAGTCAATACTATTTTATTTTTTATCCATCCTCTCCATGGCCCAGTTTGACCAACAGTTTCACTTATTTCAATTTGTTGTTCATTGTGGCTCATCGTTTCTGCCAATCTTCCCAGTATAAATTTTTGACATAATTTTTGGCTTCCGCCAGGCTGCAGGATCTCAGGGTCATGTGGCATTGTTGCTGCTCATTTGGCAGCTCGGTCAGCATTCAGGTTACTTTGTATGTCTACATGGCCCGGAGTCCAGGCAATTACAACTTCTTTTCTTTGTTTATTTATTTCACAAATTTTGTCTTGTATTGCCTGGATTAGCAGATCAATGGATGGCTAAGACTGCACTGAATGAATCATTGCATGTAATATATGGATTCGCACCCAATCTGTTCGATCTCCCTCAGGGCGGTCAACTTAGCTTTAAATATTCTTGCAATGTTTGGAAGGGAAATTTCTATGATGCGCCCTCTGAATATACCATGCTGCCAACCCCCTCACTGTCTCCGAATCATCTGTACATATAAATGTTGCAGTGTCATATTCTTTGAGAGACAGGAATTTTGCCTTATATACATTCGAGGGAGTTTCTTCTTTCTTCAGGTCCGCTATATCAACCCGTATGGGGAATGAAGGGAGCATCCATGGTTCCTTTCCTGATTCCCTAATTTTAATTTCTAGAACTTTGGGAACCGTTGCTTCCCTTGTGACCAGTATTTCTTTTATTCTGATTCCCAGTGACCTGGTATGGGTTCTTAGCTGGGTGTATCTTCCTTGCAGGCTTGATCGAACCGGGGGGCAGGACCCCAGCATCAATGCAGATACTGTTTACTCGGCTATTCCAGAAAGCCCCTGTTGCAAGTCTTTTCCTGCGATATATATTATATAGCTTATTCAGTATACCATTCCTAGTAGAAGAGGAGTTTAAACACCTGAAGCAGTACTTCTCTTGAATCTCCTCTTTTAAAATGTTCAAAAATTTCATAATAATAAGGACTTTTTTATTTGGATTGCTGTGTAATCTAAGTACTGTTGTCATCAAAGTTTACTACGAAATATTAGGCCAAGGTATCATACATTTTCCTCATACTTTAGGACCATTTCTTGTATAGGGATGGGGTCATATATGTTCTCTCCTCAACTTTCAAAAATGCATAGCTTGCATTTTGGCCCCTGAGAACACGAATCCTACTGCCTCAGCTGCAGTAACAAGCTTATCTATAGCATACAGTAATTTTCTTGCTATTTCTTCTATATCCCTTCTAGTAAGAAAGATTGTTAGGCCATCTACATACAATGATCACTTTTTCAGAGCTTCTATTTTATTAGCAATGTTGTTGACAGCAATCCCAAATAACATCATGGACAGTACCAATTCTTGAGGGATTTAGGTTGAAGGATTGGGAAAGCACATCATTCATGACCATAAATGCATTTATATAGGGTTCAATTTCAAACCTGTATAATTAAAATGTAAGGAGACGACTCACCTACTTATCATGTGTGCATTCATAATGATTAAGTAAACTGGATCGACATTCACACTTAATTTTTCACCATTATTGTTATTATTTATAATATATAATGCATCACAAATGTTTTAGATGAGACAATGGATGATCCACATCCTTGTAGTTCTATTGAAGGTGCTGGTTATCAGTGTAATGAAGTTTCGAGTGAATATGTTTGCCTCGATGGGTGGGAAGGACCAAATTTTGGTATAACCAATTTTGATAACTTTGGATTAGCTATGCTGACAGTTTTCCAATGTATTACTCTTGAAGGATGGACTGAAGTTTTATATAATGTAAGTATAATTGTTGCACTCATCCTCAGTCTTTTTTGGCAGTAGGAGGCATTAAATTTAATCATATTAAATAATAGTTGATATAATGACTCTAAATGCAATAAATTGAAGTAAAGGCAACATAAAAAGCCTTATAAAATTGTCAAAATTTTATTTTTTAATTTCAGATAGAAGATTCTTTGGGGAATACTTGGCAATGGATGTACTTTATATCTATGGTAATTCTTGGAGCTTTCTTCGTAATGAACCTAATTCTTGGTGTCCTTAGCGGGTAATTAATAGAAAAACGCTAATAAAATAATAACATAAATGTTGTACCAATTAATATTTTATTTTCTAGAGAGTTCTCAAAAGAAAGAGAAAAGGCAAAAGCAAGAGGAGATTTTCACAAATTGCGAGAAAAACAACAACTAGAAGAAGATTTAAGAGGCTATTTAGACTGGATAACCCAAGCAGAAGATATTGAACCTGAAGGGGAAGATAGGAAACGTAACGCTGATTCAAAAAGTATGACAAACATCATTGTAATTTTAAAATTATGTTTAGGAAACAGAATTTTAATTTCTTCATTATCAAATAAAATGTAATAAATCAAACTGTCTTAGTGCAAATATTCTTTGTGTGCTCTACCATAGTATATTGCGTGCATCTCTTACATTTCTACAGTTTGTTGTTTATTCATTCAATGATTTCTGACTGTCTGTAATTTCATGGACCAAACCATGCCAGAGCTCCCAGTTCCTTCATGGTTGAGTCCGTCACCTCTGTAATACAACGATAGCTCAAGTGGTAGAGCAGCGGCGTATTTAGCCAAAGGTCATGGGTTCGAATCCCGCTTGTGACACTGACTTTTTTATCTCGACCAATACCTTACATAAGGATTAATTAATTGAAAGATATTATTTTCATTATTATTTAATACTTTGCTACACATGACATATATGAGGGTTTCAAGGAAATAAAAAATTTGTACTGATTCTATATGAAAAATGTCTTGTCCTGGACACAGAACCCAGTTGAACCAATTGTTGAACTCAATAATTGATAAACACTTTTGATATGTTGATGCCCAAACATTAATTTTCTACCTTTTGATGCAGATAAAAGCAATCCAGAGACAGAGTCAGCCGATAGATTAGAGGGAGATGAAGGTGAAAAACAAGATTCATGGTTTGTTAAGAAAAAGAAAGATTTCGACAGGTATGCTCTCAATACTACTATGAATTTTGAACTTTTAATTAATTTCTGTCAATGTAAAATTTACTGCAGCGTGTAACTGTTTAAAAAGAAACTAACTAGTTGTAATAAAATTAGTTTTTTAATATAATTTCTTATTACAGGGTAAATAGAAGAATGAGAAGAGCTTGTAGAAAATCGGTCAAATCTCAAGCATTTTATTGGCTTATTATAGTGTTGGTATTTTTAAATACTGGAGTACTAGCAACAGAACATTATAACCAGCCGGCATGGTTAGACCAATTCCAAGGTATTAAGTTTATAATCTACATAGTTGTTTGTCATGTCCATTAAAAAACAAATAATAAATTCATTTGTTTTTGATGTAATATAATAAAAAATACAGATGACATTGTGGTGTTTAGGTGGACTAATTGAAAATATAAACTAACAACTGTTAATTAATGAAAATTTATATAAAAAGTGGATATTATTAATAATTTTTCTCTTTTTTCAGAAATAACTAATATATTTTTTGTTGCTCTATTTACAATGGAAATGTTATTGAAAATGTACAGTTTAGGATTTCAGGTATGACTTTCCATAACAAACTCCACTATGTTGAAAATACATTGACAGGCAAAAAAACCTCCCACTTGTAAATATTGTTCTTTTTTTATTAGTTTTTTATTTTAAATGTACAAAGTTTTTCTACTTTTAATAATTGAGTATATTTTATTTCAAAAAGTAAAACAACAATAGCTCAAAAAAATTTTAGGGGGTTTGGTTAGGAATGGTTAGGTTAGGTAGGGTTAGGAATTGATTAGGTTTGGTTAGATATGGAGTTAGGGTAATAATAATAATAATTGTATTTAATTATACAGATGTTTCAACATGTTTATTATCTTTAATTTGTTTAAGTACAAAGGATTACATTATGTCATGTATGAAACTTCATACTTTCTATCAGCCGAGAAATGTGTCTTTTCTGGAGGTTAGACCATTCTTTATGAAGAGGCCTTTCAAGATTCCAATGAGTATCACGAAGGGCTGCATTAGCCCTTACTCATTTCACAAACATATCTCCCTGTTCGATGGGATTTAAGTAAGGAGAACATCCTGGCAAGATTAAGACACTGATATGGTCTCCCAGAAAGGACTATACCAGTACCATTTGGACAGGCATTATTGTAGTAGTCAAAGACCCTCCACAAACAACAACCAACACTTCATTAGAATTCCTTCCTTGAACCATCAAAGAGCATCTTGAAATGCTCTGGGAAAAATTACATCTCCTTTTGTCTTCTTCACACCCTTACTGACCTATCCTGAGATCGTTGAACAAATCTATACTCAACTGTGAAAAGTACAGCTGAACACTGGTCCAAAGTCCATAGTGTTCTCGTGAAAAATAAAGCCATGAAACTTCAATTCAGCTTCTCTGATAGTTCAAAAAGCCATTAACATATATTCATTTAATCTTCTTAGGTCAGTTCAGAAATTTGTATTCCTCGAACTTCCTGGGGCAGATGACTCGTATGAATAACAGATACTGTAGAATGCCCAGAACTTTGCCTTCTAAGTCAAGAACCAGTTTGCTTGCTCAGTGATTAACAGCTTCACACAGTAGGGATCGATGGCATTCGCTGCATATTTTGCCTTTATCCTCAGCACTGAGAACCATTTTGAAATTCAAAAACAAATTTTTACTTAAACATAACAAGGTTACACAAAATAAAGGTGATTAATTGATTTGATTAGAGCTCAAATGAGACTAAATAAATATTTATTAAAAGCAAACGTTGTGAACGAAATCCTGAACTAACAACTCATATTCAACCCTAACCTTCCCTCAGTGATATATATTAGAATGAGCATAAATAAACATATATTGTTAAAATGAGAAAAAAATTAACAACAGAATATTCTAATGTCCAGAAAATGAAAAACATCAAGTGGGCAGAATTTTTAGCCTGTTATTGTGCATATTATTATTTGAAAATTTAAAAATATATTTAATCTTTTCTTTTTTACAATCAAAAAGCATGAATGTTACATTAAGCTCAAATTTACTTTCATCAAGTCATCCCTTGCCTATGGATATTTTGTTTATTTTTTTAAATTTTGCATTAATAGCAAAATTAGCTTAATTTTGCAATGTAATGCCTGCAGAAAGATTTTAACAAGACTGAGTCAAAATTCATCAAAGAGGTTTACAAATAAATTAGATGAATATATTAATATTTTTGCCTACATCATTGTTTGAAATGACAATTTTGTTTTTAATATTTTCAGGGTTATTTTGTATCTTTATTCAATCGGTTTGATTGTTTTGTCGTAATTGGAAGCATAGGAGAAATGGTGCTCACAAGAACAGATGTGATGCCCCCTCTAGGAGTGTCTGTGCTTAGATGTGTCAGGCTACTGAGGGTTTTTAAAGTTACCAAGTAAGATTTATTTAATCATGTATATTAATATAAGATTGTAATACATAAGTAACAAGAAACTGATAAGAAAGACAACAGTATTTGTAATGTGTGGTGATTAGTGACCATTAATCGATATTTATTTAGAAATCGTGAGATGCAGTCTGGTGTGATGTAGGTTTCAGAAAAACATTTTCTTTATCGTGCCAACGTTTCGATCATTATTGAGATCATCATCCAAAATGTAATTGTAATATGTAAACAATGTTTGTAAATCCCAGGCCCTGAAGATGATCTCAATAAAGGTCGAAACTTTGGCACAATAAAGAAAATGTTTTTCTGAAACCTACATCACTCCAGACCGCATCTCATGATTTCTAAATAAGTATTTGTAATAAATATTATCTAAATGCCAAACAAGATTGTCCGCTTTATGGAAAAACATTGAAATTTGGGTACCCATCCCTAACCTAATCCTATCTAACCTCACCATAACTCCAACCTAGCCTAACCCAACCCATGATTATTCCCTGGTAACACAAAAATGTTCACATAAAAACTTGTGAAGCCAGCCCAAAAACAAATCCATGTTAAAATTTTTTCAAATGATTTCTGTTTCTGCTAAACACTTCCTCTTTCAAATCATGGTCTGCTTGTAGTTTGTAGTTTTAACTAATATTACCTTTCATCAAAATGTTTTGTTATCCTTCATAAAAAAATTATATCGATAAATTATGTATGTGTAATATAATAGAATGTAATGTTTACAGGTATTGGAGGTCACTCTCAAATTTAGTCGCCTCTCTACTCAATTCAATTCAGTCTATAGCCTCACTGCTGCTTCTACTTTTCCTGTTTATTGTGATATTTGCTCTACTAGGAATGCAAGTTTTTGGAGGCCGGTTTAACTTTGATAAATCAAAAGAGAAACCAAGGCACAATTTTGACAGTTTTTGGCAAAGCCTTTTGACTGTATTTCAGGTATATTTCTTTTAAATTTGTTCTTTGTTTTATCCAAACAAGTAAGTTTTGTTTCCTTGGGCTAACGTATTTTTCTTTTCCAGATATTAACTGGTGAAGACTGGAATGTTGTGATGTACGATGGAATACGAGCTTATGGTGGTGTTTCATCAATAGGCATATTAGCATGCATTTATTTCATAATATTGTTTATCTGTGGTAATTGTATCCTTTTCAAAAAATATTATGATTTAGTGAGATAGATAGCCATATTTCAAAATTACCGTCAGTATAACCCTACTTGTTGGATTACACTAGCATTGATCATCAAGGATTAATAATTATTATCTATTGTGTAATGTAGCTTTTCATTGATAAGCAAGAATTTATACAATGTTTAAATATTAGGCAGAAAAAATATATTAAATTGTTATGGTCATATAAATCACTAATGCCTAACAGCAAAAGATCGCAAAGCATATCTGCTTAAAAAAATTAGAACCAAATTTTAAAATGTCTACATCCTTAACTGAATAAACAAAGATATTTTATTAAATGTTTTCTTGGCTATTGCCGTTGACAATTTAGCTGATGCAGAATCATTAACTGCAATAGAGAAAGAAGAAGATGAAGAGGTAATTTTGTTGTATTTAGCCATTTCAAATAGTATTTAAATAAAATTTGTATGCAAATTTGCGCAAATATATGACAATACTTTTTAAAATTTAATTATAAATATTAAAAATAAGATTACCGGGAGTCGGTGGCCGCAACGGTTAGAGAATTGACTGTAAGGGCCCAGGTTGAAATCTCAGCAGCTTTGATTTCAAAATGGACCTTTTCTTTTCAAAACACTGGAGCCCTGGGTTAGTTAATATGACCTCTACTGTTGTGAACCCCTGTAAATGCATAAATAAATTAATTTAATTAAATAAAAAGATTAAGGTAAGCCATGAATTTTACGTTTAATAATTATTTGCACAAATATTGTTTATCGAATGCTAAATAACTTCTATTTACTGAATTTACTTACTTTTGAATTAAGTTAAAATTGTTTAATGATATTGTCTAATTTGTTTTACCAGGATTTAACAAAAACACTTACCTACCTTGGTTCAATAAAATGATAAAATTTCAACTTTGATTTTTTTTCTTAGATATATTCTATATATTTTACATTGATATGTTTCTTTATTGATGTATGATTTAAAGGCTGAAAAACAAGAAATGTCTAAAAGTGCTTCCCCCGCTAGAGATGAGTGGGGAGAGGAAGAGGAAAGAGAAAGACATAGCGGCGAGGAAGAATTAGAAGGCCAAGAAGAATTTCAAGAAAGAATTGAAGAAGGGTAAATGAATAAACAAAAACAAACTTGTTCACTGTTTACATTCTTTTCAACATAAATGATTAAACGAATTATGCTATCATCAAAATACTTCCTATAATTTTAGTTCAGTTAAAGAAGAGGGTAGCGCCAAAGTTCGAGTAGAAGAAGAGGAAGAGGAAGAAGAATATCATTATGATGAAGAAAATGATCAGCATGGTATGTTGGATTAATAGGAATATTGAATTACTATTGGATTGTAAATGGAAGTTTCCACAGCCAAGCTTATTGAGTAAAATGTAATATTTGTTTTGTCACTATTGGACAAAATATTTATTTCGACTACAGATTGTTTTCTACAATTTTGAGTGAATGTATGTATTCATACATTTAAAGAAAATTGAAGTTGAACTTAATCAGAAAAAGAATTAAAATAGCTATAATTCTATATATATACTGACAGGCCAGAAATTATGCGCACTTGGTGTTTGTTCTGACCAAATCAATCCCTTTATTTTGTGTATTCATGTTAAGTTTAAGTAACAATTTAAATTTTTGAATTTCAAAATGGTTTTTAATGCGAAGGATGTAGGCAAAATATACAGTGAATACCATCAATCCCTAAAACTGTGTGAAGCTGTCAGTTGTTGTCTACAATATCTGTTATTCATGCGATTCATCATCTCCAGGAAGTTTGAGGAGTATTTATGTTAATGGCTTTTCGCTCTATCAGAGGAGCTGAATTGGCCAGAACATACCAAGTTTGAAGGCTTCACTTTTCCCAAGAAAGCTTTGGTCTTTAGACTAGTGCATGCTCATGACAATTTTGCATGAGTGTTGGAGAAGACAAAATGAGAGATATTCAGATGTAATTTTCCCAGAACATTTCAAGGTTGCTCTTTAATGATTTAAGAAAGGCATTCTAATGGAGTTCCTTACAGAATGGTGTTCGTGGAGGGTCAATGAGTTGCTTGCTACATAGATTACATTGTAATCTCATGTGCTATCGATTCTCAATGACATCAGCAAACATCCTATTCTCATGCATGATAATGCTCATCCACATGTTGTTAGCAGTTTCTGGAAGACCATAACATTAGTGTCTTCACCTGGCTAGCTTGGGAATTGAGTAGAAGCTTATGCAGTCCTTCCCGATCCACTTTAGAACATGAAAGGACTTCTTGAAGAACAAGCTAACCTCCAGCTAAGTGACATTTCTCAGCTGGCAGAAAATACGTCAAGGCATCTTAAAGATCTTATTAATTCAAAAGGAAGAACGCATTATTAGAAGGCTTAAAATTTGCACTTCCCACTTTCATATTTTCTCTGCTTCAGGGAAAAACATAAAATCATGGATATGTAACCTAACTCTAATTCCAACCTCACCCATCCCTAACTCTAACCCATACTCTAACCACTCTTAACCTTACTAACTAAACAAAATATACTCAATTATTGAAAGTAGAAAAGCTTTATAAATTTAAAACAAAACATATAAATATAAAAAATAATCAATAAAAACCAATATTTACAAGTGGGAGGGATTTTTTGTCTGTCAGTTATAATATTGGGTTGTCCGGAAAATAATGCAGGATTTTGGTATTAAACAAAAAAAAAGAAACTAGTTACTTTAAAGCAATGTTCTTTAATCAAAATAATTTCCCATACTCTCAATACATTTCTCCCAACGTGTTGGTAACTTATTAATTCCGTCTGAGTAGAATTCAGAATTTTTAGAATTGATAAAGTCAATAAATGCATTTTCCAGTTCCGTTTGATTTTTGAATATTATGTGTTGTAAGTAGTGGTCCAGGTGTCTAAAAAAATGGTAGTCAGTAGGCGAGAGGTCCAGAGAGTAGGGTGGGTGAGGCAAAGTTTCATAGCCAAGCTCCAATAATTTTTGTGACGTTACACGTGACACATGTGGTCGAGCGTTGTCATGCAACAAAATGGGCCCTTTCCGATTGACCAAAGAGGGCTTCATTACTGCCAATTTCTGATGCATGGTATTAATTTGGTTACAGTATGATTCAGCATTGATGGTTTCGCCAGGATTTAAGAAGCTGTAGTGTATTAAACCAAATGAAGCCCACCATACCGTAACCATTACCTTTTTTTGATGAGTTGGGGGCTTTGGAAAATGTATTGGAGCTTCTCCTTTGTCGAGCCACTGTCCAGAATCCACTTTTCGTCACATGTAACAATTCTGGCCAGAAATGGGTCATTTTTGTTTCGACAAAGAAGTGATGCACAAACATCAAAGCGCTGATTTTTTTGGCGATCGTTTAATGAGTGTGGAACCCAATTTTCGAGTTTTTTCACTTTTCCAATCGCCTTGAGGTGGTCAGCGACGGTCGTTTTACTGACTTTGAGTTGCTCTGCAAGTTCTCGAACAGTTGTTTTGGGGTTTTCTTCCACCACTGATCGCAGAACATCATCATTAAGAGAGGAAGGCCTTCCACGACCTTCTTCATCTTCAAGGCTGAAATCTCCCTCCCGAAATTTTTTAAACCACCTTTGCACAGTGCACTCATTAACACAACCCTCGCCCCAGACTTGGTTAATGTTTCTAGCCGTTTGGGCTCCGCTTCGGCCGAGTTTAAACTCGTAAAAGAAAATCGTACGAAATTCTCGCTTTGACATTATAAGGATGACTGAATTATTTCCAAGTAGCGGAATGCTACAGAGGTAAACAAACAATATCATTTGGAAGAGGATTAATAAGTGTTGACATTCATACAAATGAGTAATCCTGTAAACGTAAACAGAATATTTTATATAGATTTTTTTTAATGAAAACTTAAAATCCTGCATTATTTTCCGGACAACCCAATAGAATATGTGAATTTATTAGGAAACATGGAGATTATTTTGAGCATGCTTATTAATTTCGATTTTGGTAAGAACACAATAAGAGTTATAATTATAAGTTAAAACCCTTTGCACAAAAATAGATTTTGTGAAGATAAATTAAGTGTTAGTTACTCTTGTACAGCCCACACTTTCTAGCACTCAATTGTTCACTCAAAACTTCACAATTAATTGCATATTTTATTATTTATATTTTAAATTAAATAAATATGAATAAACTAAAATATATATTTTTTTCATTGATGTAACAATTGTAGAATTGTTAGAAATGTAGCCCTCAATTTGTATTTTGAATGCTAATTTTTAGATGCAAATGTTTAAATAATAAGGGGGTGTGTCTTGATACATTTTGCAAGGGTTTCTTAAAGATGTATTAAATTCCAACAACCACAAAAAATGTTAAATAATTAGATAGGGTAAGATTTCAGAATATGAAAAATTCACAATAAAATACATAAAGATTATACAATCGACTGTGTACATAGAACTCTATATTTAATTATATGTTACTTTGTAATTTGGTCATTACCGATCATTTTGGTCTGCTTATCCTCGCTGGTTTGGTATGTCAAACGCATTTTGCCATCTTCAGTGTGTCTGTTATAGACCGAAGAAAATAGTGAAATGCTGAAACTTGACAGACAACACAGTGAGATAGGTAGACCAAAATAATTGATAACAACCAAATTTTCTTCGCCCCATAGGCTATATAAAAAATCTCACAATTTACGTGATAATTGCTCAAAATATTTTAGTAAATTTGCTTACAGCAAAATATGATGAAAACAGTTTATATATATCTTTAAATTGACAAATTGGGCTTATGGTGTTCCACATCTGTTAAATACACGATAAATAATTTATTTTTTAAAAAATTAATAGAAAAGATACTGTAAAGTAATTCTTTCAATCTACAATCAGGGCGGAAACAACGTCCATCAGCGGTTCCTCGCAGGATGTCTGAGTCAAGTGATAAAGTACAAACAAAGCCTCTTCCACAGGCATCAGCATTCTTTATATTTTCAAAAGATAACAGGTGTGTTCCCCAAACCCATCGGTTGACCGCACAAATTTGAGATTTGACACTGTTTCCTTGTAACATCTTCCTTTGTGTATTTTTCTGATACTTCTACCAAATTGGTGTATAATTGAATAATTAACTTAATGCTTTTTGTTTCTCTACGCTTAAATAGCTAATAACATTGGATGATTAAGGAAACTGTGACAATATCACATTTGCATGATAGGAATGAATGAGTATGCTGCAATGTTTTAGCTAGTTTTTAAATTTGGCATATTGAATATTCATTTCGGAGGGGCGTCGATTATTGGTAGTTTAGAATGTTCAGTTATTTTCTGTTGCATGGTAGATATGGAGGAATTAGAAGAAGGTGTTACCGCTAGACCAAGAAGGCTCTCTGAGTACAATATGGCAACCAAACAACAGCCTATTCCAGCTGCATCCTCTTTCTTCTTATTTTCTAGAACCAACAGGTGATCATCAGTCATTACTATAGTTCATATAGTATATAAAACAATACAAGACATTGTAAATATCTTTGCAAACTTCAGTAGCATTCATTGTTCAATTTTTTAAGTTGGAAACTAAAATAAAGTAAAATCAGTACACATCATAACATTTTTTTTAAATTAAATTCTCTATAGAAGGGTTTTTATAGTCGTATTTACTGAGTGATGTAGTCTTTTATGTTTTCAAAAGAAAGAAGAAGGTGTTGTTTGAAGCAGATAGAGCAACAAAAGTAATCATAGTCAATTTTTAGTGCATTTTAATCATAGCAATGGTGACTATAGTGATCATATTAGAACTAACAATGACACAAATAAGATTTTGCTTGATAACTTTTTAGAATAGACTAATTCTTGTATGTTTCAATGTTTTTACTATTTTATTTCAAAATTTCATGCAATTAAACTCGAAACAGTTATTCATTGGGCCAATTTTTAAAAATTTATTTATGTGAATCATTTATAAAATAATCATACGTATATTTTACAATATTAGCGACGGAAGTCCCCCCCCTCAGATAGTTTTAATCCTCTTGTTATGGTGAGTTTCTAAATAAATAGTCAGTCAACTGGATATTTTAGAAGAATGAGTGAATTTAAAGTAATAAAGCAGATACTTTTTTTTTCAATTGTGATATTGAAACAATTTGTCCACAATTGGTTTTTACAAATGGATGTTTTTGTAAACAATGCAAGCGTATCGAATGAATTCTAATGATTATAATAAAAATTGCATGTTTTTTTGCTTTTATATACTAATTACAATTAATTATAATTCATTTTAATATTCAATTGCATTGCTAATATTTTGTAAATAAACTTTTCATTTAAATAGATTGACTATATATTTTGAATAATTTTTATCTTAAAAATGCACGCTATTTATTAATCTATGTTCAAAATTTACACCATTAGAACATTTGAATAGATCCAACTGATATTTTGCTTTTTTTTTGGTATGTTATCAGATCACAATGTTCTCTTTATATATTGTGTTTCAATGATTTGTATAATTTTAGTAAATTCCTAAAAGCATTTTTCTTTTAACTTTACTTGTACTAAAAGTATGTTATAAAAATAGTTTTGAAATACTCAGATGAGTTTTAGAATAAATTATAAGTGAAACTAACTGATTAAACTTGAAAATCTTCTTTTTTAATAAATATTATTTACACAGATTCCGGGTATTCTGTCATTGGTTCTGCAACCACAGCTACTTTGGAAATGTCATATTGGTTTGTATTATGGTTTCTTCTGCTCTACTAGCAGCTGAAGACCCACTAAGAGCTGATTCCCCAAGAAACAAAGTAATACAATTTAGACCATAATTTAGGGAGGCTTTTAATTACTGTATTTTATTTTCCAGGTATTGGTGTACTTTGACTATTTCTTCACAAGTGTCTTTACCATAGAAATATGTTTGAAAATGATTTCTTATGGTGCTTTTTTACATGACGGTGCGTTTTGTCGATCAGCCTTTAATTTACTTGACTTACTCGTTGTTTGTGTATCTCTTGTCTCAATGTTTTTCAGGTAAGCATAATATAAAATTTATCTCACAGAAAAAGTTTGTAATAAGAAGTCAAATATTTTTTCACAAATTATTTAAATAAACCAACCAAATTTTCAGTTCAGGAGCGATTTCTGTTGTAAAGATTTTAAGAGTGCTCAGAGTGTTGCGCCCACTGCGTGCAATTAATCGAGCTAAAGGATTGAAAGTAAGTATATTTTAAATTTTACATGCAGCATTGATTAGCATAAACTTATACTGGAACAACTACTGCAATAAGATTGTACAGACAGGTCAAATAATTAATGATAAATATTTTTCAATCATTACGACTTGTAACATTGAATTGTTTTGAACTATTTTTAATTAATAAATGCATACAGATTTATTTTACAGGCTGAAATTTTAATTAATTTTTTTTCTAATGTCACATCGATAAATAAGCACATTAAATAGGAAGGTATCGTCACAAGTCAGAATTTCTCTTATTTTAATGATATTACCTGTCCTTATAGGTAAATGTCTCAACGAATATTAATCCTCAGTGCCACAGGTCTGTTGTTATACAGGTTATTTAATAGCTAATTTTAATCGGTTTTGCACTAGCCAGACGCCAATGTAAATCTCAAACAATATTTTCAAAGTCGCAATATGTTGTCCCTCAAGTTTCTGCTTTCAGTTTCGTGTAAGTTCATCATTTCTGTTAGTAAGTGTGTGAGAAGTATCTGTGGCGCTCGAAAGTTCAAATGACCATTGTCCAAATTGTCTTTTTGCAGTGGATTAGTAAGTTTTTCTAACTCTTTTCCATTTGTAGAAAGACAAATAATAGAAAGTACTAGTGAGTAAAGCAATTCCTGTCATACAGACTTAACATCCGACTACCCGTCGGGTGTTCTGGACGTGGGTCAAATCACTTTTACAAAAAAATCATATTATTTGGATTTATAAAATCTTGGGATATGCCAGTATAAGTTAGTTAAAAAAAATAGTAAATATTGAATAATTGGGTTTGACTTGTTGAGTAAATTGCATCTGTGACCTAGACATAGCAACCTGTGGCATCAAGGATTAAAAAGTAGAGACAACACTAATCTATTTTTCATTATCTTTGTTTTCTTAGTCTTTTATATGTATACAATTTTTTGTAAATTTCTTTATACTGTTATAAATTCAATCATTAAACACATGTAGATTTACTAAATGATAACAAATGATCAGTTCATTTATAAAAGGATATTATTACCACTTAATTCATTCTACTGCGACATTCTTTGCCTTTAATTTTAAATAGCACTTTTTTGAATGTTTAAACGTTTTTGTATATTAATAGCACATATAATGTGCAATCGTGATGTTATATTCTGAAAAAACAACACTAAGCATTAGACATAATTAAAGATTTATGAATCATTAAATTCATAATAAAATAGAATGTTCTACGTTTTCTAAACATTAAGATGTAATTACTATTGAAGTCCATATAAATAATTAAACTCAGCAGCTAGATTTAAGGAATATTTGTTGCATTGAAAAGTTTACTCGTCGTCAGAATTTGTTTGAGACCACATTGCGATCAACAGTGATGCATTTATTGAAGCTCAATATCAAATTTATATTTTAAAAAGCAAGATTTTATATGCATACTTTTGTTTCTGTTTAATTATGAATTGTTGCTATATCAATGAAATTTACAACTGGGGGACCACAGTGGCAGACTGGTCAGTGTGAAAGTCTCTTGGCTCGTAGCCGCGGTCCTGAATTTGATTTCCACTGTCGCCTCTGGAATTTTCTTTCCCACTTCCCTCTTACAAAAAAAATATATATGGAATCTGTCCAATACTTAAAGCATAAGACCAATTAAAAAAAAAAAAATCCAATTGAAACAGATTCATCACAACTGTTTATTGTTATATATACAGATTCAGATCGTGAAAACACTATGCTACACTGACATGCAAAATGTCTCTCCCACTTGTAAATATTGTTCTTTGTTGATAATTTTTTATATCTATTTTGTTTTAAATTTACAAAGTTTTTCTACTTTAATAATTGAGTATATTTCGTTTCAAAAAGAAAAACAATAATTGCTCAGAAAATTAAAATGGTTTCATTAGGTTAGCTAGGGTTAGAGACAGATTGCATTAGGCTAGGGATGGGGTTAAGTTAGGTTAGGCAGGATAGAATTATGGTAAGGTTACATACCCAACATTTTTTTTTAACAAATCAGAAAAAATATGCAAGTGGAAAGTGCCATGTTTTTTCTACATTTTTAGCTTTCTAATATCACGTTCATCCTCTTGTTAATAGAAGACGCCATGGCCATTAATCCATTCTTCATGACCCCCTTTCAAGATTCTAAAGTGTATCAGGAAAGGTTGCACGCGCTCTTACTCTTCTCCTGAGCATATCCCCCTGTCTGATGAGATTTAAGAGAGGAAAATGGGCTGGCCAGGTGAAAACAGTAATGTTGTTGTCTTCCAGAAGGGTTTGGGCTATGCAAACAACATGTGGATGGGCAATAGGAAATACAAATCAGATAATCGTTGATATCATTGAGAATGGTGGTAATACATGTGATTCCAAAATTTCCAAAATTCACAAAACAACAACCAATTCTAAACGACCCATTTTGAGATCATTGAGACTCATCCTTACTGACTATTGTGGTCAATCCAGCTCTGACGGAAAAAGCCAATAATACATCAGTTAACGTTCTTTGAACCGTTCTTTAGGAGGTTTGTACTCCTCGAACTTCCTGGAGTCGAAAATGATGAACATCAAGTGGGCAGAATTTTTTGCCTGTCAGTGTATTATGAATTCCAGTCATTAAGTGCAGTACTACAATTATCAATCATGTAAATTTTCATTTAGCACGATTATTTAAAATAGCAAATATGCCGTTTTTTCTTGTCAATTTGGAAAGTAAAAGGATACAAAAGTGAAAATATTCTTAAGTTTGAATGATACCACAATTGGCAACATAATCAAAAAAGCAGAAAATAAAGTGTGGGTTTTATATTTATAAAGACCTGCTATGATATTGCACGGCCATGGTTGATATTTATGGTATTTAATAGCAAAGTAGGTACTTTAAACATTTTTTTAAAACACTCGGTTTTTAAATATTTGTTTTATACCACATACTTGTATCAAAGAAACATCAAAGAAATATTATTTTTAACTCTTCTCTTAACTTTGTATAACATAATTACTCATTTTATAGAATTATTATAACTTTTTTTATAAGTTCTTTCTCACTTATTGTAAAGAATTGGAAAGTTTTCTCTTTGTAATGTTTGCCCGACATACAAAAGGATATCAAATTTTGGTGAATTTTAATAAAGTATAAAAATAAGGAAAGGATAAAGTACTACTCAGTACTTAGATGTGTTCAAGATAAACGCAATCGATGTGAAGCTTTGACTGTACGTTATTGAGGATGCTTCGAATGTGAATGTTGATTTTTTTTAAAGATAATCTCAGCCAATGAACACCTCTATCATCATTGAAATGTATTTTATAATTTACTTTTTGTTTTTATTACAATTTCAAGTTTTCAGAAGATGATTAATGTTGGCCCATCATGTAATGTTTAGCATGTAGTGCAGTGTGTGATAGTCGCAGTAAAAACTATTGGGAACATTGTGCTGGTAACGTGCCTTCTCCAGTTCATGTTTGCCGTAATAGGAGTTCAATTGTTCAAGGTAGGGCTGAACGCCTGCGCCCCCACCTGTGCAAACCACCACAAAAATTTTGCCATGCATTTCTGCTCATCTCTTCTGTTTTGCCCTTCCTCAACACTAAATTCCAGAGTGGATACAACTATTTCTATATTGACAAACCCTTTCAACAATATTGTTATTGCTTTTTAACTTTGAATACCAATACGGAAGATATTAATACATTAATAGATTTGTGAATTTTTTTTCTTTTACTTAAAAAAAACCATGAGTCAATAGTCTTATGATTAATTTTTTTCTTCAAAACAGGATTAGTATCACCAGTACATCCAATGTAGACATAGAAATCCCTTCCCCTATTAAACTAATGTATTATACACAAATGTTTATTTCTACCATACCGGGTTTTTACATTTTGCCTTTCTTGAAGTTTCAATGTTAAACGTATAAATGGAGACAAAAATAAAACAGAGGATGCAACAAATTTTCAGATACATTTTTAGTTAAACACTTCCAATATTAATTATATCCTCACTAATAGAAATTTGACTATTTATCATCAACATAAACTCATTGTCACTATTCTAAACACTAACTAATATTACTGCTCTACTTTTGGCTTGTTTGGTTTGGAGTGAGTTTATGGTTTTGGTTTTGTTTTAAGTTTCTATTGAAATTTTGGTAAGAATTACATATTCAGTACATGCGTTATAAGTTTTTTTTACATTCTTATGTACCTTCATACACATTTGTTAGTGTACAAATGTATTTTTAAAATCTCATTATTATAGGGGTTTTGTTCAATTGTTTTTTTAAAAGTTGTATACAGAGTTTATAAAAGTTGTCTAATACAACCAATTTAAAAGAAATATTACTAAGAACTTGAATGTAAATACAGTTTTGTCAATCATTAATTTGTTAGGTATCAATTTAATTTTTACTTAGTGCCTAGAGAAATCAAATGTCTTTTTATAGCCCAAATTATTTAACATCTTTTGTTACAGCTTAGCAGCCATTTGTTTAAAACAAAAACAAAAATCTCACAATTTGGCTGTACTGTTGAGCTATCTAACAAAACTTTCATGCAACCAGCTTTTAACCATTTCTTTTTATACTATAACAGTGAAAAAATGTAAATAAATTCAATATCAAATTGTTAAATCCCCATTGGGTTTTAGACTACAGTGAATTCCATATAATTTCTATGACTTGAAAAAAATGAAAATAAGTTTTTTTTTTCTGTCAATGCCCAATAGTTGTAACCAGGTGAAAGCAATTTATTTTTCAAACACAATTACGCACTGCTTTTTATAAATTATTCACGTTTTCAACAAACCGCCTAAAATGCACCAAGAACATAACAAGTTTGTCTTGTATACGTTTGAATATTAAATTGAGTGTACATAAATGGCCAGTTGAAAAAAGCATTCTATGCACACGTGACAAGTGGTTTTAAGCTACAGCATGATTATATGTAAAATTCAATTCTGAAATATCACTTTTTTTTTAACCAAACACATATTGAAATAGTACAATTAGGAAATTACTATGGCTCCAAATTGTAATACTAGACATTAGATAACACCTATATTATGAATTATTTGTATCTTACTAACAAGGGAAGTATACAGACTTAAGATAACAGATTTTAACTAAACCTTTTTTGGTGACTAGGTCATAAAATGTTAGTCCCTTGTCTCAGGATTCTTGTCAATTGGCCGGCTATAGGAGCTGAGAAAAAATTAAGTCATCTGATAATTTTTAGAGAATTAAGAAGAGAGAGAATTTTTAATTATGTTTTCTGCCTTTCCTGTACATTTATATCAAGGCTATTAATTGTGGGGGGGATATTTATTCAGCCTTTTGTTAGTAAGAAATAAAGTTGATATTCTGAACCCCAAAACAAATTTTCGAGAAGATCAAAAAATATTTTATTTTTATTTTTCTTCTCTTCCACATGCTTTAGATATTTTTTTCTATAGCTTTAACGCATCTCTGTCGATCTTCAGGAAGTGCAAAAATTTAGAACGCTATAAACTAAATGTAATGGCATAAACTTGGCCTCTGTAAATAAATTAGAACCAGAAATATAAAATAAACAGTTTCAGGAGTTTTTGTTGATATCCTTATTTTTCGGACTGGTAACAACACTGTCTAAAGTCTAGAAGTTACCATTGTCACCTTGCTCCAGATTTTTTACTGGATGCTTCTGTTTTTCTGACATTTTATACCTATTTATATATTTTATATCTAATCTCATTTAATATGTAAAATTTAAAAAAATGACTGGCATATAATAAGCCTGAAATATATGCACAACAAAGAAAACCATAGGTAAATTATTTTTAAAAAATATTTCTTGGCTGCTAGGGCCTATTGGCAAGAATGCCTGTACTGATGTTAAATATTTGATCTAGTATCACCAAAAAAAGTTTCATTAAAATCGGTGATCCCACATCCATAGCTTTCTCTTGTTTTACTGTGCATTACTATTGTGCAATAATTAATTGTGGTGCATAAGTAAAGAAGTATGAATGTAAAGAAAAATAATAATAAGTGATATAATGTTGCTGGCACATAGGTAAATAGGGAGTACAAAAAATTAATGATGATGGCAAGTTTATATTTGTTAAAAAGAAAGCTCCATTCACATGCAAACATTTAGTATATTGACTCTCAAAGACACTTCTTACATATTATTTACTATAAATTGTCAAAAATGTTGTCTTTTATTATTATTAAATTGTATTTATTTCATCAAACTGTTTAATAATACTTTCTTAAGGTGATTTTTTTAATTATTACAATGTATCTTTTAATTTATATAATTCTGATATCAGTCAGTACATCGAGGTATATAACACAACATTACAGCCCTGTTAAGTGATTCGCCTGCTGAAAAGTATGCAGTATTAAGATATTTATACTGTATGTTAAGAAAAAGGATAAAATACATATGTAAAAAAAAATATTGTGATGAGTACTGTAATACATATTTTTATATACTATCCATATTCAAAGTAACATTAGGCTTTGATGTATTCAAAACGTAGATTTTTATGGTGTATGAAATTTTTAGACATTCAATTCGTTTTTCGCAAATAATTTTAAAGAATCAAAAGACAAGAAATAATAATAAAAAAAATAGTATTAAGCTAAAAATTTACAATTAATGAGGCAAATTGGTTTTTAAAGTTTGTTTGAAAATTGTTTGAATTTTTATTATTATTATATAAATGTACTTGTATAAAAGTATAAATTTCTTTGCTGCAAGAACACACTGAATTATATAGAAGACAAACTGTAATAAATTGTTGTAAGTTTTGAGTTTTTGACTTAAAAGTTGTTCATGTAATTGTACATCTGGTTTCTTTTAGAGAACTTAACAGCCAGTTATTGGTTTCATTTCAAAAATTGTGTTTTGGACTACCACAACCCCTCCTCAGCGATGACCTACCCTGAGTCTGGAAAAATGTCTATTCATTCTTGAAATATACACATTTGTTGAAATAAAAACAATAACTGGTTGTTGTTAAGTTCCATAAAAGAAACTCACTCTACAAACCATATTTTTTGAAATAATTCATAATAATTTGTTTTTTACCAGCCGTGTTAAATTCAATTTTTGAATTTTTGTTGATTATTGGTCAAGGAGACAGCCAGGGAAAAGGAAATATTATATATATAAAACATTGTAATTTTTGATATCTTAAAAACAACAATTGCTGCTGGAACAAAAGTTTTATGATTCTTCTCATCACACTCGCTAAAAGAATGCGCACAAATTATACCTAAGCCTCATAATGTGCACAACTGTTATATAATGTCATTGACATCATTTAAATAATTTAAAAACTTATAAATAAAATTAAATATATAGAGGTTTGCAGAATCACTAAATTGAAAGGATGATATGTAATGTGCACTTTTCCATTGGATTCGCTAGTTTACACTTAATTTAATTGCAGAGCATTTTTGTTTTAAAATGAAACTAATAGGCAATTATACCAAGGTTTTAGTTGATAACATTACTATCATCTCAGGTAGTCAATTATGCCGAGGTTTTAGTTGATAACATTACTATCATCTCAGGTAGGCAATTATGCCAAGGTTTTAGTTGGTAACATTACTACCAACTCAAGTAGGCAACTATGCCGAGGTTTTAGTTGGTAACATTACTACCAAACCAAGTAGGCAACTATGCCGAGGTTTTAGTTGGTAATATTACTACCAACTCAAGTAGGCAACTATGCCGAGGTTTTAGTTGGTAACATTACTACCAAATCAAGTAGGCAACTATGCCGAGGTTTTAGTTGGTAATATTACTACCAACTCAAGTAGGCAACTATGCTGAGGTTTTAGTTGGTAACATTACTACAACTCAAGTAGGCAACTATGCCGAGGTTTTAATTGGTAATGTTACTACAACCTCAGGTAATCTTAAAAAACATAACTTTCGAATACGATTATTTGTTTCTTAGCATGAATAGTAATAATAATAACAATAGTAGAAATTTATAAAAATGGCATAGTTGATCCAGCCTTCCGGATGCCATTGAGAATCGAAATTTTACCGTAAGGTATGCCTTGTATAGTGCCACAAAAAAACAACGAAATTGAAAAATGCATTTCACATCCGTTACTTTTACATTGGGACAAAATATCAAGAATTACAACGTTTTATATAAAAAACTGATTTCTTCTTCTTCCCTGGCCGACTCCTTGACCAATAATCAATACAAATGTAAACAATAATAATTTATACGTTAAAAACAAACATTTATTATTCAGTAAGTTGGCAATCGGAGAGTGATCAATAATCTTAAATTCCCCTGTAAGAAAAAATTTAATCTTCTTCCAAAGAAATTGTTTTTTAGTTTGCATTGCAACAAAAATTTCTTGTTGCAATAGTAAAATAGGCTTGAAGAATAATGTGTCATTGTGACGTTTAAAAGTACAACATGGTAACATATTTAAAGATTTAAACATTACTTAAAATATAGAAGTATGTTTTTGTTATTGAAAACAGAATAATTACTTGAGCATTTTATTTTAATGATTTTTTTTTCAAAAATACAAAACTCTTATTTTCTCTATTAACATATTCCATTTTTTGTTTTTAAGGAGTTGGTTTTTCTAAAGCCATTAAAAGTTGTTCATTGTATTAAGATCATTTTAATGGCAAACCCTGCAAGACAAAGCTTAAATTCATAGAAATAATTTGTTAATCTTGATCTCATTTAGTTACTCTGGTAAGAAAATTGTACAAATTCACTTCACTTATGTGGAATTGATCATTCTGCTTAGAAATGGTTGAAATATAAGTTGACATATTCAATTATTATGCATTTGTTTTATACAATTTTTGTCAGTTTCACCTATTAAGGTGCATTAAAAAAAAAAACTCCAGAAAAATAATGGTTATAAAACTTTAACTATTTAATGTTAGCTATAGTTCTACAGAATTAGATTTGTTTTTCCAATCCATTCTTTCCCGGATGTTTCTTTCCTTGTTTGTAGTACGTAGTCAAATGCGTGATAGTTGCGATAAAGACCATAGGAAATATCATGCTGGTAACATATCTACTCCAATTCATGTTTGCTGTCATAGGAGTCCAACTTTTTAAGGTAACTGGGCATTTCTTAATGGTCAAAAAACAAATTTCTCTTATCTCATGTTATTATGTCTTTTTCTCATCAATTATCTATCTCTTTCACTCTATCCGCCTTCTTCTGTAAATTTGTGCACGACCGCTTATTTATCAAATCATTAGATTTTCAACTCATTTTGAATAGTATTTAGATAATTTTTTAACTTTATTATTTGAAATGAGTTACAGTTAAACGGCTGGCAAATTGCTTAAGCACTCTTTTCTTTTTTCGTACTTTTCTCACTGGAAAATATGCATGGCCGTAAATACGCATAGTAGTAGATGTGGTTTCACTTTATATACTGTCTTTAAGTTCAAATAACACAATTTTCAGTGATAAAACAATTATTAACCAAACTTTTTCAATAGAACAGTGATTAATACTAACACACAACACAAATTTTAACTACATAATATGAAATACAGACTAAATTCATGTAAATAGCATTAGACATGTTAGTTAAAATGAACATTAAAAAATATATATATGTGCGATATTACCTGGATTATGTTACCTACTTACACTTCTTTAAATGGTAAAAAATAACACTTCTACAGCTCTTAATACAAAATATTAATTGTTCATAACAAAATACTATGGAGTTTTCATTTAGGTTTATAGTATTTTAAGTAAAACAAACTCGTTTTCCTGCAGTCCACAATGAAAACAAGCTTTAGTTATTTTTATTACAAATTTTTGGCTTACAATTGCCCTTTAACCACAATTGGATCTTAATTTGAACACTATTAGGTAAAACCATGTATCGGTTCTAAGATTTGCCCGAAACTGTTTGTAACATAGTCATAAGATTTTAATACATCAAATATTAACTGAACATTTGGTATTATATGCGTTTGCATAAAATGTTGGTATATTTTATTGAAGACACGTTTTCCTAAATTTTTCGTCAATTTTCTTTTTACTTTGTTAATAAGTCCAGTATTAAATTTTCTTTCCTTTTTTAAATGTGTTTTATTTTTTGTATAATTTTTGAAAATTAATTTAAGGAAGGAACATTTTAAATATGTTTATTATTCAGTTTTTTCCTTTTTTTTAATTATCTACTTGGGACAGTTTATGATTATATTAAAATTTTATTAAACAAGAAAGTTCTACTTTTTTTTATTAAACAATTCTACTTATTTTATTGTACAATTTATTCTTCTAGATGATTATGTTATACTGCTTTGTTTATTGTTGAAAAAAATTGTCCATTAAATATTATAACTTATTTAAATATTGCATTTTAGTTATAGTTGTTAAAATTATCGTTATTGGCTGTGATGGGTATGACTGAGTAAAATACCTTCTTTTTTCCTGAGTTAAGAATGTTAATTTTATATCCAAACAGACGATATAAATGATTTTACTTTCAACCAGTTAGAGAACATATAATGTATATGTTATTTTTTTTAATATTTAATAATTGCATTAGGATAAGCCAATAAACTCAGTTCTAAAAGTTGTTAATTAATACAAATATACAAGAAGAAAATTGATGCGAACAAACTTTTTACTGTTTTATTGTTGATTTTGGAAAGAATGTGACTACTGTCACTATGCAGGCTTTCCCTTGGAGGTTTATCTCAACATTAAAACATCCACTGTTACTTTTCAAAGCTAAGCATACTTTTAAGTAGTTAGCTGGCTTAAAGACTACAATTTTAATGCCCCGATAGGCTTCATGCTCTCCTGTTCCTCTATATAAGCTTCCTTTCCTCTATTACGAACTTTACAAAAAGATTTCTGTTACAATGGAAAAAAATATCTTGGAACTTGCTTATTTTTAAAATCTTTACCCTGTGGTGAGACAGAAGGTTTGCAGAAAATATTAAATGTAACTAAACTACACTGCTTATTCCATATTTATTACATTGTGAGTGTTCTGCCAGATATAAAATTAGTCATTTTAACGGTAGGAATAGGTAAAAACCTTGCTGTTAATTAAGTGTTTATATTGTTAGCATGCATTGAAGTTTTTTTTACCATCACCAGGATATTTTAAAAATATTGTAATAATTTTTAAGTTTTTGCCTTGCCTCAAAATTGTTTATAATTACAGTGCAGCTCAATTGTGTATGCAATCCTAATCTTTCCAGTACCAATATTTTGTTATATATTATGCATGTTTTTATTTACTAGTATTTCTTCTGTTTAGTGTAATGTAATGGTAAGTGTCAAAAGGGTTTTTATAACCTATTTCAAAATTTGTAATTTATGTATTGTAAATAAATTTAATTTTTTTTTTGCTTAAGATATATACTAATATTCGTATAATACTTCCAGACAAACCATACAAAACAGAAATACTTAACACCCCATTGAAGTACAACGCTATGCATGTTGCATGAGTGTATATTTTTATGTAAATCTTATTTAATAAAGTTATTTATTGAAAATTATGAGACTGTATAAAATTTCATATAGAATTTAATTTATTATGAAATATTTTAGATTTGGACATTTTGGATTTTGTTTTAACATACTTCAACAATTGGTTTTCAGAATATTTGTCATCCAGTATTTATTTATTGTGACTTATTACATACTAAAATAAAATACCATCTTAAAACCTTCGAGAGGTTGCGTGAGGAACAAAGTTACCCCAGCTCATTTGTTTTTTAAGTTATTTATATTTCTGTAGGTTTATTATTAACAAAATGCATTAGAAATAAACGTTACACATAGACAAATGTCTACAGAAACTGACTATATGCTTTACAAAATAAATTAAACAATGAAAAATTGTTATTGTTGTTTGGCTGGTGTGCTGTTAGATAATACAAATGTGTTTAATTGTATTGAACAATCTTTCAAAAACAATTCTAAAATTAAAAAAGTAAGAATTTGGGGACGTCGGTGGCTGCAACGGTTATGGTGTTAACATAGCGACTAAGATAAAGGTTCCGACCTACTTACATTTTTTCAAAAACACTGACACCCCTACAGTTCATATAACTTCGTAGTTGAAATAACTTTGTAAAAACGTTTAAGGTTAGGTTAGGTTAAGTTGAGTTGAATTTGGTTAGTGTTAGAGACAGGTTAGTTGGTTGGAGTTAGGGACAGTTTAAGTTTGGTTAGGTTAGTTACCCCCAGCCCATTTGTATATTGCTGTAGGGTTATTATTTACAAAATGAATAGGAAACAAATGTTAAACATAGAAAAATGTTTTTATTTGCTGATTACAATAATTTATCAATAATTAAGTGTACAAATTTTTTTTTCAAAAAACAAACAATATTTTTGTCATAAATACCAATTGTCTGTTAGATTCTTGTTGGAAGTTTCAATCACTATAATATGATGAAGTAAAAGGATGATAAGGGTCAGTAGAAAGATGAATCCTTACATACATTTCGGTGTAGAGTGTCTGTGCGCATAAAACTTAGTATCTTGATACTATATTTCATCAATCATATATTCACTTGTATGTACTTGTATCTTGTAACACTGCTTACAGTTATTGACAAATCAATGTCTTCACGTGAATTCAATCATCAAATGTAAGATATCTGGGGATAAGAAGAAACTTCCTACAGCTCATGGCAAGATGCAAAATTTTGAAACATTTTCTCTTCCACTTTTGTGAGTTCATTTTTCCCCATCAATTAACTTCTCCCAGGATTAGAAAATAATCTTATAAGCAAACTATGTAAGACAGATAAATTAAAACATAACAGAAAAAATTTTGTATCTCAAGGATGGGTTTTTCTTTGAGGCTTGATTGTGTTCTAACATGCCAACCATCACCTGTCCATTCTTTTATTATAGCTTATTTTTTAGAAAAGAACAAAGCTAAGTTTTAGTTTATGTACTCGTGGTTAAAAGCAAAGCTCTGGGGTACAAAGCGCAGCCGCTCGAAGTTTAAACGAACCTTAGAAATGTATTCCTTAATTATTTATTTTCAAGATGTACACTTTTACTTTGGCATCTTCCTATCAAAATAAACTAATAAATTATATTTACATCTACACAAATTTTTATAGTTTTGAGTTACCAGAGAGACATCAGATTGGATAAATGTTCATCAAATTAATACAAATTTATTGCAAAATATACCCATATTGTCCCATTTTTTAAGGACTTGGCCACATTAATACTGGAAAAGACAAATAATTTCTGTAAAACAATTTTTTTAAATAAATAAAAATTAACTGGCATTTTGTTAGTCCAAGGACTTTTTTTGCATTATATTACATTTCGAGAATCCACTTTCTACCTGGTCTGTTATTTTCTATATTTTTGTATTTTCAGGGTAAATTCCATCAATGTAACGATGGTTCAAAAATGACAGAATTAGAATGCAGGTTAGTTTTCCTTTTACTATTGTTTTATAATTATATATTTCAATTATTATTTGCATTTTTGTGCTAGTCTACAACAGTCGTACACTACATTTAGCACAGATTGTTTTGTTAATATTGTTTCTACAATATAAACTAGGAATTTTAAAAAAATACATATCAGGGCAGTTATGCTTCATTTTAGAACATAATTGTAAACTTACTACAAGTATCTCACAAATAAATGTATCGAATACAGTTAAAAACAAAAAATCCTTTCAGAGGTTCATACATTGAATATGAAGGAGGAGATATCAACAGGCCTACAATATTGGAAAGAGAATGGATGCAAAACAGATTCCATTTCGACAATGTTGCTGAAGCTATGCTGACCCTATTTACTGTGTCTACCTTCGAAGGCTGGCCTGGGTAAATAATATATAAGTGCACATTAAATATGTTATTTATTTATAATTCTAAATGGGTGGCAAGTCATGAATCGCCTAATCTTGATTTGTTGGCAGTCTGTGGTTTAAATTTGAGTCTTATCAGTCCATCCAAACAAAATTAGGCTACCACAAATGTGAATGTTTTTGTACCTAAACATATATCACACTTTCACTCATTAAACAGAAAAAAAAGTTTTTTGTCATGTAAAATTTATAGCAACTGACTAAAATGCTCCCACACACTTTATAGTAGCGATAATTTAGGCTTGGTTGGGTTGATACAAATTCTGCAAGATGAAGACAAAGTCATCTCTTATCTTCATGAAGAAATGTAACTTTTTTTTTAAACAGAAGTTTGCAACAGCAGAGGTTATATCAACCATGTATTTTTGAATATTGAACTGAATATGAATGTGAATTATTGAATATTGAAAATGTAATATTTTTGAGTAAGTATTATACCACTTTTTTTTAGAAAAAAAAACATTTGTAAGTATGTTGGGTATAAACACACGACATATATTTATGATACAATTACTGAGGTATTTTGATAATTTAACTTCCCTTTGGATTACATATTCAGCTCAATATTACAAGTTTCGCAACAGCAAAAGTCATATCAGTCTGGGGGGGCTGGTGTTTTAAAAAAAAAGCCTATTTGTAAGTATGTCAGTATTAACACATGACATATAAGTGATGATGTACAGGTTACTGATAATGTGATTTTAATGCTGAAAAAATGTTATTTGTAAAATATTGAAAAATTCATAGGGTTAAAATAGTAAGTTGATAAAGCTCAATTTCCATTGGATATGTAACCTAACCTGCCCCAAACCCTAACTCTACCAAAACACTAACCCTAACCTATCTTACCCAATCTCTAGCGCTAATCCTAACCCTAACTCACCCTAACTTAACCTGACATAATTCATTCCTTACTCTAACATAAACTAACTTGTCACTAACCATACTCCCACTTAACCTAACCTAACTGATCGCTAACTCCAACCAAACTAACCGGTCTCTAACCCAAACAATAGCACCAATCAAATTCAGCCCAACCTAACCCTAATCCTACCTCACATTTTTTTGTGCGGATATATGAACCCACGTCTGCAACACCCAATGGGCAGTTGAACTCCAAACTCTCCTGTATCACAAGAATTACTATCATCTTCCCCATTCGTACTTATTTTATAATACATTTTTAAATGAATCTGTTATTGTTATTACCTCGTATTCTTTTAGATATTGTAGTAAACCTCACAACCTTAAATTATTTTTGTCAAAATGATTTTTCCCCCCGACCCTTCATATATACAAGTCATACAACTAATCTAATTGAGGGTCAATACCATCAGCACCATCGTACATTGACCTTAATCTGATTTCACACTTTAAAACATTTTTATTACTTCAAACAAATACATACTACAGAAGATCCATGTTTATTTCAAAATTCAGACCTTGGGACTTGACTTAACGGTACACTGCTGTGTGTAAGTACTGTTCCCATGTTGAATTATTTTTCACAGTTATATGGGTTATGAAAATTTATTATTTAAATATCAGCTAAAACATATTGTAGTTCAGTACATTAACACGTACACAAATATATGTATTGAACGATCTTTATTGAGTTGTATATTTAATTTTTATTATTTATTTCAGGTTACTTTATGTCTCGATTGATTCCAATGAAGAAGACGTTGGCCCCATACATAACTTCAGGCCAATTGTCGCTGCATATTATATAATATACATTATTATAATAGCATTTTTCATGGTAAATATATTCGTTGGTTTTGTTATTGTTACATTCCAAAACGAAGGTGAGCAAGAATACAAGAATTGCGAACTCGATAAAAATCAGGTAATTAGTTTAATTACTGTATGTTTTTAATTATTTTTCATATGTACATATTTTTTTAGCGTAATTGTATTGAGTTTGCATTGAAAGCCAAACCAGTCAGACGGTATATACCGAAACAAAGATTCCAATATAAAGTTTGGTGGTTTGTGACTTCACAACCCTTTGAGTATACTATATTCACCTTAATTATGATAAATACGATTACTCTAGCAATGAAGTTTTATAAACAACCCGATTTTTACACTAATATTCTTGATGTTCTGAATATCGTATTTAGCGTTGTATTTGCATTAGAGTTTGTATTTAAACTTGCTGCATTTAGGTTTAAGGTTTGTATTCAGAATCTTTTCAAATATCTTTTCTTTTCTTCTTTTTTTTTAACGAATAATTATATTTCAGAACTATTTTGGTGATGCCTGGAACGTTTTTGACTTCATTATAGTTTTAGGAAGTTTTATAGATATTATTTACTCAGAACTTAATGTAAGTACAAAAAAAGTATACATTTTAAATGAAGTGTTTGAATGAATTAAAATTTGTTTTGTTATTCAGCCAGGGTCTAGTCTTATATCAATTAATTTTTTCCGCCTCTTTCGTGTCATGAGGCTTGTCAAATTGCTCAGTAGAGGAGAGGGCATAAGAACATTACTCTGGACATTTATTAAGTCATTCCAAGCCCTTCCCTATGTCGCATTACTAATTGTAATGCTGTTTTTCATTTATGCTGTGATTGGGATGCAGGTATGGTAGAATTGAAAGATACAAAGATGCCATACTCATTGTTACTCTTTTCAATAGGTGTTTGGGAAAATCGCGTTGGATGATGATACATCTATAAATAGGAATAACAATTTCCAAACATTTCCTCAGGCTGTACTCGTTTTATTTCGTTCAGCCACAGGTGAATTATCTTTTTATTTACAATCTTCTCACACAAAGATTTTTTTTAAATTTTTGTATAATACCAAATGTGAGATCTATCAAATATGATGTATATAGGTGAGGCTTGGCAAGATATCATGCTTGATTCATCAGCTTGGCCTGATAAAGTAAAATGTGATCCAATGTCAGACGATGTAAATAGCCCTACATGTGGATCTGATATAGCATTTCCATATTTTATATCATTTTACGTGCTCTGTTCCTTTTTGGTAATTAATTTTGTTTTATCCTACTGATATTTTATTAAGAAACTGAAAATACTTTCCCTATGTCGTTTGTAGATTATCAACTTATTTGTAGCTGTAATCATGGACAATTTTGATTATCTCACACGAGATTGGTCCATTCTTGGGCCTCATCATCTTGATGAATTTATCCGATTGTGGAGTGAATACGATCCAGATGCAAAAGGTCGTATTAAACATTTAGACGTAGTTACATTACTGCGTAAAATATCACCTCCTTTAGGTTTTGGAAAACTTTGTCCTCATAGGGTAGCATGTAAGGTAAAATAGCCAACTTTTTATCTAAAAATAACAACAATAAAAATAAACAAAAATTTATAATCAATGTACTTTACAGCGCTTAGTGTCGATGAATATGCCACTGAATAGTGATGGTACGGTTTTATTCAACGCCACTCTATTTGCTGTGGTACGAACATCTCTTAGGATAAAAACAGAGGGAAACATTGATGACGCTAATGCAGAATTACGTGCTGTAATAAAGAAAATTTGGAAAAGGACTAGTCCTAAATTGTTGGACCAAGTTGTTCCTCCTCCTGGTGGTAAATATTATTATTTTATTTTAGTATTATTTTTATGAAAATTTTTGCAGCATATTGTAAAGCAGATGCAATGTTAAGCATCAATTTTTTTCTGGTTTTTACATACAGACTTAAGGTCTCTTTACTTCAGTCATTGTAACTGTACTGTATTTCACCAATATTAATCACTATGATAATATTAATTTTATTTCAAACATAATTTTTCTAGGTGTTATGTAGAAAAAGAAGGATGACAGATAAACTTTATCAAAACAATTTGGGTACAAATCTTATTTCTTAATTTGTTGGATTTGTAAGGAGTGGTCAAGAATGAGGTAGTTTAGAAAAACACCATTTTCATTTTTTTGCCAATTTTTCGACCATTATTTGGGTCATCTTCAGTGCCTGGGTGAATTACAAAGCATATCGATTGGAAAAATTACAATACAGATTTAAATATAAACTTTGAACCAAGTATTTCATACTCACATGAAGTGTGGTGCTATTCTTGTAGTGTCGTATTGGTGCTGTGTGAAATTATTGTGAAATGTGAATTTGTATTCTGCTGTTTTTATATTATTGTAACAGGGTGAGGGATGCGATAAATCTGGGAAGTTTTCTTTGATCGTAGGCAGTTTTATTTAACTCAAAGGAAGTCGAGAATTGAGTTGAATGTTGAAAACAACACAACTTTTATTTAGACAAAATACAAATACTAAACATTGGAAAAAAAAACGCAACTTTCTGGAATTGGTTTACATTAACAGAGACACACACAGCATTAACAAATACATGCAGACTCAGCTGTAGCTACACTAACTTCATAAAGCAAATAAATTATTAAAATATATTTTTGTATTTCCCTTTCCTTTGTTCTTATGCTTAACAATTAACTTCCATTCCAATATTGAATAACCTCAAATTACAAATCCAATCCAGAAAATTCCCATTCTCAACTTCCTTTGAGTTAAATAAAACCGTCTATGATCAAAGAAAATTTCCCAGATTTATCGTGCCCCCCACCCTGTCACAATCATATAAAAACAGCAGAATATAAATCTGTTTCACGATAATTTCATACAACACTAATATATCACCACAAGAACATCACCACACTTCATGTGAGTATTAAATACTTGGTTCAAAGTTTACATTTACATCTGTAGTGTAATTTTTCTATTCAACATATATTTTGTAATTCACCCAGGCTCTGAAGATGACCCGAATAAAGGTCAAAACATTGGCAAAAAAATGAAAAAGGTGTTTTTCTAACCTACATTATTATTGACCACTCTTCACAAATCCAACAAATTATTAAACAACCGGTCAGTAAAAAAAAAAAAACACATTATTTCTTGTCAGTTTCTTTTTTGTGTAGGAGAGTACAACCAGTTGTCTTTATAAAACTGTATATATTTCAAAGCAGCCTTGCTATCTCTTAAGCATAAAAAAGAGGTTACTTCAAGGCAACCATGCTGGCCGAGTGGTTAGGATGTCTGACTTGTTGCCATGCTAGCAGTTCTGGGTTCGAATCCTAGCAGAGCTCATCGCTTTTTAATTGATTATAGCATGAGAAATGAATTGTAAAGTGGTTTAACCCATCGTCCATGGTATCCAACGGGTAGTTGGATGTTAAACGCTTCTATGTGACAGGAATTACTTTACTTAAGAAGCTGCATCAAGATATATACAATTTTATGAAAAGACTGGTTCTACCGGTTGTACACAAAAAAGAAACCGGCAGAATTTTTAAAAAGAAGCAACCTTTTGAATAAAAACAATAAATAACAAAGTTGGTTTTATAAATGTATATTTGGCGGGAAATGTGTTACAGTTTTCAAATTTTGGAGAACTGTTTAAGTGTTTTTACCAGTTAAAATCATTATATTGCAAAAAAAAATTATGAGCCAATCAAAAGGTAACACAGATGTGAAATGAACTTTTTATATCACTTGAAACTTCAGAGATCATGCAGTGGTATTTCATGAAATTTTCTGTACTCCACATAAAAATATTATATCATACCCGTCAGCATTTTTTATTACAAAATTTCAATTTCTAAGGATCCATTGTACAAAAGTGGGATTTTTTCATAGTCTGGTGGGTTTGTTTGGGAAAACTTGGCCAGAAATCCAAGTCCTTGTTCTCTAGCATACAGGCAGGGTCACCGGCATTTAGTTTATACCAAGTAAATTTGGTATTTTTAATCTTCTTAGTTTTCTTTGAAAACACAATATCTATTATGTCTGATGATTTATTTCGAACACCCAACAACAACAGAGGGGGACCGCGGTAGCCGAGTGGTTAGCATGAGAGACTCTCACGCCGCGGTCGTGGGTTCGATTCCCACCGTCGCCTCTGGCCCTTTTTTCCCGATAACCCCCAATTTGAACACACAAGAATTCGTACCATGGCTAATATGCAAGATCATAAGGCCAATAATAATTAAAAAAAAAAAAAAAACAACAACAGAAAAATTATATCGCCCGTATTTTTTTCTTCTGTCTCTACATTTGCTGTAAAAGCAACATCGTGTTTGGGGAAAAAGAAACTGTGATTATTCATCAAGAACTTTTCAGTGAAAATCCCAGATCAAGATTAACTGTCATTTTTTGGATCATTTTGGGGTGAGCTTGGTCAGCTTTCTTTCTCGATCTTTCAGAGTGCCTGTTCATTCATACATTAGCACCATTTGCAGCATACAACCTTTTTCCACAGATTAAAGACAAGAATCATTCGGTTTAGGACTATTCTCAACCAACTCTTAGCAAATGGAACAACTAACAACCTATTTTTTTAACCATCAAAATAACCTTATCAAAAATGATTTTTTTCAAATTTGTAATATCTGGTTTTCCTACCAGGTATTTAATTGTTATGGTCATTCAAGCCTATATAAAAATAATTTAGTTTACAAAACAAGCAAAACATCAATAATCCCTTTTTTTCTTTTCTTTGGTTGTTTTCTTATTATTAATATTTTTATTCTTATCAATATTTTTTTTCTGATTTGGCATAATGGATTATTCTAGTATGTTTTGTAACATAGTTCACTTTTGAAAGAAAATACAACTCTATTTAATGTTTCATTAGTTAAATTGTATTTTAATATTTTAGTTGATGATGAGGTGACAGTCGGCAAATTCTACGCCACATTCCTCATTCAGGATTACTTCCGAAGGTTTAAAAAGAGGAAAGAACAAGAACTTAAAGATGGTGACAAAGAATCTCATAACACAGTTACCCTACAGGTATTGCAATCAATTAACAATTTTCCAATAACATTAAACATTTTAGCGATCAATATAATTGAAATTTATCATTACTGCTCATTTTGATCTGTCCATGACTGTCAGAACTGTCTAAATGGTGTCTGATAGACCAACCCAGTGACAATAGGCGGACAAAAATTATCAATAATGACCAAATTTCAGGTTCATTAGACAACATAAATCTCATAATTAACCTTTTCAGGACTCATGACAAGTTGGCTCGTTTGGGCTTATACACTCGCTAGGACTTGTGATGAGTTATTTTGTTCTCATGTTTTTTTTGCATTTTAAGAGTTCAAGCTGGACACTCACGACAGCGATTAGGCTGAGGTTGAATCAATGTGTAACAGACACCTTGGTAGTAAATGGATGACAGCACTCACACTAATAAGTACATTATTCTCAATGTACCAAAAGAAACACAAAGCCAGATATCTATAAAGAACTGTATACAGTAAAACAATCCTATCCAATACACAACAACAAAACAGAACAGGAGACCCAAATACTTGCTACTGTGCTCAAGCATTGGGTGGCATTCCTGCACACTCTCTATATGAAGCCAAGGAGTGCCATCCTTCAATTAGGTGGTATACATCAAGCAATCTTTCTCTACATATAGATGGGCTTTGGCCCAAAAGTAAGGGTTCGTGTGTCAGCCTCGCATGACCTATCTTTATTGGGTGAGGATGAACTTTCTTCTACGAGTCAGATCCTCTGAGGGCCACCTATCGACAGTGCTCATGAGCAGCTGAGAATATAGGCCCTGGAACACATTTTAAAATTCTAAAATCAATCCCGAAAAGGTTAACTTTTTTTGTAATTTTCCAACAAAAACATAACCTTTTTATGTGAGCAAGAATTAACAAAATGATATATATTTTTTTGAGCAGTAATAACATGTAGATCTCTAAGTTAATTTTATATTCGCAAACATTATTATTATTATTGACAATTAATTAATTTTTAGGCAGGGCTCAGGACTCTTCATGATGCTGGTCCTGAATTGAAGCGTGCCATTTCTGGAAATCTTGAAGAACTTCTCGATGACAATCCAGAACCAATGCACAGGGTATATTTCATTAATGTAATAATCTATCACAACATAAAAGAACATTTTCATTTATCTTTTCAGAGAAATCATTCTCTGTTTGGAAGTGTCTGGTCTTCGATGAGGAGAGGACATGGAGGTTTTAACAGAGCAAAATCACTAAAGCTAAACTCGTCTAACATTAAGGTAAACTTGCATAATTTATATATAAAATTTGATCCACATTTTTCCACACTAAATATTCTTCGTTTTCTCATACATTATCAAATTTTCTCCAAAAAGATCAAACTGTTGGAGAAATATTTAATTTTGTAGCATGTCTGCAAGGCTAAATGCCTCTACTCAGCAGTATTTCGTTAGACGTATTATAGTCCACTATTGATTGTTTAAAAATAGTTAGTTCAAAATAAAATTATTGATACTACATATTTCAACAGATGAGTCATCTGGACTTACCAGGAAGAAATCTTAGAAAGGTAGCCTCAATTTGCATATGTGATAAATGGATAACTACATTTATTGATCAATTTTTAATTAAAAGCAAACACTTCATGGTTTATAGTTTTTATATTACCATAAATAAATTCCCTTTATAATTACAAATGGCAACTATTTTAGTTACAAATTTTCATCGTAAATAATGAAAATAAATTGTCTAATTTTTTAGTGAGTGAATACGTTTTTTTTTAATCTTAGATTAGAATATAATTGAATTTATCATTGTTATGAATGAATATCTGTAGTTATTCCATGTTTCTGTAAAATAGTATGGTAGCGGATATTTTTGTAAAGACTACTGGATTTCATAGTTTAAATATTCAATTTCTGTTAGCACTAGCATAGAGGCACAATAGAAAATATAAAAATAGAGCATAAAAAAACTATTATAAAAAGCCAGCAAAGTATTTATTTAAGGCAGTTTTGATGGCGGTTTAACTATTTTAAAGAAACGACTCTGTAACAATCAAAATAAATTTAAACAATAGAACATATGATAACAATGCAAATTCATTTTTTTAAGATAATTTAATTTAACATGGGTTAATTATTAACTTCATATTTCACCATATTTCTTTAATGAATAATATCGCAATTGACTAAAAGTTAATTATTTATTACTGAACTTATGAATTTGTTTTCAAAATCACATTTCAAAGGTAAAGTAAATTGACACTTCTAACTGGTCAATTAAATATTTAAAATTTAAAAAAATATTATATAATAAATTACATTTTTACATTTGTATTTAACCTTCGAGCGGTCACGGCCGGTGTTACAACACAAGCTGTACAAAGTTACCAAAAGTTATATATATATATATATATATATTAGAAATGAATAGCAAGCAAAAATTATTTTCATTTACTAATAACAATAATTTTATCACAAAATTAGTAAAAATCAACTGTAAATTTAAAAAGTCATCATCATTTTCTCTGCGTGAAGGAATGCTGCTAAGGTGGTTTTCTGTCATAAGTTCCTATCTGACTGATACTTTCAAATACTCATCATCTACCTTGCCAAAGTGGAGGGGACCGAGGCAGCTGAGTGGTTAAGGTGTACTCTACTCTTGGCTAGTAGAGCGTGCTGTCAAGAGTTTGATTCGCACTGTCGCCTCTGGATTTTTCTGATTTCAGTGGATAGAGTGAAAGTTGGCATGACATTCATCAATGGAAGGTCCAGAATGGGATCGGGTCTCAATAACCTTAATTCGGTCCTGACTCCCATGCACACTGGGGCTCAATTTAAACGTGTTGGTGCCAGTTCCAAAAGCTGAATTAGGAAGGAGTACAATAAGCTGTAAAGCTGCAGGTCTCAGGGTAAAATTCCAGTTCCTGGTATCCATAATCAATAAATATAAAAAGTAAATGAAAATATCAAAATAGGTGTTCCCCAAGGCAGCCTCCTAGGTCCCATTCTCTAAATAATATACATTGCAGACATACTCCTCACATATGCTATCGATACCGCCATCCTTTCAGCAAACCCGGCCCACTAGTGACCTTCATCGAAATGAATTTCTTTGATGGAAGCATGCTGGCACACCAGAGGTTTAATTAAAAGACACGTTGCCAGTTCTCAAAATGTCCTGGTATACATAATCAATAAAAACAAGTGTTCCACAAGGCAGCATCTTTTGCCCCATTCTCTATGCAATATACAATGCAGACAGTTCTTCTCAAATATATGTTCAATACTGCCAGCCTTTCAGCAAACCCAGACCTTCATAAAACAACAGGACCATTTCTCCTGTTTAGAAGAATGGTTCCAAGAATAGAGGTTTAGACTTAACGAAACCAAATCCCAGCAAATAACCTTCTCTTGATGTGAATTCAAATGGTGTAGGACAACAGAGAAGAAGAAACTCCTGGTAGATCGTGGTACGTCTGAAACAATTTTGCAGCCATTTTTGCAAGTTCTTATGAGAAAAATGCTTTGATGAATCCAATAGGCCAGAGAATATTGCTTGAATTTTTGCTATGTTAGTAAATTATAGGATTAGAAAATAATCTCATTAGTAAATTGTGCAAGACAGTTAAATTAAGAAATGCCTTATACAAATTAGATGGCATAAATATAAATAATTGATAGTGGAAAAATATTGAAATAGATTATTGAAAAAAATTTATTTTTGCTCTTTGAGGTTGTGCACTTTATATGGATGGCCATTTGCCACTCCTTATATCTCATCTGTCAGAGATTATTTTTAGAAATGAACAAGGTTAGGGGATTCAGTTTTGCAAGATGTAAAGAAAACCATTTACAATGAGGTAAACAACGACAAATAAAGGTGAACACGTAATTACACTGAGATACAAAACTATTCCAGTGTGACCGCTCATAGGTTAACTTGATTAACTCATAGGTTGTGTTAAGCAAAAATAACTTTTAACATGAATCTGGCGTCGTTTTCTGTCAAAATAGTTAAATTTATTTAACCATTAACAAGGATAAACCGTATATATCTTTTTTTTTTTTTTTTTTAATTGCCTAAACCTACACTGCCTACACATTTCTTTTAAACACTAAATTGAGATAGCAGATTCATCTATTTTTATTTTAATGTATTTTTATTTTTGTGTTGATTTTTTTATTTAGGTGATGCTGAGTAGTGCTTATTTAATATTGACTACAATAAACATTTTTGAATGATAACATATTTTCGTTTTATATTTTTGTTTATATGAAAGTTTACTATTGATAACTGATAATTCATCCAAATTTTAAAAAAATCCAATCTTTAAAACAAAAACTGTTATTTTTCCATTTTCATAATTTAATCAAAGAATTGAGTTATATTTTATATACTTTTTATTGATATTACTAATAAACAATGTGAGGATGTATTCATTAGCCTTTAATTGTGATTCTTTGGAGTTTAGCAAATTTTGATGATTTCTTCCACAAAAAAAGGTCCCAAAATTTTCTAATGTTCAAAGAGTTTAACATTTAATGCCACAGGTTGCCATGTCTTGGTCTAGGCAAAAGGTGTATCTCTCAAAATTTAACAACTCTAAATTATTCAGCATTTACTAATTTTTCAACATTCAAAAGTGTAAATTTATTTAGATACGGTTGATGGATGGTAGTGAATTATAATTCTAAAACCTAATTATTTATTTTTTAAAAATTTGGAAAGATATAATGAGATCATAAAGAGATAATGAAAACTTTCTGTAGAAGATGAAAAAGGCAAATTTGGAAATCAGAATCCTGGGCAAAAATTATGAACTTAAATGAAATGGAGAAGCTCGAGGAACAACTTGTGATGACCTTTGAACCGAAAATGTGCCAAAAATGAAATATCTCAGATGCAACTTGCAAACTGTGGTGTTGACATTTAAAATTTATTTTTGTTGATGCTTGAAAATGTATCATGATACACAACTTTATTAATTAATAAATACATTTCCTCCTAATTTTATCTCTTATATACAAGAGAGAGATTTGCGTTTTAATGATCAATAGACATTTTTTAAAGCTTTGCTTAATCCATTTATTTTAAAGGGAAAATTTGCGGTAGACATGCATTCATTTTATCGATTAATAAGTTTTTAAAATGGAAAATTGTTAAATAATATGTTTTTTGCATTTAAAACGTTTAGAAAATTGAGTGGGTGTGACAGACAATTTTCCTAAGATTAGCAGATCATCTTTTGTATATTTTTTGTAATGTTGTAAAAAAATATATAAGTTTATTACTATAGTTGGTAAATATCAAATTACAATACATTAGTTCCCACTAATCTCAACAAATGACAATAATAATTGTTAGTGGTATAATAATCCATATTAAAATTTAATTACCTTATCAGTAAATGTTATAAACACTTTTACAGAATTTTCATTTGCTTTATAATAATGATTTATTATTAGCGGGGGAGATAGCCGCGACAGTTAGGGTCAAGTTAGTTTATGTTAGAATAAGGGACGGGTTAAGTTAGGTAGGGTTGGGGTTAATGTTAGTATTTGGTATGATAGGGTTAGGGATGGGTTAGGTTACATATGCAATGGAAATTGAGCTTTATCAACTTACTATTTTTTCACCTATGAATTTTTCAACACTTTTTCAGAATTAAAATCAGTTTGTCAGTAACCTGTACATCTGGATAAGAGGTTATAAAAACATATCTATGATTGCAAAACACCAAACAAAATCCTACAGCACTGGCTACCCGCTATTTTGAACACCAACACAATTTTGATTTCAACAATCTAAAAATATTAAACACAGAACAAAACAAACAAATGTAACTTTTTAGTAATGGTTTACATCAACAGAGATAAACACAGCTTCATTTACAGAACAGACACATGTAAACTCAGCTACAGCTACATTACAAAAGATATAATACAGTATATAAAACAATACAACAACATTACACTCCACACATCAAACAATTGTACAGAGTTTAAATTTTCAACAATTTGTCTCTCCTTTTCCTAATAATCCCATCTATAATAATCTTGAATGGCGAACCAGGCCCGAACGACAAACAATTACTTTTTTTCCATTGCTGGTCCCTTTCACCTCAAAAAAGCTGACTCTTCATAGAAAAACCAATTTCTATCCCTACCTCCTTCCCCACTCCTTTAAAAGCAAACATATATAAACAAAAAAATTAAAATCTCACTAACACTCTCAACATGACACACAACAGTTTCACGACTACACAGAAAACACACTTTGAATGAGTACAAATACTTTGATTAAACCTAAAATTTCCATATTGAATACATCATTGTATAATTTTATATGTGATATGTATTTGTATAATTTAAACAATATTTCTAAATCCCAGGCCCTGAAGATGATCTCAATAAAGATTGAAACGTTGGCCTGATAAAGAAAATCTTTTTCTAACCTATATCACACCAAACTGCATCTCACGATCTTTAAATAATCACTAACTTTAATATTTATTATTTTTGTTTACATAAAGTGTAGTTTTCTATTAAGGTTTGTATTGATAGATTTGTTTGTATGATCAGTTTTTGTACTTAATCTGTTTTTGGACGTAGATATGACTTGTTAGTTCATTCTTTTAACAAAGTTTTCATATAAGTGAATTACACTGCTATTTAATTTGTGTATTAAAATTACTCCCACACAGTAAAATAACTATAAATAATTTGTATCCCCGCTATTGCAGTTTTAAACAACTGAATGTTTACTACTTTGATCTCAAGAATAACACAAGTTTAGTTTAATATAAGCATTTTGTTTATTTTATAGAAAGTAGCTGAAGGTTTTAATAAATAGCAAACTCTAAATGAGCTATTTATTCTCATATTTTGCTTTTCACAGCTACTGTCATGTGCATGAATTAAGCGATTTAGCACAGAGCTATCTGGTTGCTAATGCATGTAAGAAATAAAGTATTCTTTTGTTATAAGTTTTGTATCTCTAGTTGATGAAACTTATTACAACACTGTATAAAAATGTATACATACACTAATCTTTCATAATAGAAAATATTTTTTAACCTATTTAATATTTTAGGTTTCGCCAACCAACTCTATAGATTATCTACCGTTCAGTTCGTTGCAAAAGACGGTCACTGATGGGATGAACCATATTACAAATCTTACCAGGAATACGTTGATACCTCAACTGTCGTAAGTTCTGTGAAACTACTTAATTATTTTTTTTAACTTAATAAATTTTTCCCTCCATTTTGAAATGGCTATACCATGTGTGCTAATGTCTCTCGTCTCTCTTTAGAGAATGAGTTCCCGTCTCTGTCCACTTTTTAGGTGGTAGTTCAGAGAGCAGTGGCTCTATAATATTCCTAAAATCTTGCCTGCCCAGAGTGATAAATACATTCGTTTTTGATGACCGCGATGGCCGAGTGGTTAGGGCATCCGACTCGTATTTGCCACACTAGCGATTCGGGGTTCGAATTCCTTCAGAGCTCATGGATTTTTAATGTATTATAGTATGAAAAATGTATTGTAATGTGTCGTCCGCAACCATCAACTCGGATGTTAAAGAGATTAAGCCCTCCTGTATAACAGGAATTACTTTACTTTTGAGATCTCTTAGCTTGCCTTATACTTCGTACTTTTGCCCAATGCTTGATTTTTTCTTATTCCAGCAACAACTTTAGCACATTCTACGGTGTGCCAAATTGTGGTTCCGGAGCTGTCCCTTCTTTGGCTAGTTGATCAGTCATTCAATTTGTGTCCTTTTATAACCACCTCAAAATATTTTTTGGTAGGGCCATTGGAATATTTAGGCACTCTCAGACTAGTTTTAAAGCATTAAGTTAACTTACAGCTTATAGGACTGCTTGACTGTCCAAAAGTAGGTAAAACCATGAATTTTTCATATTCTTTTTTATCAACTCCTGTGCACAGAGATGGATTGCCTCGCCCCCAGAATAAGGGGTTTTTCTTGAGTGTTATCAAGCCTCCTTTACTCCTACACCTTCTCTTTGAACCATCAGTATACCACATTAGGGCCCTTTCCTGAAATTTCAGGTTGTACAGACCTTTCTTTGGCTAGTGGTCAGCCTGTCCTTCTATACCTTCATATCGTAGAACCTAGACCAAGGTTAGGAAATTTAGGTACTCTCGGACTAGTTTGGGGCTAAAAGCATTTAGTGCTTTTATAACTGCCTGACAGTCTAAAGTATGTAAATCTTTCAGTTTCTTTTTTATAACCTCCTGTGCACTGATTGGATTTCATGGTCCTCAGCTTGGAATACTGCTGCAGCCAGTCCAAGGGGTTTTTTCGGCCCCTTTCTGAAATTTCAGGTTGCCTTCCTTCCTAAGATCAGTTTATCTATGACCACTTGGAATGGTCTGTCAAAGTTGAGCCGCCATCACATTTTGTCATTATAACGCCATCTCATGAAATATGTTAACAATTTAAATGTATGTTTTTGATGAAAATATATACATAACTTCTTCCTGCAAGTCTAAAGGAATGACAGTGTTCTATCTATTTGAATATAATTTTGAAAAATAAGTTCAAATCCTTGGCTTATTAAAAAAATACTTTTTATAAACTATAGTTCTTATTTATATATTTTTTTAAATATTTTTTTCTTTAGAGGAATGCAAGAGTCTCATTATGACGATGGCATCCCATTACGCTCTTTACCAGGTGGAAATTTAGAACCAGATAGAACGTACAGACCGTTTCAAGCCATGGAGTAAGTTCATTTTTCAACTGGTCAATTTCACCTATAGAAACTAGTAGTTTTGCAACCATAATTCCATTCATTAAATATTTAAACCCGAAATTCCATATTTCCATGCCATCAGGGAAATAAAGGAACTTAAAGAAGGCAAAGACACAACGTTGTCTATAAGGTTTGTATAAATAGCACGAATAACGCTTATTCAAGTAAAAATATACATAAGAAAATAAATGGAAGAATTAAATGTGCTAATGCAAATAAATAGAAATGTATGATCCATCATTTCCAACAAATCTAGAAGGAATAGTTCTGTTTATCTCTCGCTTAACAAGTGTTATGACAAATCGTAAAACATGAGTACACATTTTGTTTGTAATCCTTCCCATTGTAGCACCAAGTTAATTTTTTCAAAGTGATTTATTCATGAACATTTCTGTGATACAGTGCCAGGTAGAGGAACAAAATATTTAGAAACTGGACAAATTACAAATATTTAATTCGTGTAATAACTTCTTGTCGGGTCAATCCAATACTTGATTTTTCGGTATATAATATATTAAGATACCCAGCATAATTTTTTCATACTTAAGTGTTTTTGCAAAAGTAAAATGTTTAGTTTATTTTTATTTAAGCGTTTATTTTCATTTTGTTAATATTATAAAGTTAGAGTTGGTAGCGCAATATAAAGAATAGAAAATAAAATAATTTGAAGTGATAATATTAGAGAAAAAAGAAAAAAGAAAATTACTATATAGCACTAGCGGATACAATGAAATAAAATAATTAAGACAAAATATTGTTAATATGCTTCCCCTAGTAGTAATTAAAATAGATTACTTATTTTATACAAGCTCAAATCTGCACATTGTACAGAGCTGAACCTATCACTTCTTGCAGTCCACCAGCAAATCCTGCATTTGGGATTTACAATAAATTACTGGTAGGCCTTGAGAACCACTCCCCTTGGGTGTTGGCAGTTGAGGGTCATACCTCTGGACTCCAGGGGCAATGGACGATGGCATCCCACGTTGCTGCTAGGTTATTTTGATCCCCCGACATAATCAGTTTCCCAGTAATACTTCTTTGCATAACCTCACCTAATTGAGGGTCAATGATTACTCAATATACTCAATATTCCGCTATCGTCCTTCTTACACTATACATTCACACCAATAAATACATTCACTCTCAAAACACACTAGGAACACAGTATGCAGTAGCACATTTAACCTAGACAGTTAAATTAAACACTCAATAGTCCAAATTTAAAAATGGGTGGATCATTGGTTTTCAGGTGTTACGAAACAGATGCAGGACAACCTGAAACATTTTATTAAAATAACTGAAAACATTTCCTCTGCCAATCCAGTTTACAAATATGACTCATCACCTTCTACGATCGATGAGGTATACATTTGCATTCTCATTGCATTCAGGGAAAAAACAATTAATCAAACACAAAACACTGCTCTTAGTGCTAAGGTCACATAAGAACCCTTCAAACAATCACTATCAATTAAAACATAACTGTACACTACTCCTAGTTGCCTCATTTACAACGGCAGTCATTGAAAGTACACTTTGCACTTATTTTATTCCACTACTGCACATTAAAAATGACACCAGTAACAAAAATATTAGACACCATTATGATTATCTGTTCTTTAATTGGTCGGTTTTGTTTTATTAAATTCAATCACTGTTTCTTCATTTACGAAAGAATGCACTTGAAGGATAAGCAATGTTGATGTTCTAGAAATTATAGCTCACGTTTCAACTAATAGTATGTATTTCCACATCACCGTCATGTCAATAAATATTTTAGCTATTGCGCATCACATTTACTGGTTGTTTGTTAACATTTAATGCAGGCTTAATTACAATTCTAACTGCCATTTATTTTGTCTATGTCATAATCCAGAACCTGACTAACTATGCAACTTTACTGGCATTCAATAGCTATTTTTATTGACTACAGCACAGCTATTCTTATTTACATTTTTTTCTAGCATATATCAATGTTATTTTCATGAAATGCACAAATTATGTTTAAAAAAAAAATTCATTGATTTTAGGATAGACTTATTTTGATGATTTTATACCTACAATTTTATTGGTTTCTCATTCTCCTTTTTATTTTAATTTATTTTTCTTTATATTTGTATATAAGTTTTATTTTATTTTTTATTTTTCATTCTTAAAAATCCATTTTCAGAAAACCAGGAATGAACTATCTTCAATTGCCAGGTGCTTATGGTAAGATTAAGAAAATTGCGAGACATAAAAAGTACAATTTTCATTTGTTGTTGAAAATACTATTCCTAACTTACTATTTGAGCATCAAACAGCAAATCAAATATATTTTAGTCAATATTTCGTAATATTATACTAATTGTTTTGTTTTATCTGTGATTATTTACTTTTAAGTAACATCATGCTTAATTCAAAATAAAAAAGATTCTACTTTCTAACCTACAAACTAACCTAAAATTTTACTCTTTCATTTCACAAAAAACACTATTATTACGATATAACAATATTCAAACTAATTGTTCTGCGAATTATGTAAACAAGTCCTTGTAGCATATACAAGCAAGAGATAATCTTATACAACAAAGTATGAACTGCTCAGTACTGCTGTTTTTTCAATGTGCATTTTTCAAAACTAACAAGAGTAAAGACAAAGGGTCAAACCACTTTTATATATTAAAAATCAAAATTGCATTGGCTGGGTCAGGATTCGAATCCAGAAAGCTTAACAAGCCAAATAAAAGTCGGATGCCCAAACCACTCGGCCACTCCTCTTAAAACTAACAATAAGCACAAATGACAATTGTTTCATGACAACTTATCAATCCTAGTACTAACTACAATCTTTTCTCTATTTAATCACCAGTATTAAAATACAGTGGATACTCTGTTTACCATCAATATTTCTCTAACACTTGGAATAATACACACATACAATGTGTTTGCTATTATGCTTTTTCTTTTATATTTTGTGTGATTATTTTTATTTGATTTTTCCTTTTTTAATCTACATGAATTTGTTTTGAATTCACAGCAGTTGTGAAGCATACCACTCACTGTGAGATAATTTTTTTCGTTTATTTTCACTGATGTATTTATTTTTATACAAAATGTCTTCTTGGATTGTCTCGTAAATTTGTGGTTACGGTGAAAAGTGGATTAAGTCAAAAATTGCGCAAAACAAGTATGTCAATGTCAAATTTGAAAACCCTATTTATGGGAAATTTTATCCACTACAGGATGCTGGGGAAAAAATAAACCTTTAATTTAACATGCGATTTGCCAAAATTTTGATTTTCGCCTTAAACAACTTTTCAATTTTTCATTAGGCAATACGAAAGATAAGTTTTTCTCTTTTATCTGAATGAATACATTTTGATAATTTTTTGCAGTTTATTCTGGACAGATAACTCTGGCCAAAATAATCTAACCCACATGATGGGCACTCCCCAGTAATGTGAAATCAAAGATATGAAAATTAACTTGCAAAAAGATACATGTATATGTACGCACATTCACATGCAAAGAAAGAGATCTACATGTTGTTCTTGTTTCCTGTATGAATGTGTTATAGAACATTTTCACTCGCATATTTTTTTCTGTTTCTAAGAACTACACCTACTGAACTCTACCTAATCTAATACAGCCCCTCTCTAACCTTGCCCATCTCGACCCAACTTTATCCTAACCTTGCCCATTCCAACTCAAATCATTACACTAACCCAAATTTACCTAACCCTGTCCATATTTCTATCCCTACCAAACCATTTCTAACCTTACTTAACCCAACTCGACTTTACCATAACCTTATCCATTAACTATTGCTCAACCCTACTTAATCTGTCCATAACTCTGTCCCTACCAAACCATTCATTCTTAACCTTCCTTAACTTAACCCAGCCCAACAATATCCTAAACCCAAACTTTGCCTAACCTAACCTAACCCAACCAAACTTTACCCATCCCAACCTAACTTTACTCTAACCCTAACTTTATCCCTACCAAAACATTCCTAGCCTTATTTAGCATAACCCAACCCAACTTTACCCTAATCCCACCCCTTACCACATCCCCAAAAATGTACATTAAAAAAAATTAATTTAAAAAATCATCAACCTTAATGTTTTTATTAAAGGAAATATTAATCTGACAATAGACTTGGTTAAGAAGACTTAAAAAGGACAATACAGATTATTAATAGGCTAGACAAAAATGAAATGCTAATGAATTTTGAATTAATCTGAACCAGTACACAATAATAATTATTAAAAAAGTGACAACTATAAATAACCAAATTTCAAATACCAAAAAGCATGTATGTACATCATCCAACATCTATTGAAAAATTGGTAGAGCAAAAAATTCTCTGGAATAAGGCAAATTTCACTTAAAATAACGCAAATAAAAATTACTAATTTACAATATTAGATTCCAAATGTTTATAGATACCAAGAGTAATTAGACAGCATATCTCCTACACTCAGAACAATCATTAAATAAAAATTGAATATAGAGAGCTTTTATGTTCTCTTCTGTTCCTTAAAAAAATTTCTTATTCCTTTTAGTATGATTATAGTCATAAATCCTTAATCTTTCAATACTTGTTAAACACATGATTATCAAGCAAATATACCTAAATTATACCTTATTTGGGCATTACAAACATAATGTTTAAAAAAATATTTCTGCTATTTCTACCCTAGAAAAATAAATAGGCATAAATAACAAAGGAATTCAGATTAATTATTAAATAAAAATGTAATACATAAAAATGATATGTGTATTACAAAAAATCGGAAGTAATTTTTTTTACCTTCTACTGATATACTGTAAATATTATTGCATTAATATTGTTTTTTATGTATTAAGGGGGGGGTTAAACTTTTTTTTTATATCAACACTAAGTTCTAATGAAATGTGTACATAAACTTCCAAAAACTGTAGTTTGCTAGTTTTTATATTATTAGGGAAAAATATCCATTTATTTTTATTAACGTAACCATTAAATGAGTGAATTGTAATTTTCTTCCCCTTATAAAATTAACTTTCTTTTGTATATTTAGTGATTTTGCTATGCTTATTAATTACAATTTATACTTTATGGAAATAACCAAGCTTTTTTTGTGTTATATAATGCATGCATATGTTTTATTACTAACAGAGTTGAAGAAAGTCGGGTTGAGACAAGTCCACTGCACAGTGCACGCGTCCGCCTCGTAACCGGTAGTACGGGATCTCCTGTTAACTTCCCCAGAATTGCAAGTGGCTTGAAACTTGCTCAGACGCAAGCAATGGCTGTTGCAGTTGCTGGTTTCTACCCCCAACCGAAACGATCCCCATTGTTGCACAGGGCATCGTTTCACGGACGAGGTATGCTTAATTTACACGATTCTAAAATTCAATTTCGGAAAATCTTGTATAACAATAATCTCACTCTTAGTTACTAGTAATATAAATAATGGGGGTTGTTTGTTATTTTTGGAATTTATGGGATGGTTAACTTTTCTCATGAATGAAATATTGGTAAGATTGTTTGTTGAAAGAAAAAAATTGTAACTTTCTTTTCACGTTGAATTATAATAATTAAGATCCGATTTCAATTATTTGCCTAACTAACCTGAAATATATAAATATTTAACAATTTGCTAAATTTCTTTATAGGTAATAAGGGAGCAGAATCAAATGGAAGTATAGCAGGTGAAAGACTTTCTCACTCTTTACCAGGAAGCCCTGCAGACAGAAGACCTAATTTCCCAGAAGTCGTAGGCTCTGCTGAGAGCCTAGTTGGGAGGGTAAATATTTTTAACATTCTTTCCACAGATTCAATAGTCTTTACAAACCTGCAGGACCATCTTTCAGTTTTGAAAGAATGTTTCAAGAAATGGTCGATAGGGTTCAACAGAACCAAAGTCCAATAAAGACCTTCAACGTACCGCCTCCCCTTTAATCTATTACTCTTCCTCTTTGGGATTTTACGGCAACAAACTACTTACTTGGAATTTAACCGAAAATGGCCTATTGGCTATACATAGCAGTAATAAGACCCAGAATAACCTATGGATCACTAATCTGGTGGAACAAACCTCAACAAAAAGTACCTACCCAAACATTAGGCAGCATAGCAGACTAGCAAACCTATGTATCACAGGGGCAATGAGAAAAACCCCTACAAATGCATTAGAAACTCTGCTAAACCTACCTCCATTGGAAATATTCGTACAAGGAGAGGCTAGGAAAAGCTCACTTAACCTCCAGAAACAATTAAATTGGAAAGGAACTAAACAATTCGGGCATACAACCATAATCAACAAAATCAGACACCTATTATTTGAAATGGGACTGATTATATGATCCCGGAAACATTCTTCACAACTTCCTATAAAATCTCAACGGACTACAAAGAAGAGGAAGAACACAGGAGAGCATCAGATACACGATATGGTATACAGATGGCTCCAAAACAAACGAAGGAACCGGATCAGGCATTTTCTGTACAAGCCCAAAACATGAGCAATCAAACTCATTAGGGAAGTACACTTCGGTCTTTCAAGCAGAAATACATGCCATCAATGTTTGTGCCCTGTAAAATCTTAAAAGAGGTTATGCTGGCAAAAAAATCCTCTTAAGATCTAATAGCCAAGCAGCCATTTAAGCATTAGCATGTAAAAGAATCACATCAAAATTAGTCAGTGAATGCATCCAAAATCTCCAAAACCTGGGGAAACACAACAACCTGATGAAATCTTGGGTGCCAGGGCACAGGGGAATTTTGAGTAACGAGAAAGCAGACAGTCTGGCCAGAGGAGGATCTGCAAGACCGTACATAGGCCCTGAACCTATACTTGGGATAACAAAAACAAATATAGAATCCACCATTGCAGAATGGATGCAACAAAAGGAGAAGTGGATAAACTCTAGCAAAGGCGCTGTAAAGACCAAATATTCAAAAAAAAAAAAAAATTCACCAATTTAAATAAACAAAATTGTCAGAGGCGCATTCCAATCGGAGTTTGGTAAAATATTGGTAGCAGAGCATGGTTTTTTTTAAATTTTATAAATGGAGATTGAAAGTTCCAAAATGACTTGTGCTTCAAGTATGCCCACAAATCAAAAATTTAAAGAGGAAAAGAAATAAATAAAAAAATTGGAACATAAAAAAATCGCTTTTATTATAAAAATAAAATAAAATAAGAACCTGCTCTGAACTAAAATGAAAAGACTGAAACCATAGGAAAAATGAACATAATTGCTTCTCTTAGCATGAATAAAATATATAAAGCTCTTTTAAAACCTATTTTAATAATTTTATTAAACAAAATTTTTAATGAAAGGAGCGGGCGCACTCCCAGAAGATGGAAAGGGAAATGATTTTCTTTTCACAGAAAAAAAAAAAAGGGAATTGACTCACTGGATGGTAGCAAGTACTTTCATGGAGCTCCCAACTTGGAATGCCCTTTTGTTTTTATTTTCTTGCAACGCCCTATCAATAGGGAACCCGAAGGATCATGGGAGCAATTGAAATGCGCCTCTGACAATTTTGTTTATTAAATTGGTGAAATGGGATTTTTTTTTAAATATTTGGTCTTTACAACGCTAAGCAAGACGAAGCAAAGTGCTAGACATAGTAAACTTATGATAAAACAACCCTCACCAAGACTGGCAGAGCATTGCTGCAATTGGAGAGGGCCAAACTCAGAGGAGTGGTAGGACTACTAACCGGCCACTGGTATCTGAGAAAACATCTACACAACATGGGTATATACAACGATGATCCCATATGCAGATTATGTAATGAGGAGGAAGAAACAGCCACTCATATCATCTTCGAATGCGAAGCAACAGCTCAATGGAGATTTAGCCTAACGTACGGAAAAAACTTAGGGAATCAAATTGCAGCAGCGACAGTCAATGACCTGATACTTCTAAGGAGAAGGATTGAGTCTATTGCACAGAACTAAGGAACTAGGAAGGTACAATAAGCCAGAAGGCTGCAGTGCCTGGGGAGTGCAAACCCCGCTTCCTAGTATCCTTTTTTACCATACCGTACCATACTTGGAATTTCCTCACTCGATTTAAAAGATTAGAACTGAATAGATAAATTGAACCATTCAAAAGACTACTTGACAAAAGATCAAAAATCTTATTGTACAGATCTGTGGTGTTCAACCGAGTGTTCTAACCTTCAAAGAATTCAGTCTCTCTAGTCTAAAATCCTTTAAACCATTGCTCAAGCTGTAGTATCCAACCTTAATATCCACATAGACCCTCAAATTTCATTTGTCCTCAAACCAAAGCCGATAGACACCTCAATAAAATCTCATCCCAACCTTTTAATTAAACACCTTTCCTCCCTAACTCTTCCTGACAATCCTCTAAGATGCCTAAAGCATCAATGGACTTGTAATTTCCTCCCTAGTGAGTAAATGGTACTAAGATAGAAGTAGATTACTTCCCATTCTTCTTATAAACAAAGTTGCTTTTTTGTGTTTTAGCACTGTTGTATCAAATTTTTTTTTTAAATTCAATAACTTGTAATTTATTTAATTACTTGGTATAACAATTGAATTTGAATTTTATTATTAATTACAGGTGCTGGTTGAGCAAGGGTTAGGAAAATTCTGCGATCCAGAGTTTGTGCGTTGTACATCGAGAGAAATGCAAGAAGCATTGGATATGACGCAGGAAGAAATGGATCGAGCCGCTCACCGTATATTGTTGCAAGAGAGACAAGGCCGACCGTTGTCGTTTCAAAATCCTGAAAACGTTTCGAGGCCGTGTCCTCAGTTATAGCAAATTGCCCAATTCTTAAAATCTAAGTGCCTAAAGTATTTTTGGTCCAATAATTATGACTTTAGGATTCCATCTTTATGACTATATATTTTTTAAACAAACTTCATCGCACTGATAAATTATGTATTATTTGGTGGATTGTTGTTAATAATAATTATATATAATAATAACTATGATTAATTTGTTTATATATATGAACAAAGTAATATGCAAATTTCTTACAGTCCTTCCTTCTCTTTTGCCTTTCAAACATATGAATTAAAATAAGGCTAGAGTATTATAAAGGTTTTATTGTTGATGTTGTTACACGTTGTAAAAATAAATAAGATGTTTAAAGACCACAGGTAAGAAAAATACATTAATGGCTGTTTTGTACATTTATATGATATGTTAATAACGATTGACATCAGTTATTGTTATTTTTTATTGTTTATCTAAATTGTTAATTTTTATTGCATTCAATTTATGTAAATTAGGTAAACATGTGATACATATCTAAGATATTTCTAATTCAATCAGTAATTATTCTTAACTTTATTCACCAATGTAATTTAATTTTAAAAAATAACTAGAATAAAATAATTGCTTATTAAAAGCAGTACAATTGACAATGGCTCCTGACAATGAATCCAGTTCTTAGAGAAAGAAAAAATGTTGCATTTTACAACCCAAATATTTTGATGTCTGTATGTGTGTTCATTCAATATGTGTTAAATACCTATATTTTAAGAGCATGAAGGAATTGTATGTTTTTGTTTCTTTTTCTTATATTTTCTTTTGTTGTTTTGTTTTTTTATAAATGTCCATTAAAAGTTTTTGAAGAAAATTGGAAAAACTTTATGAAAAGAAAGTTTTTATTATTAAAATATACCCAGTGAATGTTTTATACTTTTTATATAAAAAGAGAGAAAAAATTGGTATGCAAATGATAAATGCCTTCTTGATACAGACAAGAAAATTAGAGTGGTAATGTGAGTATGTCAATGTTTGTCATTTGGATGTATTCAGTTTTATTGGCATTTTGAAATATAAATTAATTTGGTGGTTAAAATCATTTACATTGCATTGTTCAAATTCCTTGTATGAAACTTGTTTATTCAAAGTCCTCACCCTTATTTCCCCTTCAGCAACTCATCAGTATTGTAATATAATAATATAACACTTATTATTTTCAGTTATAAAATGTGATAAAAGGGTTTAAATGTTTTTCTTAATGAAATTTATATAATTTTTTATACCACTTAAAATGTTGTTTTTGTTACCTGTACAAATAAATTTGGTTTTATCATTACCAATAAAATGGAGGCTTTTTAAAATAAAAACAATGAATAAAATTTACTAATAAAGGAATCTGAATGTTGAACAATTGTGTAAGTTTTACATTTGTATTTCATAAAAAAATGCACATTATTTTATTAATTCGCAAAATTTTAATTCGTGTAATGAAATAATAAACAAGCCTAACCTGGATTATAATTCATTTTATAAATATATCGAATTTTTATCTTAAAATGAAAGTAGATATTTTAATTACTTTATTTTTTAAGTCATCAAAGCTATAATGGGTGGTACCGGCTGTATAATGTTAGACTAACTAAACAATACCATGTTATGATGTTTTTTTTTTAAAGAAATGACTCCTAAGTGGACTTGTGATTTTAGGTTTAAAATATGGTACTTAGTAAGTAGTTTTAAAATGTTTTGTTTGCCAGATAATTAAAGGAATCTAAATAAAAATGTTTAAATTCTTACATGTAAGAAAATGCACAACACAATTAATATTTAATAAGATAATAAGGCCAAGAATAAGTTCTCTGTTCAATGAAACATTGGGGTAGAGTAAAGGACTGAAACTAAAGGCAGTACCAGTACAACTTGAAAAATATGTAGGAAACTCGAAGCAGCAGAAACACGCCTGTCCAGGTATTGCCTGAAAGAAGAACATGTCCTCAGTTGTTCCTGGTAGCAAGCAGATATTCCTACTCATGGGAGAAAAGCCAAGAGTCCTTTTGGGATCTGATAAAAAGCTTTAAGCCTTTAAGTGGTAGATAATAACGTAAATGCAATATTACAGAGAGCTTTTCTGGTTCTGAACAAAAGCCCTCTGCTATTTCAAAGAGTAAAATATGTAAGAATGTCAGTTTTTTATACTACTTCCTCTGGCCAAAAATTTACCTTCCTAGCTATCATTTGGGAAGGAGTGATGTGGCATCTGACAATAATGGGCGTTAACACTTTTAACCATACTTTTTCTTGCTTATTTGGCCATTTTGTATTCAGGCTTTGCAAGTTTCAAATAATGACAAAATTTGTATTGATATTATGATTAGTATAATTACTTGAAGAAGTGGAGAAGAGAAGTGGGGTGAAGAAAAGAAGGTGGAAGTGAAGAAAAGGAAAGAAAATTTAGAAAGGAAGGTTGAAGTGGTCAGTCACTCCATGAAGGAATCCAGGAGGCAGAGGACCGCCATCTGGAAGGGCTCACACCTTACACGAGCAATTACAAATCTATTTATTTAGGTTTTTATTTATTTATTTATGCGTCAAAAACCCTTTTCTTAAAAGAATTACACAAAAGGAAAGGAGGAAAATATATGTACAACTTAATACAAATACAATTAATTAAGGTTTTTAGTTGAGATGACAAAAAGTCAATGGCACGAGAGGGATTCGAACCCACGACCTTCGGCTAGTTACGCCGCTGCTCTACCACCTGAGCTATTGTGACCTCGATCCACTCCAAAAATGGCAAAAGGAAGGAAAACTCATAAGGTGGGGTTGAGATGGGGAGTTGATGTCCGAGTGAATCGAGGTCACGATAGCTCAGGTGGTAGAGCAGCGGCGTATCTAGCCGAAGGTCGTGGGTTCGAATCCCTCTCGTGCCATTGACTTTTTTTCATCTCAACTAAAAACCTTAATTAATTGTAAAGTAGTAATTGGTCAAGCAGACCACGAAAATAGTGAATTTAATACAAATAACTCAACTTCACTAAAGAATACACCACTATACTATACACTAAAAAGATATACATGAAAAAGACACATTCTCTGTATAGATGTGTGTGTACGTATAGATTATAACTGCATTATTAACTAACTGGCAGTATTGCAACTGCCTACATAGTACATTTTTAGGGTTTATTTAACTAAACAAAATCGTTATGCTTTGACGTTTTAATGAGAAAACTAGAAAACAAAAGTATTAAATAACACAATACTGTTGCGCATTGTTACATTCCATCATCATGCATTGCGTCACCAAGTGTAGTGAAAAATTTATTCCTTTATATTCAATAAAAAAAGATTTTCTGATTTCTTAGATGCCAAGAAGGTTCATAAAATTGGAGTTTACCAAGGATTTCTGGGGAATCTATACAATTATCAATTAATTTGAAAATACAAATAATCTCAAAATACTTTCTTCTGCAGCTAAGATCAGGAATATTAAAGTAAGATTTAATGGAAGCATGAAGGATTTATCATTGTGACAGTCTAATTTGAAATATAATGTACGAAAGAATTTATTTTGATTGGTTTGTAGAAGTTTTATATCAGCATAATAGTGTAGAAACTATACTATTGAGGTATTCAGAATAGGTTGAACAAATATATAGATGGACATAGCAGAAGGATTTTAGAACTGATAGGTACTTTTGATGGTGAAGCCAAGCATTTTAAAGTAGTGATTTTTGATTTCTTGAAAATGTGGCTTAAAGGTAAGATTACTATCAAAGGCGATCAAGATCTCTAATAGAAGTTGCTCTGGTTTGAGATTATTGGTGAAAGAGTGGAAAAGAGATTTTTGTGGAAAAAAGTGATGGTAAAACATTTAGAATTATTTAAGGAAAGTTTGTCAGTTTGACACCAATCTAAGAGATTGTTGAAAGTTTTTGTAAATTAATGCAATTTAAGGTAGAAGAAATTTATGTATATATTTTAGGCTGTCAGCAATGATGATGATACCATCAGCAAATTAAAAGAAACTTAATACCAGATAGAGCCAGGTGAGAACATCATTGGTGAATAGAAGAAATAGAAAAGGACCAAGATGGGAGCCTTGCGGCACACCAGATAAAAAAAAGGGAAGAGATCTAAAAAGACTTGATTTGAACGATTTGGGTGCATTCAGATAAATAACTGTGCAACCAATTCTAGCTTCCTAATAAGTGTTATGATCAATTTTCAACTCAGAGTATTAAAGCTCCAAAATCTATTTTCTCTTCTCTCTCAATTTCAGCTGGTGTACCTCAAGGCTCTATTTGTGGACCTTTACTCCTTTCCATTTCCTAAATAATCTTCCATTATTTTTTAATTTCTCCCAATTTCATATGCTGATTACACTCGGCTTTACATTCAATGTCCTACTGCCTACTGTGTCCTGTCAACTGTGACATTGATTTCCTCAATTAATGGTCAAGTAATACCGGCATTCTTTTAAATGTGTGGTGATTAGTGACCGTTAATCGATATTTATTTAGAAATCATGAGATGTGGTCTGGTGTGATGTAGGTTTCAGAAAAACATTTTCTTTATCGTGCCAATGTTTTGATCTTTATTTATTTTTTAGTAATCTTATTAGCCATAATAGGTAACTATTTCATTATGTTGCTTTGCTGTTAAAGACAACTGAAGATATCTTATTTTCTATGATTCTTATGTTCCTTTATTTTAGAGAAAGAAATTGTATTCTACAATAATTTGTTCTTGATTTGTTAATTCTATGCAAATTATTAAAATGAAAAATTGTACAAAACCAACTTCATTTGCAAAGAATGAAATTTCTGCGCAAATAAAAAGTAACTAATCTTATCTTAGCCATTGGAGGTGAATGCTTTTATATAGCTACTTTCTTTTTTGCTATGCAATTCATAATTATTATTAAATAAAGCATCTTATTATTATTATTATGTATATTTTTTAGTAATCTTATTAGTCATAATAGGTAACTATTTCATTATGTTGCTTTGCTATTAAAGACAATTGAAGATATCTTATTTTCTTTGGTTCTTATGTTCCTTCATTTTAGAAAAAAAATTGTATTCTACAATAATTTGTTAATTCTATGGAAATTAATAAAATGAAAAATTGTACGAAACCAACTCCATTTGCAAAGAATGGAATTTCTGTGCAAATAAAAAGTAACTAATTTTATTCTAGCCATAGGATGTAAATATTTTGTTCTTAATTTCTTAACTCTATGTGAATTAACATAAAAAATAATTAAATGAAAAATGTTAAAAAACCAACTTCATTTATAAAGAATGAATTTCTGTACAAATAAAAAGCAACTAATCTTATCTTAGCCATTGGAGGTAAATATTTTGTCATGTTGCTTTGCTATTAAAGACAGTTGAAAATATCTTATTTTCTATGGTTCTTATGTTCCTTCATTTTAGAGAAAAAAATTGTAGTCTACAATAACTTGTTCTTGATTTCTTAACTCTATGTAAATTAATATAAAAAATAATTAAATGAAAAATTGTAACCAACTTCATTTGCAAAGAATAGAATTTTTGTACAAATAAAAATCATCGATTCATAATATTTTATTATTATGTTACTATAATTTGTTATTTTTATTATGTTTTAATTTTTATTTCTAACTAGCTCTAAGTTTTTCTTTTCCTGTTGTCGTCGTTTGTCAAACAGTGACGTCACGTGGCATCGTTCTACCTGTGCGTTTCTCGAGGCGTTACTCGACACCCGAATCGAGAACCTCGGAACGGCTCCCAGTCGCCGCGGAAGGTAGACAACTTGGTTATATGTTTACATATTTTATTTCTCCACCCTGTCAACAGGAGTGATGTATCAGAATTTCACGTGGTTCAACTGTATATTTGGAGGTAAATATTAACGGTTGTGCCGAGGTGGGTGGCAAAAATCGGCCCGACTGCGGTATCCCAGTCTAGGAGGTGTCCGGTTTCGCTGATTGACGCAACCTTCGCGTTTTCGACCCGCGGATCCTTCCAATTGCTCGATTTTCTCATATTTCTGACATCTCGCGATGAGCCGGCGGCAAAGTTTTGTCGGTAACCAGATCCAGGATCAAGTCTGTCATTTTACTCCACCAATTCACTCCTATCAGCCTGATTCTGTCACTAAACACGGTCATTATTTGGCTAACGGAGTAAAACAAAACAGCAAAACTTTGGTATATTCAAAATAAGATGAAATCGTTTATTTTACACTGATTTTTTAAAATATTTGGCGTCGAAGGGTACTGCCAGCGTATCTATGCTACTATGCATCACTAAACTTTCCTTCTAGTGCATGTATTTTCTCTATTCCGATATTTTCATGTTAAAAAAAAAAAAAAAAAAAAAAAAAACGTGGATATAATTTAAACACAAAAAAGGCCATTTTTGTGTAATATTCTCAAAAAACCCAAATTGTTTCTTTTACTTTTCTTTTTAACATTTTCCTCTTGGTTGTTTAACATCTCTTTTTTTTTGTACAATTTCTAGGAGTAAATCAATACTGAAAGTGGACGGTTTGGCGGGGCGACGCTGGCGGCATCTCGCCTTCAAACCTTCCTACTTTTGGACAAATTTCAGCCAATTGGTCAGGATTTGGCTACTAAATTTGAAAATATCCCGACATGTGGGACTGTAAGTATCCAATTGTTTGCCGCAATTATTTGAACTTTTGGTTAACAAAAAAAATTATATCTAGGTTTTGTTTTTATTAATCTCATGTCTTAATTTATTGTAGATCTCTCTCTTCCTCTCTCCCTCCTCTTTCTCTTCCTCTTCCTCACACTATCTTTCTCTCCCCACCCCTCCCCCTCCCTCCTTNCTCTCTCTCTCCCTCCTTCCCTCTCTCCCTCCCTCCTGAAGTGCAGGGCATATTTCCCAAGGTTTATATGAATTCTAGTCCTTGGTTTATTTTCATAGATATTAGCTCCTGACCCTATTTTCATTTTGGAGTCATCTGCATTCCAGATATAGTCGAAGGATCCCTGGTTCTCCTGGTCTTCTGAATCAGGCATTGCGACTTGAAATTTTGTTATCCAATCCAATTTAAGTATCATGATAGTGAACGGAATTAGGGAGAGGAAAAGAGTGGATTGAGATATTTCTGTACAAAAGTTAAATCTAGTAAATTCACTAATTTCGTGGTCCGCTTGACCAATTAATATATTACAATGAAAAATGGCAAAAAGGAGGGAAAATTCAAAAGTCGGGGTTGAGATGGGAAGTTAGTGTCCAAGTGGATCGAGGTCACGATAGCTCAAGTGGTAGAGCAGCGGCGTATCTAACCGAAGATCGTGGGTTCGAATCCCGCTCGTGCCATTGACTTTTTCATCTCAACTAAATACCTTAATTAATTGTTAAATCTAGTGTTTAGAAAAGTTCTAGTTAATATCAGTTGGTATATTTTTATTTAAATGTTGCTTTATTCTTGCTGTATTAATCTAATTCGATTTTTTTTTCAGCCACAATTTTTTTAAGCTCTCTCACTCCTAAATTTTACGTTGCTTTAACAGGAACGTCATCACTGATTTCAGGACTTATACTGGTAAGTGATGTATTTTATGTAAATCTATATTTTTCTTAGCTGTATCTTCCAGTGCTTTAGAGAAAATGATAAATTTATTTGTGTTGTGATTAGTGACTGTTAGTCGATGATTATTCAGAAATCGTGAGATGCGGTCTGGTGTAACGTAGATTTTAGAAAAACATTTTCTTTATCGTGCCAACGTTTCGATCTTTATTGAGATCATCATCAGGGCCTGGGATTTACAAACATTGTTTAAATTTAACAAATACATGAAGGATGTGGAAAAAAGTGAATTTATAAAAAAAAATACATTTTTTTATATTCAATCAAAGTATTTAAATTTATTTAAGAAGTTTAAACCTTGCTTTCTACTTTTGATTTTTTTTTCTTTTTTTACAGTTATTCGAATGGTGGTATTTTCGAAAATACGGTGCATCATTTATAGAACAAGTCTCCCTTAACCACATATCACCATGGATCGGTGGAACTGAAACTAACACAGATACAGCCAACATTCCAAGCATCACTATTACTCCTACACAACAAAATGTGCCAGGTTTTATTATTTGTATTATTATTATATTAGATAAAATTAAAGTCTTGCCATACGAAAAAAAATAATAATAATAAGTTCTGCATTAATCTTGGGAAAACTGACATATAATCAATTAAAATATTGAAGTGTTTTAATTGAAGTTTAAAGTTTTTTGTTATAAATATTAAGTTGAGATAAATTAAAAAAAAAAAATGAACACTGATAATAGATCAGAGAATATCTTTACTTCTATTAATAATTTAAACAATATAATTTAATATAATTTGTTTTTGTAGAGTGCAAAGTATGGAGGAATCCATTAAATCTGTTTAGAGGTGCAGAATACCAGAGATTTTTTTGGGTCTCCAAAAAAGAACCTTTAACATATTATGACATGAATTTGTCAGCACAAGACCACCAAACATTTTTTACATGTGAGGCCGACGCCGGTAGAGCCGAATATGAAAGTAAGTATCTCATTGTGCGATAAATTTGAAATAAATTGAATAATTTTTTTTTCTAATAAGTTGTGTTTTTGAAGTAATGCAAACTGCATGGCGGGAAAGAAACCCATCAGCTCGTGTGAAAGCTGCACACGACGCTTTAGAGAAAAATAGTGAGTGTGCTCCTGCTTATATTTTGCTAGCAGAAGAAGAAGCGACAACAATATTACAAGTAGAATCAGTATTAAAACAAGCTTTAATTTATGCGGAAGCTAGTGTTCAAAACTCGACGAATGAAGCCATGCACCGTAAGGAAATTAACAAATAAAGCATGTTAAAGTTATTTTTGAGTTTTATTTAATAACTAATAAAAAACGAGTTATTTTTTATTTATTTTTTTGAAAGACAGTGTAGTTTTAAAGGAAAAGTAAGGTCTGCGAGGTAATGAACCTACAGTTTATGTGTAAAATTTGATAGAATTTTTGTTGTTAGCACACAAATTTATTCTAGCTGACCAAAATTTTTTTTATAATCTGAAATAAGCCCTCTTGTATTAAAGGAATTACTTTACTTTTTTGCTCATTTGATAACTTTGTGAAGTTACAAAACAGAAGAATGTAGCATACACCACAAAAAATAAACAAAATAAAAAATACAGACCCATTGAGGGTAGGTGTGAGGCAGAAATAGTTTAATAATGATTTGATGGTAGGTGTTTGTCTATGAGTTGGTTAACACATGTTGAACTATACAGAAAAAAAATGTCCAAAAGAAGACAACATTGAAATATTCAACAAAGCAACACAGAGAAAATATACAATATATGACAATTACATCCCTAGCGACAACCGTCAGACTCCATAGTACCATTACGTGCAAGGATGACGAAACACTTTCTCACTGAAGATGGCACAAAGCTGGATTTTTTAAAAATGTTTTGGGGTTGATTAAGAATAATAAAAATAATCTCTTAAATAGAGCTATTGTGAAACCCTTATAAATTATAATCATACCTTGGAAAGTACACTTTTTCCCATAAGCCTAAGCACTTTCCTTGGTGTCTCTTCATGCACCTCTTTTGGTGTGAAAATTGCCTTACTGAAGTTTCTATACCGTGACCGGGCTAATGCCTCACACTCAGAAAAAATATGTGCCAATTTCTCTAGTTTCTCTTGACAGAGATTTATAATTCTCTTAGCTTGCCTCATACTTTGTAATTTTGTCGTGTGCGTGAATTTTTGTTTCCCAAGCAGTTTTTCCAGTTCCAACTTAACCACCATTCAGTGCACACATAATTGGTTTTCGACCCATGGTAAGAGGGTTGTCCCCTTTTTTCCTAGGTCAGCCTGTTCATTTCCTTCTATACCGTCATGCCCGGGTACCCAGTTTAAGGTAATCTTGTTTTGTTCTCCTGGAGTCATTTGGCAATTTTTTAGGCACTACCAGACAAGTTTGGAGTTGAAAGCAAACACATTTGGAAATGCGTTTGATAACATCAAAATCGGTAAGTACCCAGTGCTGGTTCAACATGTACAATTCACCAACTCACAGACCAAACACAATCTAAAATATCAAAATGGACAAGTCATTTACAACTACAATATTTTGTTATTTTATATAACAAAGTAAACATAAAACATAAATAAATTTTAATTAATTATACTTTTAATCTAAGGTCTTGTTTGAGATTACAAGTATGATTAATTAAAAAATTAATACAGTCAATTATGACTGATAAATGCATACCTGTATAACAAATTAAATTGGAACTAAACCTTAACACATTTCTTCAATCTCATCACAATAATTACCAAGTACAAGTGAACTTTTAATTAAAATCTAAAAAAAAAAAAAAATAGAATGTTTATGTTATTGTTGCTGACCAAGACCAACCAGCTGAGTACTACTCTTCAGGAAGCTTGTCAATATGGCGGTTGCATTTATTGGCAAACAGGCTTTTACTGTATATTTATTACAATGACATACATCGATTGAAAACAAAAAAAGAAATAATGCATCAGAGACAGTTTTGATTTTGTCCAAACTCCTATGGACTATCCAGTTGCAATTTTATGCAATAAAATTTGTTTTAGCCATTGAAAAGATTGTATTGATTTTTAATTTGAATCTAAATGCTTTAAACATATTGTTTTATTTATTACTTGTAATATTTAGTTTCATGGCACTCTTATTATTATTGCGGTTGCTATTCTTTTGACACTTTGACACCAAAATGAAAGTAAGTGATTTTTTTTAAAGTGATAAATGAAATGTCAACAGTGTATCTGTTTCTGTACAATTAATTCTTAGATACTTTGTTGTGTGAAAATCCAAATGTAAACTGACAATAATAATTACATCCTCTGTTTTGTTTATAATAAAAGAACACCCAGTTTTCTTCAGACAATCGTGTTGCATTTCTCCTTTGTTCATATATTAAATTTTTAAATCAATTTTATTACGATTTTTTTACCTTGTTTTTGTGAAATGACTACATTGTTTTTAACATTTTCATTTTGGTGATAGTGAAAGAACTGAACTTAATCTATAAAACTTTTCAAAGTGATTTATTTCAACATTTTATAAATAGTATGCATGCAATTCTGGGTTTCAAGCATGTTTGGTTGGTCTGAATTGAATTTTACTGTTTAGAAAGTTTAAAACCGTAATAAGTTTTACAAATTCAAAATGAAGATACGGAAAAAAATACCCTGGCAATTTTCTTATTGGATCTATTGCTACAAACATTAATATTTATTGTTAACTTATAGTATAATTTATATCAGCATTCAATACTATGTTTATAATAAAAATCATGGTTAAGGCCAATTGGTAAAACAATTAGAAAAAGAAAAGAAAAGTAAGAAAAACACTTCTTTCATTGAGCTTTTAAAGGATTCCTTCATCAGGAATTCTTTCCAATTGGCCTTATCCCTGATTTTTATAACATTATTATTTTAACAATAGAAAACTGTTATTAATATGCATGTCTTGAGTAACTTTTTGAAAAATAAGTTTTTAACCTAAACCATAATTGTGATAAGGAGTTTTTGGAAATTATAAAATTATGAATGATGTTTGTGCGATTTCCTCTTGGGGTGTGCAGGTCGAACAGTCGAATAATTACTGTTCGATACCAAACCACTTCTGTTGCATGTTTCATAACATTTATTGTAACTATTATATTGTTAAATAAAGTTGTAAGTTTTATAAATATGTATGATTATTTTTAGGGAGAGATACTAATGTTCTTATTTATATAAAAAGGAGACTGGCAATGTGTTCACGTAAATTAGGGAGACTAAAGGAAGCTGCTAAGATGTTCAGGGATGTAAGTACACCTATGACAGTCACATTTGTGACCGACTTGCGTCCATTTTCTCACTCGTGTAGAACAAAATCCTGTTAATTTGTTACATTCATCAAGTACTGATTCTTTTTCTATGTTATTGTAAAGTGATTCATTATTTTTTTAAGCTGACAAAGGAAGTCCCTCCTATAATGAATGTTTTAAACATTCATGAAAATTTAATTGAAGTCCTTTTAGAAATGGAAGCCTATGCTGATGTTCAAGGTGTTCTGGCAAAATACGATGACATTAGCTTGCCTAAGTCCGCCACAATATGCTACACAGCAGCACTTTTAAAAGCTAGGGTTGTAGCCGATAAGTAAGTCAGATTTTACCAAAACAATTGTTTCTTTAATATACCTAATTTTTATTTAAACATATTGTTTTCCATTTAAGGTTTTCTCCTGAAGTGGCTAGCAAAAGAGGATTAACACCTGCAGAGTTAACAGCAGTTGAAGCAATTCACAGAGCTGTTGAATTCAACCCTCATGTCCCAAAGGTAATCTTTTTTGTTGCTTTTAGTATTCAAATAAATGTCAGTTTCAAAATCATATTTATTTCACTTATTTTCAGTACCTTTTAGAAATGAAACCTCTAATCCTTCCTCCGGAACATGTATTAAAAAGGGGTGATTCAGAAGCAATCGCTTATGCTTTTTTTCATGTCAACCATTGGAAAAAGGTCGAAGGGGCTTTAAATCTTTTACATTGTACCTGGGAGGGAACATTCAGGATGCTTCCTTACCCCCTCGAAAGGGGCCATCTATTTTATCCTTATCCAACATGCACTGAATGTGCAGACAGAGAGCTTTTACCAGGTAATATATTAATTTATGTACGGATATTTTTATTTTGGTCAATGCGTTACTTAACAGCTAAAATTTTCCATTACTTATTTGATTCAAAATTTTTTAATAGCAACAAAGCAAGCATTACACTCTTAACAACCATTTCTTAGGCCCATAATAAGTATATTCTTTTAACATGCATATAATTTTGGGCTGGTACATAATTTTTTTCGCTTTACCTGGGAATTCATAAACACAAGCTTTGGGTTACGTTAATTTATGTAGCGCTAGATTAGGGATGGTTTAGGTACTGTATTTTTCCATGTCTTGTCTTGAGAAACATTGTTTGTTAATTACTGAGAAAACTCTTCTCGTGCGCTCTCCTGTTCTGTTTCTCCCCATTTTGCATTTTGCTAAGACATAATTTTTATGTAGTTTATGGGAAGTAGGGCAAATCAGTAGCAACTTGTTCCTGTAGTGCTGACTCTTTTGCACGCTGACCGGTTTGTTTCCATGAGGGAGATATTCCACTGATGTTGTGATCAGCACTAGCGTAATTCTTGTAAGGTTTTAAATGTTATATTACTTGTTTGAGTTATTTGAGAACTGAAAGTGAGGTAAGGTTAAAGAAATGCTAGGTAGGGTTAGGTTAAATAGAGTTGGGTTCGTTTATATTAGTTTAGACTGTTAGCATAACGTTAGATAGGGTTAGGGTAAATTTGGATTAGGTTAAGTACAGTTGGGCTAAAGTAAAGTTTGGTTGGGATAGGTTAAGTATTAGCTAAAGCTAAAATTGAATTGTGTTTGGTTAGATAGGGTTTGAGTAAAGATTAGAGTAGGATTAGGGTAGGGTTTGTGTTAGGTTAAGTCAGATTAAGTAAAGTTTGATTGGCTTATGTAAGACAGGGTTAGGATAAAGTTTGGATTGGATTGGGTGTGGCAAGGTAGGGTTAGGGTTAGGATTAAGGTTTCATATCTAAGTTTAAATTTTTTTTTGTGAATCAGAGAAAATATGTGAATGTAAAGTGCCAGTTTACTATAACACATCTGTACATATAACAAGAACAACACTATGGATCTATATGTGTTCACATACATTTCTTTGTATCTGAGACAGTCCATGTACATATACATTTTTATAACCTCTTTTAATCCCCCCTTCCTATCTAAAATTTCATCACAAAAGGACAACTTGGCCTATGGATTTTTTATCCACAAGGTTGGATGATTTATTATAATTTGTTTATTAGTCACACCCAATTTGCTGTTTTTAAAAATTGTTCAACATTTTCAAAGTGCCTACATAATAGAGTACACTTTTAAAAATAATTTTGTACTTATGTTACGTTATGCTGGCTTAGTAAGAAAATGATGATGGATTGGGTGCAAATAAATATTTTTAAAGAATCAAAATTAATAAGTAATTACAATTAATTAAGGTATTTAGTTGAGATAAAAAAGTCAATGGCACGAGCGGGATTCGAACCCACGATCTTCGGCTTGATACGCCACTGCTCTACCTCGATCCACTCGGACACCAACCTCAATCGCACCTTTTGAATTTTCCCTCCTTTTTGCCATCGTGGGTTCGAATCCTGCTTGTGCCATTTACTTTTTTATCTCAACTAAAAACCTTAATTAATTGTAATATTGGTCAAGCAGACCACGAAATTAGTGAATTTAATGATTTAAAATGAAGCATACTTCACTAAAGCTCTCCGTGGCCATTTCATTTGTCGTCAAGAATCCAATCCGATTACACGACATTTGAAAAATGGCAAAAAGGAGGGAAAATTCAAAAGGTGGGGTTGAGATGGGGAGTTGGTGTCCGAGTGGTTCGAGGTCACGATAGCTCATGTGGTAGAGCATCAGCGTATCTAGCTGAAGATCGTGGGTTCGAATCTTGCTCGTGCCATTGACTTTTTTATCTCAACTAAAAACCTTAATTAATTGTAATATATTAATTGGTCAAGCGGACCACGAAATTAGTGAAATTAAGACCACAAAATTAATAAGTAAATAAACATCCTTAGTTTCTTGTTTACCCTATACTCAAAATGGAAATTATAATTTTTTTTTTAATTCCAGCATTTCATGATGTGAGCGTTTATCCGAAAAAAGAGCTTCCATTCTTTATACTTTTTACTGCAGGCCTATGTTCTTTTACTGCTCTATTGGCACTTTTAACTCATCAATATCCGGAACCGATGGGTGTTTTTGCAAAAGCGGTAAGATTTATGTAAACATTTGTTCTTTTCAATAATTCAAGGTTTTGGAATTTTTTTGTTAATAATATATGTTTGCACTAGTAAACATTAATACCAAATATGTTATTTATCAGAGGTCGCACTAATACACAATTTTATTGGTTATTAAAATTATTTGAGGCAAATAATGTTTGAATGTGACCGTTTAAAATTTGCTTTATGCTTGATAAGTGATTTTCATAATTAAATAGTTAAACATATTTAATTTCAATTGAAGACAACTGTCATATGTAAAGTAAGTGATGGAAAATCAAAGTTCTATTGTTCTAATTGCAGATAGTCAGCGGTTTATCAATGCCATTTTATTACCTCCTAGATAAAATGCAAGTGATTCTGCCCTCGAATATTCTTCTTCAGTTGTCCCGTATTTAGCAAGGTAAGAGTAGAAAGTATTATTTTCTCTTATAACTTATTTGCCTGAGGCCAATTGTCTTACTTGTCTTTAAAACATTTTGTACTGACATAGGCACTCATGTTTTCTACTTAAAGTAACAAGTCAACTTGAGATACACATTATAAATGAAAGTACAAAGGTCAAAATCTCGACATTAATACCATAACTGTTTATACTTTCAATTCACTAGTTTCGTGGTCCGCTTGACCAATTAATATCATACAATTAATTAAGGTTTTTAGTTGATATAAAAAAGTCATTGGCACGAGCGGGATTCGAACCCACGATCTTTGGCTTGATACGCCGCTGCTCTACCACTTGAGCTATCGTGCCATTGACTTTTTTATCTCAACTAAAATCCTTAATTAATTGTATGATATTAATTGGTCAAGCGGACCACGAAACTAGTGAATTTAATAAGTTTAAAACGAAGTGTCCTTCACTAAAGCTCTCTGTGGCCATTTCATTTGTCGCCGAGAATCAAATTGATTACCCGACATTTGAAAAATGGCAAAAAGGAGGGAAAATTCAAAAGGTGTGGTTGAGATGGGAAGTTGGTGTCTGAGTGGATCGAGGTCACGATAGCTCAAGTGGTAGAGCAGCGGCGTATCTAGCCGAAGATCATGGGTTCGAATCCCGCTTGTGCCATTGACTTTTTTATCTCAACTAAAAACCTTAATTAACTGTTTATACTATTGCCTTGTAAAATAAGTCCGTAGCATTTTTCAGAAATTAACTTTTATTGCTCTTGTGTTTAGAAGCAATGTTGATTAGTCATTTGTTGTTTACATGCTTTGAAAAGGGTTAAGGTGTTTTTATTTGTCAGTTCAATTCCATATTTTTACAATTTTTAAATTTTTAATTTAATTTAATATGGAAAAAACAGTGATTTTTCATTTAACTGTTTTCTTATTACCACAAAGAGAAAACCAGAGCCCAGGCTGCTAATTTATGATGCATATTGTGATAGCACTTTAGGAGAAAAACTAAGTGGTCTATGTTTAGAAGTGGAAATTTTGATTTGGAAGATGCAAAGTGCTCTGGTTGTCTTTTAACCTTTGATGATGACCGAATTCAAATTTTAGTTCTATCAATATCCTCCCAATGCACCCGTAAGAGAGGGCGGAGTTCCCAAATGTTAAAAAAAATAAGTCAAGGGGGGGCACTCTAGGTCCCGGGGGTGGCTTTGGTCGGCTCGCGTGGGTCGGGCGGGTCGCTGGCAACACGGGACACTGGCTGTATGCATCTAAGCAAAGCAAAAAAAAAAAAAAAATTATTTACAAATAACACATACTCAACGTGTCTGAGAACAGGTGGAAATGTTTTGTCATGTTGAAGAATTTATTTGACCCCTATCTCCATCTGTGTTTTTCTCCTAAAATGCAATGTATATGACCAATTTTTAAAAATATTGATAACTGGCAATGTTCACTTCTACGACCTTTCAAAAATAAGCTAACTAGGCTGGAGAATGGAAGAGCCTAGGTATTTGAATTATTTTGTCATTCATTGTATTAATTAATGTATACTATTATTTCCTGGGATAGGAGATAAAAGAGGCGGCCACAGGCCTTCTGCACCTTGACTTGAGTGTGCTCATTATTTCCTGGGAATAATACTTGACTGGGCAGATAATTACCAAAGATACATTTAAAATGTAACAAAAAAGTTATTTACAATTCAAACATTTAACATATACCCAAAATATTACGGTGGGCTCTTTTTGTGCTGTTACCATCAAAAAACGCTATGGGCTTCTTTTACAACACAACGTTCTGACCGATTTATATAGCTGATTTTGTTTTAAATTAAATAACTATAATTACATTGAATTTTATTGTTAATACTTTTGTTCTTATAATTTGACTCAAGGATTAATAATATAAACATTTATAAATATACAGTAGACTCTCGTTATCCGCACTTTCCCCCATCCGCGGTTGCCCCCTTCCATAGTTGAGATTAAACCACAGAAGAGGATAAAATTGAAGAAAAACAGGCATGAACACAAAAAAGTAAATAAAAATAAATAAAAACATAACTTAAGCAATGGACCCTCTTGTGTTTTCCTGTGTGGAATAAACTTTATGTTCATTACCGTACATTTTATTTTTTATTATTGAAAAATCCTGAAATATGTGTACATAAGTTCGTACATAACACTGTCGATAGTGGTACAGAAATTGTCTGATTGGTATGAAGATAGAAGAAAATGCTTTGCAGACTGATTCAAGGTGTTTCCTATTATCCAGGGTTCTCGTTATCTACAGTGCATAACGAGAGTCTACTAAGATTTTTGTTTAATTTTAATTTACTAGTGTATTGCATTTAATTATGGCAGTGGATGTCGTAAGAAGATGATATTTTTTCAGGATTCACATTTGGAGGAGATTTCATCTGTTCGCCGCAAGATTTAAAGATCAGGACTTCTTTAACAAATGACAAAATGTACAAAAATAAAGATTTTAATTTATATAAATAAGTCTTATTAATTTTTTTCCCCTCTGTTTCTATCATGATTAATACTTCTCATGAGAATTTATAACTTTTCTATGTGTATTATTTTTTGATACTTAGTGACCTACCTTTTTTTATAAATCTTGATATTGAGTTTGGTTGACTATATACTTTTTTTTTTTCAGTTACAATTAATTTGTAGGGACCAAATCAATTGAAACGTTTTGTGAAGAAAATCACAAAAGTGAGGTCTGTTATATTTGAAGAAATCAATTACTTAAAACACCTTTTTTTTAAATAATTTATTGTGAATCCTTAACATGGAAAAGTACAAATATTGCAATTACAACAAAGTTGGTTATGGAAAGATACTTCTGACAAATTTATACCTTACTATTTACCATGGTGGCACACCGCTGCAAACACTAAAGAAGAATAATTTAAATAATACGAGAAACTTGTTTTTGCAAGAGTGTACCATCAATTCACTCAACAGGTAACGACGTATTGAAGATTCGTTATTTCTTTACTTACTTTACCATAACGTAATTGATCATTAAAACACAGCAAATTATCAGGGGGTCACACAGAACAATTGAATAAAAATGCACAATTAAATATATGACTATGAGGAGCTATTATTTAATATTAGTTACCATTCTGAAAAACAATTCAGAATGTAAATTAATAAATTTATATAGGAAGCCAAACATTTATTTTTACCTTTTATATAATCATAGTGTATTATTTTAAAATATAAATAGACAACTAATAGACACAAGTAGTTATATTTGTGTAGATTATTATAAGCAAAAGATAGGACAGTACTCTGTCAGATTAAGCAAGATGTCGTAGAAAGATATAGAAACAAACTATACGATTTATAATATACATCCTGTAATTTACAGAATAAGTTCTTAAGTATACATAATAAGTAAAGAATAAGTGGTACAATACATGTGTGCGAAGAAAAATTTCACACACTTCATCACAACACCATATTGAGTTGTTGATTTTCTATGTTGTTCCATAGTTGGGCAAATATTTTCTTTTTCTTCTCTCAATTTTGTGCTACTTTGTACTTGGAAGCACAAGTACATTGAAAAAATCTATTGATAATCTATACTAATGAGCTAAGATGGTAACATAGTATGCAAAATTCAGAGACAATGCATAATTTGTATTTTATCTAACAATTTCTACAAACTGAACCTATTATTGGACTTACACATAAATATTCCTATCTATACAATGCGCTGTGAAAGTGCCCTATTATCATTTCACAAAGATATTATTGCCTCCAGACATACTTCCTATAGGTAACTTCCTTTCCTTATTCACAAATAATTATATAATAATTCAAAATAAGGGCAGGCATATTTAATTTTTAGATAAAAAGTGAGGTTACACTATTAAAAATATGTTGATTCTGTGTGACATGACAAAAATATATGTAATAAATATAAATAGAGGAAGATTAGTCGATAATGATTTAAAGTAAGTATATTATATATCTAACACATTATCTATAATAATATCTGTGCAAATAAAAATTATAATTTAAAAACTGATCCACATTCAAACGTAATTTCACTTTTCCCTAAGTAGTTGGGTTTTTAAATATGATTTTTTTTTTTTTAATAAAGAGTCAATGGTAAATAATAAATTTTAAAGAAACTAATGATATTTTCCTCAAAAGTACCTTATCCCATTTCATCTACATGAATCACTAAACTTTGTTTATTTCTTTTGAAAGTCTCATGCATTTGTACTCTTATCTTGTCCATATTTTCAATTAACCTAAAAAGTGATATAACAAATAGAGAACGAAGACATAGAAAACAAATGCATGAAACATGAAACACTGTACATATATACATTCTTGTGCTGTCATTTACTATATATTTATAAGCTAATAATTGAATATTAGCAAACTTCATGTTAAGTATATGACAAGTCCTATACCTGAGCATTTGTTTAACAATGACCAAATTAACAATTTTTACAGTTGGTCTCAAAATGTGTGCTAGTACAAATGATATTCGTATTTCCTTATTGTGAGAATATTTATATATATATTTTTTTATTTATAGGTATATTTTTTTTTAACTGTGATTGGAATCGTTTACCGTTCTTATAACTACTTTGAAAAAGGAAAAAAGTTAATTGTACATTTTTCTGAAACATTAATTTATAACTATAATTTATTATACATATTATGCACACGGAATGTAAGCTCAAATATAAAAAAGAATATTTACTATTTAAACAATTCATTTTGAAGAAAATATCACATTATTTATACATGGTATATATGGAGGGATTACTATGTTTTAAATGCAAATAATGACGACTACTAACTATTCTGATGCTTCAATAATAATGGTGCCTAAATTACACGATTTTGTATGCATACGCATTTCGGTGTGTTGATGTGTGTATATATCTATGTTTGTGTACAGAGACAACACAAACAACACACTTTTCTTTGTAGGGGTTTATGAGTGATAAATAATGTTTGGTAAATTATGCGAATCGACTATACACATATATATATTAAATAATAGCTATATAAATATATATATATGTTATGAATACATTATAAATAATATACATATATTTATAATAAATCACACTTGTATCATTACTTATTATTTTTCTTTTAAAGATAAACCTTTGCTCGACAAAAGTAATCACTAGTGATAAAGTGTAAAAAATATTCTATACAAATTCACTTTTACACATCATCACCGTTGAATATTTCAGCGAACGGTAAAAAATACTTATGGATGACTATAGTAATGTTTCAATGTGGTTTTTTTTGTTAAAATAATTTTTTCACAATTTGTTGTTTCTGAATATATCGATACACATTTCAAGTTTGTGTAAACAAATTATTAAGAAATATAAAATATCGGTAAACACTATTTATTTATAGGCCTACTATTCCGACAAGACAACCCGCTCAGTTCGATTTCCTAACTCTTTATACACTTCTAAACTGTAGCTCTAATGCATATACTTTACAATGCTCAAATATTTTGTAACTGTAACTTGGCTAATTACATCTCATATCACTTGATTACATACATTATTAAAATCAATTTAATGATGTAAAATTAAGTATACATAAGTTTTCAATTATAATATACTTTTTAAAACCAGATATAGGTTAAAAAAGAATATGTATATATATTAACAACTTATGCATAATCAGGTTACATGGTGATTTAGTCTTCATTTTCGTTTCTTCTTTATAATTTTTTATTAGCATTTATAATATGTGAAAGGAAATTCATCTAAGATGATACCTACAAAACACTGTACGTATGGACGTTTGCCATAAATGCAATATAGTTGGCATATAAATTAGTGACTCAATTTACATTTTTACACTGTCATTTGCCAAACTTTTATAATTATTTTTTAATGGCCAGTACTAATTTACATGAGCAGAATATCCATTCAGAGCACCACAATTATATATCACACTAATTTAAGTACAGCATTTACGATTTGAACCCCTTTATTTAAAAGATTTAATATATAATCCATCTTTGAGATAATATGGTGTTTGAACTTATGTACTATGTTAGCCATAACTTTTTTTTTTAAAAATAAGTGTTTTTGTAGTCTGTGTAGTGTTTATTTGTAAAATGTTCGTTACAACTAGGGGAAGTTTCTACCTAGAACTGTAAAAAATTTGGTTTTTAGTGTTTATACCAGTATTTTGTTGAACAGTCTTCATTCTGATCCTAAACCAGCTACAACATCACTACTTATCTTTAAATTCCAGTCACATTTTGACAAGTCTCCTGCACTTGAACACATTTTTGTAGACATTTACCTTCTATAATTATAAAATTTATTATTAGCCCAGTGAAGTTAGTTCTGCTCAAATTCTAACATCTTTTCATTATTCGATTTGAAAAGAAATTTAGAAACAGCTAATGTATCAAACACCTATGATGGGTATTTCGACCTTTTTTTTTCTTAATTTTTGGCTCTGTTATCAAGATGGCTTACCTAAATGTAGATGGAAATTTGTAGTATGTACAATGCATTACATCAATATAAGAATATAAAATATTATTCAAGGTGTAAGTTATGTTACATGTTAATGGTCCTGATTAGGTACATTTAACAGGCCTTTGAGTTATCAATATTCACATAGATATTTAATATCTAATTAGGAAACTTTGACCACACTTTTTTCTTCTTCAAATGAATGTGGATTATCTTAAAGAAACAAAAGTTCAATAAGAGAATAAAGCTGTGATTTTTTGCCTTGTGGGCTTTTTAAATAAATAATAATAAACATGGAATGTGTGATTTTACTTTTGAATATTAATAGTTTGTACACTTGAAGGTATTGTCTCGATCAATTAGATTATTATAAAATACCATATCATACCTAAATTTTTTTTTTAAATACTAATTTTGGTTTTTTCATGAAAAGTGTGATATGAATGTATTTTCAAAAAACATTTTATAAAAGTGTTCAACAAGTATATATTACAACTAATTTTTAAACAACATTTAATAGCTTCAGGATAATCTATATTAATAATCTCCAAATTATTCGCTAAACTGTAATTTAAAGTATTTTGTATCCTTACAATTAAGAAAACATTTAGGCCTGTGATTCCATTAACTTCAACAAGATTATTATTTATAAGATGGCAAAACAAACACAGTCTATATAAATTAATGGATGTCACCACTGTATCAGACAGATCTAATTTTCAATGTTTTTAACAATTTAAATGCAAATATTTAATATCACAAAGTGCCAATATTATCAATCCTTAATCATTATTTTTTATTTATAATATTTAAAGTTTTGTAATATTCATGAATTGCAATAGGACCGAGTTATTTTTTAACCAATGTAATTGGTTTATATATATGTATATATATACTTTTTTAACTCAACGTTAGATCTTTCAAAATATTTTTTTTTTGTCTATTTCAGGGTGAATTGATAAAGGGCAAGTAAATACTTACGTTGCGTAATTATATGGCACAAAGCCTCATTATCTATTAAGCAATAAAGAGACACATCACAAAGAGAAGACCCTGTTAAATGATAGACTTTTTTTTAATAGGATCTCATTTATCGTTTATATGTTTTGGTTTGAATCAGGGATCATTGTGATTTTATGATGGAATATTAACTCTCAGTTCCCTTTAACAACAATATAATGATATTGCTCAAATTTAGAAACTATAAATCCATGTTATTATTATTTGAGTATTGAGTATATACACTGCAGATGAATTTTTTTTTTCTTTCCGAATGTGTGTAAAATTTGTCATAGCCAAAAATTACTAATCAATAAAGATTTCAAATAACTGAAATATATTTTATTGGTAACTTGTATTCACAATTGCTTATAGGCTCTGAGCAGGTAACACCTTTTTATGGTTTTAACAAAACTCTTCAGAATGTATTGCACAATTTATTGCAGTATATATTACATATAGTAGATAAACAATATTTGAACAATGTAATTCTGCCCTACATGTGCTTTTTGAGCACAATGTTGTTTTAAATAAATTTGTAAACTAGCAACATGTTTTTTTTTTTTGTGATCAATAGCAAACTTTCATAGAGCCAGGAATAAGTTGAGCAAAGTGATTGTTAACAATTTTTAACTGCCCAAAACATATTTCTGCTGGCTATTTTATACATTTGAGCTTTTAACAGAGCTTCTAAAATTTGGATCATTTCACAAAGCCCTCTATTCTGAGGAACCCTTACTTTTGTAGGCCTTCAACTTATAGAAGACTATAACTATAATGTTATGTCATAAAAATAGTTACACTGAGTAAATACTGTTTTACCAGGTACTGTAAATTCTCCATGTCTCTCTGAAAATTCTCTTACGGAATGCTTATGAATAATCAAATACAATATATCTGTGACTAATGAAATAATGAATTTTGAAATACATAATATTATCCTCGCGCTTAATGTGCAAGTCTGTGTTATTCCCCCTAAACACTTCTTAATTATTATAGTATATAAATGCTTGAGAATAGTTTTTCTTTAACGTTCTTTTTTTTTTTTTAATTTAAAATTGAACATAAAAGCACACTTTAAACCAAAGACAAACAATTAAACATACTCAAAAATGAAGTGATTCAAATAAATAAATAAAAAAATTAAAAGAAAAGAAAAAAGGGGGAAAAGAAAATACAAACAAAAATGATGTCACTTGACTATACAAATTATTTTGTTACTTAAAAATAAAACAAAGAAAAATTAAAACAAAACAACATACTACTGACACAAAATATCAATACACAAAACAAATTTGAAAAAAATTAAAGCACAACTTCTGAGTAATTAGTTTCCCTTCCATGTAGGATTATTATATTCACATGGATGAAATCAAATAGAAATAACAAATAAATGAATTTAGTGACTTGCACTATACTGTGCTTTCAAAAAAAAAGAAAAAAGCTAAACAAATTACAATAGTAAAAAAATTATAATTTTCATCATTAAGCATAAAAACGTAAAAACGAAACTCAAAACGGGAAAAAACCTTGCTCTTAATTCATTAATTATTTCTGAAAATCTATAAAAATACAGTTTGCTCATCTTCCACTCCAAGCCAGTTTGTCACGATATAATTTATATACAAGCCACAATTTAAGAATGTTTCAAGGACCGAGCACATTTGTACTTAATAGAACCTTTGACTACCAATTAATTTTACTGAATCTAAGATGAGTAACAAAATAAGCAATGTCAAGTGGATGTAATAACAAGCAAACGTATGCTCATAAAATTTAGATTAAAGTAAACTATTGAAGTTGGTACACCAAACTAATACTGCAAAATATTCTAGATAGTATGTAAGTTTTAAAAGGATTATATAAAAAATATGTTTTCCTTACAAACACGAGAAACCACAAAGTAAATAATACTAAATAATTAAAAAAGCTTTGAGAAAACAACATTGAACTAACTACTTTTATTAGATTACCGTTGCTGAAACTACATGGCTACCAACAACAATAATATTGATAATAATAATAATGAATAATAATAATAATAACTTATTATTTATTTGAAGAATATTAATGATAAATATGTCATGTAAACAATAAAAGTGGCTAAATTACCTCTGAGTCCTCAAATTGAACTAATATATATTTTCTTTGTTTTGTTTTTTTTTTTAGTTTTTTTTTTTAGGAAACGCAGACTTGCACTAGTTTCGACTAGCTTAGCCTGATTATCAAAATACTACTGTATATATACATATATGCATATCTCATAGGTATACACTTATATATATATACATACAGATGTCTACTGTTTTAAGGCAGCATAGCCCCCATATAATTTTACTTACATTTAATAAGTACAATTGTAAATTAAATTTATTTATAAAAATTGCAACAAAAAAGTGAATCATAAGAGATCAAAAGGGGTTATACCGTCCGAAAACAACTTAATAGGTATGACTAGACAATGTCACAGATGGGTGGGAGTCCACAAGTTTATGATGTTTTGCTCTTGTTAGTTTTGAAAGAAACCTGAAGAACTCGATTGCCAAGGGTGTAACCGTTAAGAGATTGTATTGCTACCACAGCTTCATCGTAATTTGTCATGGTTACAAATCCGAATCCTTTACATTTGTTGGTTTGTAGGTCTCTAATTACTTTTACGCTTTGAACAGCACCGAATGGACCAAACAGTTGCCACAGCACATTTTCTTCCGTTTCTGGTGCTAAATTATAAACGAATATACACCAACCCGAACCATTCATCGCATTCCCAGGGAGCATAGAGTTCGCAAGTAAATCGCCGGCCAGCGGAGAATACCTAAAACAGATAAAATATTCTTGAATTTAACAATCGATATTTATAAATTGTAGATACAAAAATTGACAAAATACACTTCAAATCATATTCAATTTTGCTGAAGAAAAATAAACAAACTGTTACTTAACAACTAACAGTAAAGAATCGTTTTACATACAATTTACATTAACAAGCCTTTATCAGCAAATGATATAACTTGAAGTGCTTTAAAATTAAAATAAGAAACAGAAAACAAAACAAATGATACGAAGAACGATAAATAGAAAAGGAATTTTAATCTTACATATAAGTTCATGATGGAAGTATGTAGATTACACTTTTGCAACATTGATATTTTTATTTAAATCTAGCAATGTCTTATAAAAACAATGTAATCCATAAACCCCCTCGTGAATGGATAAATTGAAAACTATAGCAGAGAAAATAATTTTTTTACAAACATCAATATCTTCATCAACAGTATAATTTGATAGCTTAATGATGATAATTTTTAATTTATCATACTAAATACGGTGTAATAAACTTTTGTTTTACTATTTTTAAGTAGTATTATAATTATATATAAAACCATCAGGGATAAAGTAAATTGGAAAGGAAGAAAAACACTCACCTTTCATGGAATATATCCTCTTCTTCAGGACTTTGAAACTATTACTGATGATGTAAACTTTTACAAATATAAACATCTACTACAATACTCAAAATTATTAAAGCAATAATAATAAAAAAAAATGTCATTCATCATTAATACATGCTGAACCGGCTCTGGTTCACTTAATAAGCCAAGACCCAATAAGTGACCTAGTGCTGGTTCAGCATGAGTTTCCATATTCGCAGACACCCAACATCAACTCACTAGTAAAAGTTTCAAAGTCCTGATGAAAGGTAATGTGAATTCTTGAATATTTAACGAAGGAACTAAGTGTTTTTCTTTCTTTCACATTTGTCTTACCCTTGAGTTTTTAAAATATATTTTAACTAATAATGTAAAAAAAAAAAAATACATTTTAATAACAACCTATAGAATAAAGCAACCACAACAATATTATCAATACAAGATAATATGTTTTTATGAAAAAAAATGTTTATAAGTAAGGTTTGCACTTACATTAGACATTTTTTACATAAAAAAAGAAAAGAAAAAAGTCGAATTGAAGCCAATATATGTAAAATTATATTTCCATTGTTGAATAATAATGGAAAACACCCATTCAAAATTTGAAGATGCTATTTGTAACAATGTCTTGATTATTTTATTGTAAAAAAAATCTTTACTAAAGGGTAATGTTTTAACAAAAGTAAATAAATACATAAAAATTATAAACTGGTAAAAGGTCAAATCAAAGTGTAAGAGTGGGCAATCCAATTTAAGGTGTTATTTGTCAAAAAATAGATATTATATAAGTAAGTTTTTCATTTTAGCAATTTTAGCAGTGATAAATTTGATTTAACTGAATTTAATTCAAGGTCGTCCAAATTTTAATTTACAGTCAAAATGTAATTTTTAAAAAAGTGAATTTTATGTATACGAGCACAGATTGATTTTTTTTCTCTGTTTTCCTAGTGAAGAATCAGAAAGCATAAGCTAAATTTGATCCTTACCAATCCTCACTAGGTCAGTCGTGTTTAGCCATCTTTAGTGAGTCTATGTCTGTTAAGTCAAGTTGACATCGAAATGTGGAAACATGTCTGAAAGATAGATCGAGATGGTTGATAAGGACAAAATTACTGGTTTGTACGACCACAGGAGGAGAACTTAAGATTCTGTTAAAGCTATACCTTTCATGGCCACTTGTCTTGAATTTTTGTTATAATACATATTGCAATCGTATTTTAATTGCTATATTTTTGTAAATGCAGTTATTTTGTAATTGTTGAGTTAGGGTAGGTTGGGTTAAGTTAGGTTAGATTAGTAATGGTTAGGTTAGGTAGAGTTAGGGTTCAGTATGGATAGAGATGGGTTAGGTTAGGGATTTTATTAAAATTCAGTTTTTATATGTTTTGTTGGTAGTAGACACAACTTATTGAGCAATATAAAAAAAAGTCAGATTTAACTATACAAATAGTGAAATTGCGTATAATGTAATTAACTGTCGAATAATTTCAAGACAATTATAAAAACCTAAGTTATTGTTTCATATCTTATAGGCAAAAAAAAAAGTAAAATTGTAATATGTTTGATTTATGGGACATTGTTTAAATATATATCTTTACAAAAATACAAGAAAGCCATGAAAATTTGGAAAATGATCTGTACCGACTTGTTCGTGAAATTTTCTTATAATTGTCGTAATGGTACAGTTGAAGATTTCTAGCGAATGAAAAATTTATTAAAGAGTCATTATAAAAACAGAATGGAACACAGTTTTCATTAAATTAATATGTCACAAAAGATTTAAAATATTTTTACTTGTGATTTTTTGTACTGTTATAAAGAGCAATTTGCTTAAAAAAGACATCTTACAACATTCAAAATTATGAATTGGACAAATAAAGATGCAAACTAACACTTGATTGCCAGACAATTAATTATTCACAAATGTTCTATTGTTAGAATAAACAAATAAAAAAATAAAAATGATGAAAAGTGACCAAGATTTGTTTGACCCCATGCCTATCTTATATTAAAAAAAGAAGTTTTAATGAACATGTGTGCACGAGTGTTTCAAGGGGAAAGAGACGAAGATATAATTATCAAATCATTAAATTTTTTTAAAGTTATAAAATATTTTATTTCCAGTGACTTAAGGGACAAAATTTATCATTGATGATAGCAGTTCTCCAACTTGCAGACCACCTAGCATAACTAAAAAAAAATTGATGTGCATAATGCTTAAAATAAGCCCACCAAATAGAAGACATTTTTTTTTTCCAAAGAAAGCTTATAACCATGCATTTTCATGGAGAATTATATTAATTAGAAAATATATGTAAATATATTTAGTAGGTATATCTTCCTAATGTAAAAAATTAGTAAATCAACCTTTTTTTATGTGCACTGTGAAGTCCAGAATATGTATGGCAACTTTTTTTAAAATAAAATTGAGAAAGATGCTATCAAATTTAAGAGGTTAAATATCTTAACTAAATAAAATTGAAAATTTCTATTTTGAAGTTCAATAGATTGATTTGATTTATAAAAAAATTATAAATTTTGATATATATTTAGAAATCTCAATGCTATAACTACTTAGTTGATATTACTTAACTATTTACTTAACTAATTTAATCCTTATCTTTTTTAAAGTTTACTCTTTCATTTTATTGTTTTGTTGTGATTTTAATGTAATTACAACAAGTAACGAAGTTAGTTAACTCATAAATTAAATTTAATTTCAGATGTACCTTGACTTTTGAAATGAAAAGTTTATAAAACAGACAGACTATTCACTTTAAATGTTTTTTATTATTTGCCAACAATGTGTAAAAAAAAAATCAATAAAAAAAATCAAATGAAAACAAAACTGCTTTCTCTGTTGTTAAATTAGATCCTTTGCCATAATATAAAGTTCAAGACTAATAGTACAAATATATTAAAAATTAGTAATGTTACAGTAGGTATGTCGTGCAGAAAGATGTTAATATTTATAGACAAATTGTGCAACTAGTTTGATAGCAAAAACCCGAATCAAATTGGCAATCCATAGCACATCTTGTCTCATTTTATTTAAAAGTTTTGAAAATTTATTCATTTAAAACAATAATTAAGTAATCTTTTAGTAATGTATTGGTTGAGATAAACAAGTCAGTGTCACAGGCGGGATTCGAACCCACGATCATCGGCTGACACCAACCTCCCATCTCAATCCCACCTTTTGATTTTCCCTCCTTTTTGCCATTTTTGTAAATCTCAACCAATACCTTACTTAAAGATTAATCAATTGAAAAGAATTTATTTGGTCAATCGGACCACAAAACCTAATGGAACCAATAACTAAGATAACTTATATCGCATTTATTATTTGACTAACAGAAAGCAGTATTGTCATAAATTAAGAACAAGCTTGATAAGATTAAAATTAATGACAAAACATTACAAATGCAAACAATTTGAATACTTTATAAGGTAGAATAAAAGTCACTTAAATAAGTTCAACAGTGAAATGAAGAAAGAAATAACATATTTGGTTGATTCAGTGAAGACCTTTTGTCAAAATAGCACAGTTTTTGCATTTCCTTCTTTTGTCCATCTGTGTAAGGTATACAATATATTTAAATAATAAACAGCAATGAAACTGTTAAAATGATTAAGGACTAGTTTTGTTAGCAAAGGAAAAAGTAAAAATGTTTAATACTAGTAGAAACGAATTTCATTGAAGGGGTGTCTTTATGTCACTGTATGCATTTTATTAATATATCATCTCAAAACAGCTGTAGATTGTATTTACCATTCTAGTCTGATCTAGTGACTGCAGTATTTTATGTTGTATTATAATAATTATTAAATTATCTTGTTGATATGTGTTGGGTTGGATACACTTTTTTTTTTTTGCTTGACCATTTTGATTTTGCATTACTGAGGAGAATGCATGGGATGGTTAGTTTATGATTATGGTTAGGTTATATCTAGGTTAAGTCTTGATGAGAAAAATGTTAAGTCCAATTTAATTGTATAATGCATAGCATTACGTATGGTTAGGGACGGGTAAGAGTAGGGTTAGGTTAGGGATTTTGTTACATCTCAGTTTTTGTTTGTTTTGATGAAAAAAGTTTTCCAATAATTTTCACATCTGCATTTTAAATACTGTTATTTTGTAATTATGAGTTTTCAAATATAGTTTAATTTAACTAAGTCATTTATTTTGTATTAAAGGGTGCACATGGGTTGGGTTAGGTTAGGTTGGGTTAAGTTACTTTTTGTAAATGATGGTTCTACTTACAGAATTTTTATTTACACACTAATTAAATTCTGGAAGAACCATCATTTACAAGATCTACATCTCTTGCAATCTACATACTCACACAACCATTATTATTTTTATGGGTTAAGTTAGGTTTGATTAGGAATTGTTAGGCTAGGTAGTAGCTACTTTAAGGTAAGGGATTTGGTTAAATTTTAGTTTTTTGTCTATTTTGTGGAAGTGGACATAACTTATTGAGCAGTATAATTTAATTAATCCTTGATGAGAAAAAAAAACAAGAAAATATTAGTACTTTTTTACGTACAAGTATACACTCACAAACACGTTTTAGTCAGTGCTGTATTATTATTAAAATAATCACTGTTTTCTGGAAAAGTATATGCTTGTAATTCTTAAATTTTTCATTTTTGTTATGCTATAAAATGCATTGCCAATGTTTGTAATATTTACCAAACCTCATGACCAATATTCAACCTAATGGTCAATCTATGGTTTTGTAAAATTATTTTGTCATGGAGTGTCTTCTCTCTACATGTTTATATATTTTAACACATACTAAATAAATAATTACGCTGAAATTGTAATTTCTTAATGTATAGACAAAAAAAGAGAGAGAGAGAGAGGAAAAACATCAAAACTAGTCACTTCAAAATACTAGCACATAAAGAACAACACCAAAATACAGCCACTATTGAATGATGCTCAATTAAATAAACGTGAAAATATTCAAAATCAAATAATGGCCAAACAGAAAAAAGAATAAAAGCTAAATTGTAAGCTTTTCTAATACATAGTCTTTTAAATAAATTTCGACCAGACCGTTTAATAATTAGAATTTCAGTCATAAAATTTTTAGACTGGGAAGTTTGAGCTGTGCAAAATTTTATTTTTTTCCATTTTTTCTATATTGTTTTGTAATACGTGTAATTTTATTGGTTTATTATGATAAAGTCAAACTTAAAAGTTGAATATGTGTTTTTCATTTTGTATGCTTGAAGCCAGTATAAATTGTAAAATATGTGACCTATTAGAACTTATTGAGTAGATTAGTTTATAAATGGTAAGCAATTTAAAAGTATAAAACAATTGTGATTTGAAAATAAGGTCGGCTTTCTTAAAAGTGAAAAGTAACACCCATATATAAGTAAAATGGAAACTCATAAACATTACATTCTAAATAATACACAGGAAATGCTAAAACAAAATAAAATTATGTTTTGTTACAATACTGTTAATTAAAAGTGTGTACATCAGTAAATTGCTTATAAAAAAAAGCAAATGTAAATTTTACTTTATTGTGAAAACTTCTGAATTAATTTCAATTTATGAATATGGAGTTCTTTCACGAAGAAAAAACAATCCTATTGTATTACTACTATTTTCAATGCAATTTTAAGATCAATTCCTCAAATATCGCTTGAAACCTGATTAACAGATTTATTATATAAAATGCTGATCTAGATAGCCAGACTTTCCAAGCCTACAAGATCAACTCACAACTTGCCTGTCACTGTCTAAATGCCTTAGAAAAACTTAAAAAACAAGTAGCTTTATGCTAAGGTGGGTTCCAGGTCTTGAGGAGATTTAAGGCGAGGCTGCAGATATAAAGTATCTTTGGTAACTAAAGAACACAACAAATACTGGGAATGTAAACCAGGCATGAGACAGGCAAAAAGACTACTCGCAAAAACAGCTGAATGGGAGAAAGAGAAAATTCTATGCAACAGAAAAAAAAACACTTGCATATCAGGACATGCTCCAGTTAAGTACCATCTTTGACAAAATGGGACATCAAATGCAACTGCCCTGCAATAGCTAGGAAAAGGCTATGGTTGGAAAGGCATTCTTGAACAATGTTGACCTTGATCCCCCTGAGAATTCAGTACTTTAAAAAAACAAATGAGAAACTTCTAGGACGTCTACATCAAACACAATAGATGAAAGTTCTAAAGGATGAAATCTCTACTGACTCCAAATGGGAAGGAAAAAGATGCTGTCTATTATTGAAAGACCCACGCAAACAAACACCCACTGAAAGCGATTTTTTTTTCAGTCATTCTTGTGATTTTCTTATAAAATAATTTTGATCCTTTTTTTTTTTTTTTGTAATAATTCATTTTTATTACTTTTATTTATACATATGTAATGTTGATTTGTTTGGGCAAAGTTTGTGTTGTGACTTAAATACTCATGCATATATAAATCAGAAACGACAATTTTGTCGCTATTCGAAATATATTTAGGTTTGGTTTGTTTTCAATTAACAATATTTAATATCAATTATAGTAACGATTCTTGAATATTTTGTTTGTTGGTTTGTGATTATGCCAATGTTTTAAGATGCGATAGTAAAATGAGACCAATGACCTATTTGGTACAATAAAAAGAAAAGTATCTTTGTAATAAAGTGATAAATTCTGATTATTCGTCTTGTACTGAATCATCTGCAACAACCCAATGAAGTATTTTCTAGATAGAAATGGAACATTCATAATCTACAAATTTAACAGTAGGTCAACGCATAAAATTATAATTGGTGATTATTACAAACAATTCAATAGGACATTGAAGCTTTGCAGAAATCTGACTAACAATTGAAAATACAGCAGAGCAAAATCAAAACAGAAACTGCCATAAAATATAAATTAAAGAATAATTAACAATAATACATGTAAGTTAAGTTAGGTACATAAATAGACATTTTGTGTTGTGAAATACATGATGAAATATCATGCACTTAAAAAAAAAAAAAAATAAATAAAAAGAATTAGCAAAATTCAAACACTTCTCAACACATTTAGCAATTAAGAAATGTTAAAAAAATATATAGAAGCATCATAACGAACTATACTGTTACATACTGTACTTCTGATGTAGTTATTCACCAATGAATTTGATTATTCTTATTAAAATTTACTGGGGTGTTGGATATTGATTATTTTTGTTAATTTTTCCTGTATTTAAAGGTGTTAGGCAAATTTGTGTTTTACATGGTAGTTATTAATTTAAAATTTAAAAACATACTCTACTTAAAAATAAAATATTTTAATTGATTACTCATTTACGTCTAACAAAACAGGTTCATTGGTTAAGGGAATAAAATAATAATCTAATTATTGCTATGTCAATAATCCCCCAATTTTATGTCAATTCTAGGTGCATTTTGAAAGCACATTTAAAGAGTAATATGTATCACATATGATTGTTAATTAAGTATTACTCTAATTACAATAAAATCTATCACACGTTTTATAGTACTTGTAGCAAATCAAAATAATAAAATGATACAAAATTAAATAATGGTAAAAAAAGTAAAGTAATTTTAATTTTTAGCCACAATCTGTTGTTATCTTGTATTTTGAGGTGCTATCACTCATGCTAATGTCACAATAAAAGGGCTTAGTTAACACAAATACTAACCTCTGTAAACCTTTGTTTATGGCTAGCATAGTCTTGCCAGTGCTAAAACAAAATACACAAACGAACCATAAGAAATCAAATAACCCAATGAAAATGTCAAAACTAAAATCTTGTCACCAAAAAACAAAACAAAAAAAAACATAAAAAATCATAATAAAAATTAAAATTAAAATGGAAAAATAAAATATAAACAAGGAACTACAAAATGAAAAGGGGGAAATATATATATATATATATATATATATATAAAATGAAATTTGTTATGTCCAATCGCAACTTTAATAAATCGACAAAATATTGAATTAATTCTGCAATTTTATAAAAATATTGTCAATTTTGTCTGAATATGCTGGTTAAATTTTAGTTTACAATTCACGATTTTATTGTCTCTTTTAGATTTTCGACACAAAATTGCAATTTAACCATCACCATTAATCTAACTCTATAAAATCAACATAAGGTAAGTACATGCATAAATATAATTGAAATAATATATAATTTTTCACCACCTCCAGGCATTGCATAAGGTTTTTACTGGTATTTTGAGGAAGCATAAGGAAAAAATAATGGGAACGTTTTTGTGTCAGTCAGATGTGTGTTGTAAGAGTTTGTGCCATCAGAAAAATATAAACAAAAAAACAATATAACACCTGATAATGTTAGGTAATAAAGCACTGTGTAAAACACAATAAAAATAATATAATATTAGTTTCTTATTGGAAACTGGTTAATAATTTTATGGAGATAATTTTCGTTAGAGCAAGTCTTTAACTTGTAATTTTTAGAGCACATAATCATTCAATATTTTTAGACATAGGCTTGCCATGTTTTTAAAAATGAGACATACAATTAAAGCAATGTAGGCAAACAAAAAAGCAAATATAAGTAGCAAACTAGGTGAAACCTTCATTTAAAACTATAAATATTTACCATTCCCCTTTCATTTGACTTTAGTAATGAATATAGCAGTAAAATACAGCAAATTATATTAGTTATTTATATATTGTTAACAAAACTCATAGAACTTTGTTTAAAGAAGAATCTTGTATGCTTATTGGGAATTTTAGACTTTTAGGACACTGTTATGTCAAGTGACGATAATTTCTTAGGAAAAAATTGGTTTTCATTATTTTCTTGAGCTACTATCTCAATTCTGAGATTTAAAAAAGTTTCTTAGTATACAAATTTGTCCAATAAACAAAAACTATTTTAAAATAATCAGTGAGTTAGTGGAGTGTATGTGTATGTGTGTTTTCTAACATAAAAGTTCTTTAAACATAAATTAAACTGCAAAAAGAAGGTAAAAAAATCATATGCATAGCAAAAATTTAGTGATTTTTAAACATTTACGATGAAAAATTACTGGAACCACAGGTAAAATATAAACAATTCATTGTAAATTTTCAATTTGTAACTAGCAACATGGTTATATGTAACATGCTAAATGTTGATTATTTCTCAGAAAAAATAAAAAATTCATTATTTTCTTGAGCTTCGATCGTCACAATTCTTAGATTAAAAAAAAAATTGCATGAATTTATCCAATAAACAAAAACAATTTTAGTATAATCAGTGTGTTAGTGGGGTGTATGTGTATGCGTGTTTTTTAACATAAAATTTCTTTAAACATAAATTATACTGTAAACATAAATGAAATACTTAAATCTACAGGTTTTGTAAAAAACAAGGTAAAAAATCATATTCATAGCAAAATTTTAGCAATTTTTAAACATTTACATTGAAAAACTACTGGCACCACAAATAAAATATAAACAATTCATAGTAAATTTTCAATTTGAAAGTAGCAACATGGTCATATGTAATATGTTAAATGAAGATTATTTCTCAGAAAAACTGGCTTTCATTGTTTTCTTGAGCTTTTATTGCTACGATTCTTAGATTTTAAAAAGAATTTGCTTAGTATATGAATTTATCCAATAAACAAAAACAATTTTAAAATAATCAGTGAGAGTGGAGTGTATGTGTATGCGTGTTTTTAACATAAAATTTCTTTAAACATAAATAAAATACTTAAATCTATGGGTTTTGTAAAAAACAAGGTAAAAAAAATTATTCATAGCAAAATTTTAGCAATTTTGAAACATTTCCGTCCAAAAACTACAGGCACCATAAGTAAAATATAAACAATTCATTAAAAATTTACAATTTAAAAATTGCAACATGGATATACATACAATATAATGGCCATATATATTTTCAAACACAGAGCCCATTTTTTTTTTTTTTTTTAATTAAGCGTTTTTGATACAAAATTTTTTGTTTAAAAAAAATCGAATAACGTGAATTAGTTTCAATATCTTAAAATACTATTCAATTAATTTATGTTATTTAGTTCATAATTATATTAACATTTAAGTAATTAACAGTTAAAAATAAATATACTATAGAAATATTGTTAAAAATAGCATGTGACTTGTTAGATGTGTTGTTGTTGAATGTACTTATATGATTTCGTTTATTAAATATTATAACTTAAGTAATGCTTAATATGGCAGCAGTGGAAAAATGAAATTATATGGATCGTTTTGATATATGTGTGTGTGTGTGTGTGTGTGTGTGTGTGTGTGTGTGTGTGTGTGTGTGTGTGTGTGTGGTGTGTGTGTGTGTGTGTGCTTGCATTGATACGGAAACGTTTTCATAACAGCCTGACTAAACAAATTGTAAAAACACAACTACTTACAAAAGTATTCCTTAAAAACAAAACAGAAAAAAAATGATTACAATTTAGAATTTTGAAGACAAATTGAATGATATAAATCGATGAAGCTTAAAATGTACACATTAATTTCTTATACTTTTTATTTTAATAAAACGTAAGAGCGAAAATAGTCTAAAATAACTAATTACACGGCATTAAACTATATCTGATGAAGTTATGGAAGAGAAGGTATCAACGACTTGAAGTTTACTTTGATGTATGATCGGTATAATGGCCAAGGGGTAGAATAAAAATAAAAATAAAATATAGGCCCTGATGATGACCTTGATGCTCGGGTCAAAAACTTGGCAAAGTTGGAATTTTGTTTTTATTCTACCCGTTAACCATAGTACCGATCATACATCAAACTATATCTGGTATATTGACTTTTTTAAAAATCCAATTAAGCTGAATTTTATTATTGAAAATTATGATTTATAGAAATCTAGTACAATATGTTATATGAGGAAACCCTCCCCCCAATTTTAAAATTTAAGAATATAAATGCATTCCATTATTACAAAAGAAGAACAAAAGAAATTTTGTTGAGCCAAGTGCAATTGCATGCAGAAAAACAATTTTGCGGTTTTCTTATTGCTTGACAAGTTTATAATCATAAAAAAAATTAAATTAATTTATATTTTTGTTTTAGTTACTACAATTCTTTTTGTAAGAACTTGATAAAAATTTGAAAATGAGAAATTAAAAAAAAATACATTTTATAACATTAGAATTTCAATTAACAGATAGCGAAGCATTTAAATGTAATGTTAACAAGTTCTGAAATGCATAAGTTCATACTTAATTGATTTTTTTAAGAATATTCATTAATTGTAGTGTAACATTGATCAGTATGATTAAATGTTGGCCCATTTACATAGCAAGAATTGAAAAATTAGCTTTAACATTTCTTGATATATGGCAAGCTATTAATAAATATTCTTTATGAAAAAAAAAAATGTTAGACATTATATAATCTCTTAACATAAATGGTGGGATGGATTATACAAAAGCCCATTTATACAAACATTTTTTTCATGCTGTTTCTAGGTTGTAATTGACTCAAAATTCTTTGAAGCGTTAAATTGACCACTTGACTTGTCACGTTGTCACAGTCCAGAAAGCTAGAATAAGTTGCTAGTGTCTAATGTCAGTCGTAAACTAAAAGTTATGTTCTCTTGAAAATAAATTTAACAAATTGTAACCAAAAAAAAAACAAACATAAAAAATCAAAGGAAATAAATAAATAATAAGTAATCATTTCGCCATTTCACTGTGGGGTTTTTCTTTTGTATCACTTTTTTTGAGGTTCAGTGATATCATGAGTGAAGGTTAAGAAAAAAATCAATGAAATTTGGCAATCAAGTTGATGTTTATTCTTTGCCATCCCAGGGCTACATTTTTATTACATTTTCTACACTTAGGTGCAGATAAAAATAGTTCTTATTATATTACATGTCATTACATAATCTATTAAGCTATTTGATTGATATAAATTTCATAAGCTATTTATTCGGAAGTTTCAGAGCGATTATGTATGAAACGAGGTTTAAGTTGATGTAGGGAGTATGATTATGTTTACAGAAATAAATGGTCTTAGGGCGATGGATGATTATAAAATCTTTATATTTTAATAACTATTCTAGAATAAGTTAATTTCCACCACATATTGACAGAAATTAAGAAACATTTATTATTAAAAGTGAATTTATGTTTATAAAGATCTCTTAAACCTACAATCCTTATTATTAGTAGATAAAACCTTTTCTAGTGCAATATTTAAAACCAACTGGTTTAATAATTAACATATTGTATATATCCAAAATTGTTAGTTTTATATTACTTAATCAATTTTTTGTGTTCATAGTTCAGTTGTTAAAAATAATAGTATATTTTACAACTTTTAAGTAAAACTTGATCATTTACAGTTGCTGTTTGTCAAGTTTGTTTTTCAATTTTTAAGGGGAAATGATTTGATCAATTTTTTATTATGGTATATGCTGTGAATGGGTAGGGTTGGTTGGATATGACATATTGTCTATGGCTAGGCTAGGTGGGTAGGGACCCTACCTGGAGAGTGGTGACAGTGGAATGTACCTGAAGCGACCTGTCGGATGGTGGATTGGCCCACCAAAACGGCGTGCTGCCTGTGGTGTTAAATATGCGGCCAATGGAGGTAATGCTTTATTATTATTACTAGGATTGTTTGCAAATTTCACGGTTATGGGTTCTGATGATCCTTTTGGGATAGTGCCATTTAACTCTTGGATTGCTCGCTCTGCCTCAATCCGTTGGTCAAAACGTATAAATCCAACCCCTTTCGATAGACCTGTAAAATTAGAAAGAGTAAAATAACAACACAAAATAAAACAAAATAAAAAATCAAATAAAAAAAGTAAAATCAAATTCTACAATGACAAGTTGTGTAAATAACTACAATGAACAAAGAAGAAAACAAGCTGTAAAGGAAAACAATAGAAACCAACCAAAAATAATTGAAATAATCAAAACAAAGAAATAAACCGTCAAAACCAAAATGCAGTTAATGTAGACGGAGTTAGTTTTGTGGCTTTGGTGACAAATTTTTGAACATGTTTTTGTATTCAGTGATTTTGTCCTTAACAAGTGGCAACATATTTGGTCCGTTGTGGGTTTATACAATCTATAGCATCAATAATTACATATTTTTCTGTTCATACATTATAAAAATCTTACAAATACTGGCAACATATTACATTCTTGCTACGTATACAATACGTTCCTTATTAATCTCCTAAGTCAACAGATGATACATTATATTCAGTCAGTCTTTCATCTGTATTGTAACAATTATACTTACCTTAAAATTACCAAAACCTCTACAAAATTAAAGCTTGTAGATAGTGCAAAAACTTGTTATAAAAATATTTAATATGACCTTGATTAACTAATAATTAAAAAAGTTGTAATGTCTATTTTGGTATGTGGATGAAACATATACATATAACATCAGTTTTTATTGATTAAAATAATCTCAGTCGGTTATAATTAAATATTATATTAATATCATATCAATATCATATACATTGTATCGCTTAAAGTTGGAATATCAACTCTATAATATTAGAATTGAAAGAAATAATGTATAAGTAATTTATTTATTTTCATGCAACATTCATTCTAATCTTACATTGCTGTTTTTTTATGCACACTTACACACTCAATCACACGCGCGCACTCACACTCTCTCTCTCACACACACACCACACATATTCATAGCATATATCATAACCCCTAATATGAGATGGTATTTTTATACATTCCATAAGGTTTCTTTGTTATATTCATTAAGAAAAAAATAATGCAACATTTCTGGCATTTAATTATCTGGATGATAATTACTTACACAATGCAAAACAATTTGGGATATTTAGAGAATAAAACTTACGCTAATTTATTCTACATTTAGTTATTTTGAATTTATGGTTTTTAAGTGAGCCAAATTGGTATGCATACAAAGCGAACCATGCTATCAATACCATTTCACATGACGGTTGTTTCAGAATATTAATTTCTTTGTGTGAATGACCTTAAGAATTGAGAATGTGATATGTTTGATTAAAGATTTGACTAAATTGGTGGTGAGTGGTGAGATGACATCTGGCTTAGTTTCCAAGTTATAACAGAAATTTCCTTTTTCTTTGTCTAGTCCTTGTTTGTGAAAAAAAACAAAGCTTTTGAACAACAGTCGTGAATCGACTTAGAAATAAATATAGGCCTTTTATCAAACAAATATATAAAAAATTTCTTTGAGTCCTGTGAGGTGATGAACTTATAGTTTGTATGAAAGCTCACCACTGAATTATGGAGATACAACAAAATACATCTGACAGGAAGAAAGCAGCAAGGACCAACTACAAATAAATGATGAACGATTGGAGAAAATACTCAACGTTTACATACTGATCTGAATCCATAGTTAGACATTCGGGTTAAAACCTCAGGAAAATGCGAGAATAATTTAGACAGCCCCTAATTACACCAATGGTTTTTTTTTCTTAAGTTGAAATGTTTCCTGGCAAACAATATGTGTGCGAACAAAACGTAGTTGCTTAGGCAGAGTGACTGCGATATGATTAGAATTTGGGAGAGAAATTATCGAGGAGAATATTTGATCCCAACTGGAAAACGAGGTCTGGAAAATAAGAGTGAATAGGGAGCTTAGGAAGTTATACCCATCATCAGACTTTGCGATGGAAATTAAGGGGGACAAGCTCGACTGGTTCATATTGAAAGAATGTATATGGACAGAACCGTGAGCAAATCATAGAAATAGACCTGTAGAAAGGAAGTAAGAAGGTGTATGGACAGGACCATGAGCAAAATGTAGGAGGTACGTAGATGAAGATGGTTAGAGGAGTTTGAGGAAGGTAGGGTTAAGAAGATGGAGAACGAAAGCAGGTGAACGAGTTGCATGGAAGAAACTAAGGAAGCCAGGGAATGTAGTGCAAAAAAAATTCTGATTAACGATGAACTATTTTTCTTGTGAAATACGTAAATCAATTGTTGCTGGTAAACATTGTAGTTTGGACATTGGGCACCTAGATCTATAAAACAGACTATCATAATCTCTTCCCAGATAATGAAACTAGCTTTACCACGAATGTTTTATATTGTTATTACATGCCCAATAGGTAAATAAATCCATGAGAAAAATACAATAAAAAAAGTCTATATGTAATCACACTATAAACTATTATTAAATATTTATGTATGGTCTGTGAGTAAATGAGAGTAGAAAAATATGTTTAGTAAGTTGAAATAAATTTTTCAGGAAAACTTCAACAAATTGTCTTATTATTTTCGTTGTTAGAAAAGCAAACAAAGACTACAAGAGTATAACCTAAATAATATTCATTTTCTATTGGATAAACAATAAATAATACATTTTTGAAGTGTTTAGTTTTAATATTTATAAAATTTTATTTTTACTATAATTCTTAATGTGTGGTGATTAGTGACCGTTAATCGATATTTATTTAGAAATCGTGAGATGCGGTCTGGTGTGATGTAGGTTTCAGAAAAACATTTTCTTTATCGTGCCAATGTTTCGATCTTTATTGAGATCATCTTCAGGGCCTGGGATTTACAAACATTGTTTAAATTTAACAAATACATGAACAATGTTTGTAAATCCCAGGCCCTGAAGATGATCTCAATAAAGATCGAAACGTTGGCACGATAAAGAAAATGTTTTTCTGAAACCTACATCACACCAGACCGCATCTCACGATTTCTAAATAAATATAATTCTTAAATTGTACTATTAACTACTTTAATTACCTCCAGAGTGGATGTGCTCAAGTTGAACATGGTGTATTAGACATATGGTCATGCATTCTTGACATTAATCTTAAATTCTAAGCGTTTATATTAATGGTTGCAAATGTTTACTATAATTTAAGCTTAGGAGTTCTGTTTCTAAGTGAAAATATTTTTAGCAATTGTATTACGGTGTAAATCACATTAAAATTATAGAGTTGAAAAAAAAAGGTTTATGTTTTACTATTGGTTTTACACGTTGATAATAATAATTATGATAAAATTGCTCATTGGTTCCTATTGATGGTGTGTTTGTAAAATGGTGATAACTTGTTAAAAAAAAAAATATTTGCATAATGCTCACTATTACAGGATACCTTTTCAAGATGCGTACGAATATAAGACATTACAAAGAACAACAATTACTCAGGATCATTCAACTTGGAAGAAATAAAATGTCAAATAAAGGAGATACATAAGAACTACAACTGCATCATGCTGACGTTTATTTTATGTTGAATGAATGCAACTATAATGAAAAACAAATGCATGATAAATATAAAACTATTAAGGGGAATAGAATGTGTTATGCATAAAAAAAGTAAAAGTTAATATAATGTTTAAGAACCAAAGTTTTATGAATGTGCTGATGTGAATTATTCTCTATAATTCCCTGATTTTGTTTGATTAGTAACAATGTGTTTGTTCGAATGTAAATAACAAATAACTTTTGTGTACTTACAAGGAACATTATCACCAGCACCACCAACGAATTGTCGCACTGAAAAAAAGAAAAAAAACAAAATCAGCTAAATTTGTTTGAATCTAACAAAGAACACGATTTATAATAGGAAATAAATAAATTTAAGAACGATTAAAGGTAACGAGATTCTCTCTCAATGAAAACAATAATTGTAACCGTTCGTGAATGTAAAATTTTCAAATTCAACGACATAAAATTTTCCGATTTAACGTAAATCATTAGTTCGAAAAGATTAATTTTTCTTTTTTGAAAGACTTATTTTTCCCTTGAAAGTTTTTGACAGAAAATAAAATTAAAATCAAAACAACGATGATGATGCTGATGAGGTTCCTAATATTGTTTTAATTTTTAGTATCAATTATATACTGAGGGAAGAAAATAACTAAACTAGATGCATGCAAACTTTTAATCTAGAAAAATTAATCTTAAACAACGGTTGTATACAAAGCAATGTTTAATCAAAATTAAATTAACAAAACGCGAGTGAGAAATTAAAATTAATATCCAAATATTTTAAAAGCTTTAAAAAACGCCTATTTATAAAAAACAACTAAATAAATAAAAATTCAAATTTGACCATTAAATTAAGCATACATAGAATAAAATGAAGACCGTCCTTTATCGTTCCAATTTTAGTCGATTAGGAATAAAAATAACAATTTTTTGTTAAATTTTGAATAAATAGTCAATACTGATCACATCAAAAAATATTTTGGGAGCTCGCGCAACAATCACATATAGGCAAATAATAATCAGATATATTGAAATATATTAGCGTATGGTGAATACTACAAAGGGCAGAATTATCTAAACATATAATTTTTAAATGTTATTCTAATAACTAAAAAAAAACTTAAGCTCTTATATTTTGCATTTCATGCTTTCAAAATGCTTCTGGCATGCTTCACGACAAATAAGTTTATAAGCGTTTTAATTAGCATAATATACGTGCATAATACATTGTATATTTATCTATATATTTAATGTATGGTATATACATATAGTTATTTTTTATAGATAATAACGTGCGGTATTGTTAAGAATAGCAAGTACATAAATGTAGGCTTATGCTTCATGCGTTTTTTTTTATTGAGGTGTATGCTATACTCTTGTGATGTGGTTTTTCTAATTATCTTACATAATAATTTTAATGTTTTTTTTTGTTTTTTAACTTTAGAGTGTAAAAATTATGTATTATTTTTGGAATGAAACATAACCTGTGTTGATCCAATTTACATTTTGAACATTATTGTTTTGCCACAAAATTAAAATGGTGATGACACTTTTATTCCACTCACAAATTTACAATTAATTTAATAAAAATTAATTAGCTGTCCAACGGAGAACCTTTTCACAAATGAATCTTTCAACACACGGGTCAATAATTGCTTTCTCATCAGTAAAAATACTGCTTATATTAAATTTGATGCTGAAATTTCATGACGGTTGGTGGTTAGACAACATTTGAAAAATTAAAATGGTTGAATAAAATCGATTTGAGAATACAAATTGGTGAACAGTTTGGGTTCGTACAGTTTTTTTAAATAAAAATAAAATAAAACTAAATTAAAAATAAATAATCCTAGTTTATGTTAAAAGTTTCAATTTCAGGAAAATAAACAAGGAAATCGAAGGAAGGGTGACACCTGAAGTTTGATTTCTGATGATAAATAATTTAAAAATAACAAGCAATTGAAAATTAAAGAAATTTATGGAAATGTTATTGAGATCTATTATGAAAATCCTAATCCTATTGAAGAATCAAATATTCAATGTTTGACAGCATCGATTAATTGATAACGAAGGAAAATGATTCTTCATCACATCAAGTGCACATTTTGTAAAATGACTCGGTTATTTTTAAAATTTATGTTCAAACAGGCATTTGATATAATAAGGAATTATATTACCACTGGCTGGGAAATAAATATAAGTGGTTAAATTATAAAAGAATCTCCAGGGATGTTCGAAATCTTACATATTTAATTTTTTTCTTGAAAAATGTACTGGATCCACTGGATATATTGTAGAAAAACAAATATTTATATATACACACATATAAACATATTTTTTTTAAACAAATTAAATATATATTTAAACAATGCTTCATCATGTAAAATTGCCAAAACATCTCTGTGTGTATCATAAATGACAAAATATTGTCTAATTTTAATTTAAATTAAAATTTTTTTTAAAGCTGTGTTCTCTAAATTTAAAAAAAATAATGACAATTGTGCCTATAAAATTACAACTCTCCCGTTTTTCAAGATTCTCGTTTTCACTGTCAATTCCTAAATAAATAATGAGCATTTTTAAGTATATTCCACTATTAATTAATATCAAACTTGTTCGAAGTTAAGTCAAGGCACCTTGAGGAACCCATGATATAAAGCCTGGCAAGCTTTGGCTAGGGCTTCTCCCAACAGCCGAGGACTCATATGGGCATGTCCTTTTTAAGGACTACTGTCTTGTGCCAGGCTGTGGTCTACCTCTCGAAAGGGCTCCCTGTGAGTGTAGTTGTTTGATTTTGAACAAAGGCTTTTTTGTATTGAAATATTTTAATTGTTGAACACCTAAATTTATTTTGTACTTATAAAAGACATATATTGGAATTATATTTGTTTGATGAAGAAATTTTTTGTTATGTTAATTTTACTTATTTGTTGTTTATTTTAACCAGTAATTTTTTTAATCGCTGGTTGCTGACCTAATTTTATTTTTTACCCTCAGTTAGAAAAAATTTTTTCTTTCAGGTATACTGGAGTGTGGTTCTCCTTTGGGAAAACTCGAGGAGCATCCTTGGATGGAACCATACCACAGAACATCACACTTTAATTCTACCTGCAGGAATTTTATCAACCATCTGGAACCGATTCAAACAAGAACATAGATTTATATAACATTATATATTTTTTTAATGTGGAGATTTCTCTAGTGAAAAAATGAGCTTCCTTCCAAGATTAAGAGTCTTACGAGAAACAAAAATATGCTGACCATGGCCGTATTTTCTTCCTGGTGAGATAAAACATCCAGAAAACCTGCCTTTAAGTCTGGTCTCTGGGCTAGACATTTGGAAAATATTCGACACAATATTTATGCAGTTCTGTCTATATTTTGTGTCTATATTTTTATTGTTTATAATTAGCTACCTAGACTTATCAAAAACAATTCAATTCAAGTTTACATGGAAGAGTCTTAGGCAATTTTCCATTATAAACACTAGGCAACTTCACATGAAAAGGAATCATGAAAACAACATCCAAACCTTTTTAAAGGATAATAGAAACTTCCTATTTAGTAAAAAGTGAGATTTATTTATAATTAAAATAAACAATTGATAGATATAAAAAATGTGGAAGTGCAAACCATGGGAAAACATCTAGGATAATTAAATCCCCCGTGGGAACAACTTTTGTTACATTATGATTTGGTACGTGTAGTTGTACGATTCCAAACTATCGTGAGCATCAAATTCGCTAGTGAGTGGTTAATAAAATCAAAACTACCTCGAATAAAAAGATGGCTGACACTGTAAACATTTAGCCTATTGCATGTTATAGTGGGTTCATTTTTTTTTTTTTTTTAACATTTCATTCCATTTGTGCTTTTCACATTACACGGTGAGTAAATATTTCCAAAGATTTAAAAAAGAAATATATATAAATCGAAAGGCTAAACTGGTTTATATTTTTAATGCAACAAATAAAATATTTTCTGGACAAAATACAAATTCAAGTTTGATTTTTTAAAGAGGTCTTTTAGTACTGTTATCTATGAAAATAAAATTGAGTAACTATTCATTAAATTGATGTTAAAAATTTCTTTGAATCGACAATTTATATTGGTTTATTTGAAACTAACATGCATTCACATTACGATCTAGCTATTTAATCATTTTTTTTACAATTTAAATTTTTTTTATTAAATATAACAGTTCCCAAAATTTACCAAACCTCGAAAATTAATTATTTTGTCATTAACATTTATGAATATAATGTTTTCTTTTAGTATGGAAAGACAATCGAACAAAGAGAAGTCCAGTCAGTGACTTTTTATTATAAAAAAAATATACGTAAATTTAAAAAAATAAAAATAAATGTAATTTGATGGCTGACTACTTTAAAATAATTATGCTTTTATAATGATTATAAAAAATGAAATTGAGAAAAAGACTGCCCGATTTCTATATTCAGAGTACAGATTTATAAATTTAAATTATTAAAGACAAATTGTGGTAATTTTATTAACGCAAAGTTCATAGCTAATATTGTGGTTCACTTAAAATTTTGTAAATGATAAAAAGCTTTTATAAAAAGTTATGTTATTAATGAAAAATTAAATTGTTTTTTTAATTGTATTTAATGGTAGTCAACTATTTTAATGTTAATTAAAACAAATGGAAATTATCGATTAATTTAATTTATGACTTAGATGACAGTGATATTTTTTATATTTAACCTGTAGTATTTTGAATCTCCATTTTTCCGGGTATAAAATTTAAAAAAAAACTCTAAACATAGATTTGAAATAAGCTGATTTACAACAGTGAGTAGATAAATATGAACCATAATTATTACAGAGCGTGAAAAAAAAAAAAAAAAGATTTACACAATGATTAGCAAACAAAATTAGCAGAAGGAGTCAATAGCGTCATCTACATTGAAGAGAAATCCGTACTATAGATTGGAATTGATTGACTATTAAACATAACAGTTAATTGCTTGGTGAAGAGGAATAAAAGGAGTTCTGTTAGTATCAGTTTTTAAACAATTTAACTCTAAAACGCCAGGAAAAAAATTGAGACACTGACCTATATCATTTTCATCTTCGTGACCAGGTAGATCAAGCGAATCTAAATAGAAATGAATTAGTTAGTTTACAAATTACAAAAAAATGTTTTTAAAATAAACAAATGTAAAGCCGCCAATCTGTAAATTAAGAGTTTGGGTACAAGGAAATAATAATAAAATAAAAAGTTGTTTACATTTTGTAGTCATTGTTCTCACCACCAAACTGTTCAGTGAATACATTCATTTTCTACAGCAACACCAACAGATAAAATGAAGTTCGGGGATATGATGAATATGATATGACATATAACGCCACTAAAATAAGTTTATTTTACGTACTTTTAATAATGGAAAATCACATTTAATATTGAATACATAGACAGACGAAAGACAACTCATGGTACACATAGGAAGGGCAATGATTTATTTACTTCGAATAATTACAATAGAAGAGGCTGACAATTCAAAGAAGAGAGACTGCATTTTCCTTTTCATCCGTCAAATTTATATACGATTGCCCAAAAGTGAAAAAGCCAATAAGTTGTCCTTTTCTTTGAATGTTAAATTAAGTTGCGAAACGTTCATGCATCATTAAAATAAGCAGAGGTTTTACGATTATTGAAAACTTTTGGAAATTTTGTATAAGAAAAAAATATATATAGAAAAGGCGTTTTTAACTCACCATTTCAGAAGCGAGACAGCAAACAAATGTGTGTCTTGAAGATTCTTTGTCATGTCGTGGTGGTAAGAAATTGATTTGTATGTACGAAGCCAACATGCGACTTGCACACTGATAAAAGCGTAATCACCATTTGTAAAGCAGGGCTTGTACGTCAAAGAAACAGTGTAATTTGAAAACACTACTTTGAATCATTATTCGATGGACTTCATCTTCAAGAGTAATGAGTAATAATACGTTTCTTTACATAAATTTCAATCGCTGCCCTTTCTTTTTCTCTCACTCTTTCTCTCTTTCACACCCACTCGGTCCTACTAACTACCTATCCTCACATTCAAACTTTCTCACCATTTATTTTTTTATATGAAATTATTGTTTGGTGTAAGGTAAAGTACTTATAATGTTAATGTAAATGTTTCAAAGAAAGCGATAAATAAAACAAAATAGTAATAAAATAAATAAATTGAAAAAAGATAGGCAGTAAGGCATGTGAGAGTCACGTTTACAAACTATACTTAACAAAACAAAATCCAACTTAAAAAAAGGCTGATGAAATGAAACTCAACAAAATTTGCTTATCAAATTAAATTTTTTTTCTCAAGAAATACAAAACCAAAAAGGATGCCAAAAAAATTATATATGTGCCAAAGTATATAGTAGGCAAAATTATGATATAGCATTGTTTTTACAATGTGTACACTAAAATAAAAATAAAAAATAACTATTTACTTGAAAACGTATAACTTATAATTTCCTATGGTAATGATATTCTAATTTAAAATAAACTAATACACTCACAAAAACAAGTTTGGAATATTAGATCGAAGGATTCAAAGTTTATAAATTAAAAACACTAAAAATAAAGTGGGTTTCCTTTTAGATCTCTTTACTTTAAAATATATTATTGCACTTTTATTAATGCTAGGATATGCCATCATGGGCATTTAAACCTACAGATTAGTTTAAATCAATGAAAAAAATCAATTGTTTTAGCCAAAAAATGTATAATTTAATGAGGCCCATATCAAATTATACTCAAAAAAGAAAAAAAACGTTGTTTTCACATTTTTTAATTGTGCAATCTGTTCAGTTTATCAATACTGTAAGTTTTTTAAATTTGATTTTATTTAGCTGTACCAGCTTCTACTTTCTACATTTGCACTCTATTTAAAAACAATATAACTTAGTTATTTACAAATTTATGGTAATAATTCTGTAATACGGCTGATTAGTTGATCTGAATCAAATAATTTACAAGAGGATTATAGAATGTGTCTTGAAAAATCAAGACTGAAACATTTCAAATTTACTATTACAGCCTGGCGAAACGTATTGTTTTTTCAAAAATGGTTGATAGTGTAGAAAGAGTCCATATTTCTACTTTCTTTTTTTGTATGATCAACTAGTCAATAATTCCTGGTTTCTTCTAAATAAAATTAGAGAAAATGTAATAAGACCTGGTTTATTTCAGAGTCTTTCTAACTATCTCAAAGAGAAAAAAATCAATTTATAACAAAAAATGTGACACTAATAAACTTTATTGGTAAAAATATACTTGTTTAAAAGAATAGGATGATAATATTAATCGAAATGTAATAAAAGACCTGTGAAAGTTTTAAAATCATTTTAAAAACACTGTTGTTTTGTCTCAGACTTAATAACAACTTGACTACGGGTCATTTAAGACAAAAATCAATTATCATCATGATCAATAGGACAAATATTAAAACAATTATATATCACATTAAGCTGTTCTTACTTATTACTTAATAAAAATAATTGGGCAGTTTTAAATTTAACGTGATATTATATTCTGATGAGTGGGAAACAAAATAAAATTAGTCATTAATAAATAATGACACAAAATTACTTTCAAGAAAGTGATTGTATATATACACAATATTGCAGGTTTAAAATCTTAGTTTTTTCTTACACACAACTGGCTCAGTTTGTTAATTTTTCATTTACTGGTTTTTCAAAATTTTGTTATTAGATTTATTCCTTTGTATACTATGTTGTATAAAAGGAATGTTGTTGCTAATAGAACTCAACATGAATAGCTTTTTTAAAAGTTGGTCTGTCAACATCTTGGCGCATCAAAGTAGAAAACAGTTAAACAATATTCTTTTATTTTTATTTTCCTCGAAAATGTTAATATGGTCAAAACTTTATTTTATTATTTCGTAAACATAATAGTTCTCTATATAATTAAAAAAAAAAAATCAATTTGACGTGCTTTTAAGTAAAATGTCCTCATAAAATTTTGCAGGCTTTCCCCCCCTCCTGATGGTTACCTTAGAAAACCACAACTGTCTTTTTTTTAAATAATAAATAACCTAGATATGGTGCCTGCCTGATAGCATCTAAGCTATGAATAATTTTAAAAAATACTAAAAAAACTTTTATTGGGTGGCGTTACAAACCCATTGACTTTTTCTCTCATTGCTTTATATTCCAAACTTTTTTTTTCAGACAGAGTGTAGTTCGCTATTATATGTTTAAAATTGGAGCAAATACAAGTCTAATAAATAGGAAGCTAATTTACCTGTGATATTGTCGCAGAGGATGCGGGATGTAATTATTCTACCATAGGGACTAAATAAGTTTTCTAGATCTTGTTGTGCCATATTTTTAGGGAGCCCGCTTACGTATAGATTTGCACCTTTGATTGCTTCACTGCTAGGCCTAGCGAAAGAAACCTTGAAAAAAAAAGAGAAAAACAAAAATGATAAATTTGTTAAAAACAGTATTATTAAAATGATAAATTTAAATGGTGGTTCAATCATGAATGACTGGATAAAAATCTTAATCTTATACAGTTTACATTGTACCAAAAGCATGAAATTGTAATTTCAATACAACTTCCGTTATTTATTTCAAACAGGAAAAACATCATTATTTATGATAAGAATAAAATAACAAATCATCCAAATTTTGTGTCTAGGATATGTCCTTAATTGCTAATTAAAAATAAGGGTAGAGAAACTACACATTGGCAGTGCTTCAATGAGACAATTTCCATCTAATTAGGACTAGTGTCCCTATCACTTTTACTGTCACTGTCTCTTCTGGCTAGAAAAATAGAGAATATTTAGGCCTGTAGGGATAGTTTATTTGGACCTATAAAATGGAGCATCAAGGATTTTTCTAATTATTGATTGGCCATTTTGGATGTAAAGGAATTGGGATATTTGACAGAAACCCAATCTTCCGTTCCGTAAGTTGAATACATTTCACTAAGGTGTTATAAAAAATTTGATTTGTGGTTGGTTGATGATGGTAGTGAATACACTGCTAAATAAATAATAAATAAAGGTGAAGATAAGAAAATGGTAATTACTGGGCACAAACAATCCAAAAACCTCTGCACAAGATTTTGAAAGAAAGAAACTTTAAAATGGATGAAACTAAAGAAACGAAAAATCCTAACAAGTTCCTTGATGGGTACTGTGGACTGAATTGTGGAAGAATGATATCAACCAACTAGCAGATTTTATTACGAATTAATAATTATGATATTTATTTGCCTTAAAAAATAATTTGCAACAAAAGTTAATCTTCATTTTATCTTAGTATATCCACAGTTGAAGAAATTAGCATCATGGATGCACAGGCAAATGGTGTAGGGTTAATAATTAAAGTACAAAAAAATAGACAAGCTTTATCTCATTACAAGCAGACATCCATGAGTATTATTTTTAATGATAAACCAATTCACTTGGAAAAATTATATACAAGGAGAAGGTAGGAAGCCTTTTGAGACTCCAGAAAAAAATAAATTGGATGAGGACTAAACATTTTGGGCATACAACAATAACATATAACATTAGACATCATTCCTATAAATGTGGACAGATTATATGACCCCGGAACATCTTTTGCAAAACATTCTATAAAATCGTAACAGACTAGAAAGGATAGCAATTAGTAGAAAATCAAATACAAATTATATGAGAGAGGTGCCTCCGAAATGGGTGAAGAAACTGGTCCTAAAATTAATCTATGCAAGTTTAAAGTATGAACTATCGAACTCACGAAGACTTGTAGACAATCTTAAATGCGGTGCTGACAAAAATACCTCATACGCTTAGACAGACAAGAAGCTTTAAAAGCTTAAATTGTAAAAAGGTCATATACAAAATTTTCATTATTAAAACACCAAAATCTGGGCAAACATCACAACATGACAAACCGTTGGGTGCCAGGGCATAAAGGAATTTTGAATGGACTAGCAGACAAACTGGTCAGAGAGGCAAGACCAATTATATATTTTCAGTTTTAAACTTCTGATTTATCCTTGCCCTTATTCTTAGCCTTTATTTTACCTCTCACTCCTGGCCATATCTTAGTTCTGAAATATGTGAAAAGGGTCTTTTAAAGAAATAAGTAAGCTGCAATCTTGGCCCAAGGCTGAAAAATATTCTGCATGTGTGTATGAAGATGTTAAAAAGAAACCATAACCTGTAAATTGTACCGTGAAAGGAAGTCAGTCATGGTTAGGTAACCCAAAAATCCCAAAATGGAATTGTTTTAATACCTATAAGCAAAGTTTGCTTATTTATTTTATTTTCTGTCAAATCAATTAATTAAATTGTTTCAAGGTGGATGGCATGTTTTTTGGGTTTTGTTTGAATAGTGCTGCCATCTTACAGTAAATAAACAAGTTGAGATTTTCTTCAAATCTGAAAAATTTCATTGTTTAAGGATTATGTTGATGAGAGGAGAGAAAGTGGGGGTTTTTGTTCCCCAAGCGTTCCCTTTTGTATTTTTCGTTGACTCGATCCTTCTTTTAAGAAGTAATAGGTTATTGACTGCTTGCTACAACTCCTTTCCCTGTGTTTTATGTGTATCCCAGGTTATGCCTCCATTGGCTGGCTGCTTCACATTTGAAAATTATATGGCTGGCTGTTTCTTCCTCCTCATTGAATAACCTACAAAACATTGAATATGCTCATGTCGTGTAGATGTTTTCTCAGATGCCAATGACTGGCTGTCCTAGCACTACTCTGAGCTTAGCCCTCTCTAACTGTAGCAGTGAGTTTGCCAGTTTGGTTATTTTAGCATACGCTTACTGTGTCTAACTCTAGAGTTTACCCACGTCTCTTTTTGTCTTTTTTCAATTCATCCTGTGATGGAGGATTCTTTGTTTGGTTTTGTTATTTAAAAAAATAAGTTCAGGGCCTATACATGATATTGAAGATTCTCGTTTGGCCAGTGCGTCTGCCTTTTCATTACCCAAAATTCCCTTTTGTCCTGGTACCCAAGATATTATCAGGTTGTTTCCCCAAGTTTTGTAGATTTTAGAGTCATTCACTGAATAGTTTTGATTTGTTTACTTTCTAATGCTTTAATAGCTGCTTAGCTATCCGATCGTATGAATAGTTTTTGGTACTGTAACAGCTTTCTAAGTCACAAATATTGATGACATTGAGTTTGACTGCATGCTTGGGCTTGTACAAGAAAGCCTGATCCGGTTCCTTCATGTGTTTTGGAGACATCTGTGTACAAAAGAATTTATGATAGTTTTATGGAAGGTGTTAGAGTAAACGATAAACATCAATCCGTAGATAGAAAGGGGGCGATGATGCCAGGGATAAAGCTTCCCCCTGTGACGTGTCACGCACAAATCAAGGGGCGGGACTATTGTAAAAGCTGCGCAGACAGACGATGCGATTGAGAGTTGTTTGTGGATTGTACGTGAAGATTCTGCTAAAAACTGGGCAAAGAAAGAAGGGCAGCACGAGAGACTCGACGCCTGCGTAATCCTGCCTTGCCGGGAAAATCGACACAAGCTTTCTACAATGGCTTATCAACCCGATCTTGCAAGGTAGACGTAAAAAAATGAACAGGAAGAAGTGATGAAGGCGGAATGACTAATTGCTTTACTCCAAGTTCAATATAAGGAGTAAATTTAGCCCACGGATTGATTTTTCCATCAAGGTTCCAACCAAGACCGCTAAGTACGTTCATACTGCTTAAATTTAAGCATCTTTCAAATTCAAACACAAGAAAATTAGATCTACTTCAAAATTTCAACTTCAAACATTGCACACCTTCTACGACTTCAAAACAAAATAAGGAAGCAATTAAAAAAACATCAATTTCATTGTGTTTGTTTTCTAATCAATGCTGGTTTGATTCGGTCAATATTGACCAGATTTCCCAACCGATATTGAACGGTCCGTGTAAGGATCACACAGCCGACTTGAGATGGGACCGTTGAATAGAAAATCGATCAGGGCTGGCCTATCTCCAAAGCGTGAAGTACGCAGAAACGAGCCACACCTGCTAATCTGCAAGCGGCATCTACAGTTGGAAACCATCTTCTGCAGATTCCACGCTGCCGAACGGAAAGAAGATGGACCTTAAATATATCGAACATAAACATTTTACAGTAATCCATTTACGTTTAAGTGGTCAATTGACCAAGTTACTTCTTTCAATTATTTATTCTTTTTATGTAAGGTCTTGGTTCAGATAATAAAGTCAGTGTCACGAGCGGGATTCGGACCCACGACCTTCGGCTAAATATCTCAACCAAGACCTTACATAAAAGAATAATTAATTGAAAGAAGTAACTTGGCCAATTGACCACTGAAACGTAAACGGATTAATATTTAATAAGTAAACGAAGTATAACTTCACTAACAGCTCCCCGTGGCCACTTCATCAATCACTGAGAATCGAATCCTGATTACGCGACATTTGAAAATGGCAAAAAGAGGGAAAATTCGAACGGTTGTAGGTTGAGATGGAGAGTTGGTGCCCGAGAGGATCGAAGAGCCACGATAGTCAAGTGGTAGAGCAGTGGCGTATTTAGCCGAAGGTCGTCGGTTCGAATCCAGCTCGTGACACTGAATCTTTTATCTCAACCAAGACCTTACATAAAAAGAATAATTAATTTTATAGTAATTGTTATACTTTTTTTAAAATACTTTCAACATCTCTCTTTGGTAACCTTCAACAACTCCCTATAGAAAAAGAAGAAAAAACATAAAGGGACTTAAAAACAACAAGGGGTAACATTTTTAACTAATTCTAATTTTAACGATTAATTTTATAAGTTTAATTTGTTGTTTCTCTACGATTTTTCTAGTTATAAAATTAGAATAAAAAAAAGTTAGAATTAAGTGGTAGCGATCTTTCCCCTAAATGGTAGGAATTCATGCTTCACCCTGCTTACAACCTGACGTCGCCTTTCCTACTGCTTCTCCCAATCAGTGCATCAAAGTACATTTTAAAAACTAAGATTTGATTAAAATATGAGAAGTTTTCAACCTTTTTCATGTTATATTGTTAAAAATAAAATACTGTCTCAAAGTAAACAAAATAAAACATACAGTTACATTTTTAGAAGTAAAACTCATGTATTTTGTTTTAATATCCTTCGAGTAAAAAATGGTTATGCATCAGAACTCCGGGAAAATTCATAATACACATTAAATTTTATGCAAATTTCGTTAATTTAAAGGTATGGACCATTGTTAGATGAAAAAGCTGGTTTGTTTCCTATTTTGTTTAAATTCCATTTCTACTAGATGGATTTCAATTTTCATAACCATTTCTTTTTCTGAAACTTCGTGTTTTTAGCCCAACTCCAAAATTCAACAATTATAGTCATTCAGTTGCTCAAAGAGAGGCCAAAAAGCTGCTTTTATTTCGGTACCATTTTTTCAAAATCTATTTGGTCAATTACGAC